CACTTTACTATTTACTCCCTTTTTTTATATATTTTTTATATATTTATTGCACTGTGATGCAAAATAAATTGTATTTTTATACTATCTATTTTTCGAAGTCTCCGTAGAGTATTTACTCTTTTACATTTATAGTCCTCCATTAGACTATCATTTTCTTTAGTGCTTAGCGCCCCCATTAGGTGGGATTTTATTCCACCTTCCTTTCTTTTTCCATTTATGCAAAATTGTAATTAAATCACTTTATAACGTCTATTAGATGCTTATTTGTGCTGTAAAATGACTGTGATAACTGTTTGACAAATTGTTTTATTTCAGCTGCAGAGAATGCTGGCTCTAAAGTGTAAGTATGCGTTTTTTGCCAAAATTTTGCAAACACAATGCATTGAGGTACCCAATTGAAAATGCACAATTAACCTGTAACAATACATTCATTTTATAAATGTTTTACAAATCTGTAAAATTTTCACTAAACGATTTCTTTCTATAATTAAAATAAATATAGTGCTCACAAATATGAAAATACGGTCTTTTCATATGTCTGTATTTGTAAAAGAATTTAGCCATTTAGTGCTGTATGTAAATATGAGAATGTGATCACAAAACCTTCCATTGTGCTATAAAGGTGCAACTAATTCCTTCCATACAGCATTCTATTAGCACCTAAAGGGACACCATAGTCACCAAAACAACTTTAGCCTAATGTAGCAGTTTTGGTGTATAGATCATGCCACTGCAGTTTCACTGCTCAATTCTCTGCAATTTAGAAGTTAAATCACTTTGTTTATGCAGCCCTAGTCACAACTCCCTGCATGTGACTTGCACAGCCTTCCTAAACACATGTAAAGAGTCATCTAATGTTTACTCTTCCTTTATTGCAAATTCTGTTTATAACTTGCTAAACCCTGTAAAAGGCATTCTGTGTGTAATTAAAATTACATTTATAGAGCAGGATATAAAAACCTTTAAAGTAAGTTACATCTGATTGAAAATTAAACCATTTTTTTTTCATGCAGGCTGTGTCAGCCACAGCCAGAGGAGGTGTGGCTAAGCCTGCATAAACAGAAACAAAAGTGCTTTAACTCCTAAATGGCAGTGATTTGAGCAGTGAGACTGCAGGGTATGATCTTTACATAAAAACTGCTCAATTTAGCTAAAGTTGTTTTGGTACTATAGTGTTATTTTAGTTACTTTACAGATATTTAATTAGTTCTTACCTTTTAAATTACCACCTATATTACCAGTGATACAATCAAGGCCAAATCACCACAGACCGCATATGTATCACCTAAAACCTGGGGACCACTCTTCACTCAATCAAGTTTCTTAGCATGCAATGCAGGGGCAAATAGTAGATCCACTGTAGCTCAATAACATCTGGTGACCTGCCACCTGTCATTTGCAAGAGCTGGCTGTCACAGTTTTGATTTTCATTTACCATACTTAATACATTTGAAGTGTCTGTTAAGGTTAAATATGAAACAACAGTATATTTAAAAAAAAATGTGTCTTTCCAACTGCCTATCATCTTAAAGAATTGTGTTCTCAAAATTCTCCAAACACCTATTTTCTTCTGCAGGCAATTCCCTGCATATAAATTGGCAAACATATGGATAATTGCATCAAATGGGTCTGCAGTCATCTTGTTTGTAGTTTGAAGATGTTTACTCTGATTAAATTTTTGGAAATGAATCAATGAATAATAAACAAAATGCACTAAAGTGTATTCCCTAAACTGGAACTGTGGAAATTTGGTAAGGGAATATAATATTTTTGGTCAAATACCTGTATTAGAGACAATCTGTAATTCCACCTATTATTCCAGCTTGGCTATTTGTCCTTAAATTTACAGTTCACAAGACATTTGTTGTGAGTAAACCCCTGTGATCATGGGATTATTTAATAATAAATAAATAAAAAAAAGATTAGAAGCTAATCTTAAATGTATATACTTAATACACACATGTTTTATATATATAGTTTTATCATTTTCTCTTACTGTAATAGGTCACCCCAAAACAAGGAGAGTGTTAAACTACTTTCTGTGAAAACATCACCTGCTGATTCTGGTAAGTATCCACTTTTCTTTGTAACAGACTTTAAACACTGTATAACACAGATGGAAAAATACAGTTTCAGTAATAGCACCAAAAAAAACAAAAAAACGGGTGAATACAATGATGCACTTTTCCTTGGCATCATTGTATTCAAACCGGCAGATAAAGGGGGAAATATTGTTATTTTAAATAGAATACAATATATCCAGCTTGCTAACAACATACTCAAAGATGATACAACTTATCGCACATTGAGTTCTGATCCCTCCATTAAATTTCTGTCAGACCTTAAGGGTATACTGGACTCAGCATTCGATAAAGGCATCTTGGGCAGGAATGAACATTCGTATATTTACATTAAAAATCCGGTTGTGTCTACATTTTACTGCCTTCCCAAGGTACACAAAAAGTCTACTCGTCTAACAGCCAGACCGATTGTGTCAGGATCAAATAATTTGACAAGCAGGGCCAGTCTATATATAGACAAAGTAATTAGACCACTCGTTGAAAAACTACCCTCATACCTGAGAGACACGAAGGACACACTTAAGTGCTTAGCCTCTCTTAACATACCAAGAGGCGCTCTGCTGTGTAGTCTTGACGTAGAGGCTCTGTACTCGTCAATTCCCCATACTTTGGGCTTGGCACACACCAAATGCTACCTTGACACAAGAGGTCCGAGACATGAATGCCATACGCGATTCGTAATCGAATTGCTCAAGTTTGTGCTAACCCACAACTTCTTCCTCTTTGACGGACAGTTCTACCACCAGGTGCAGGGTATTGCCATGGGTACGTCTTGTGCCCCATCATATGCCAACCTGCACCTGGGGTGGTGGGAGGAGAATGTGGTGTTTGCAGATATTAATGCTGAGTTCACGAAGTACATCTTCCTGTGGAAGAGATACATCGATGATGTCCTCGTTGTCTGGACGGGCACGGGGGACACATTCATGTCCTTTGTGGACAAATTGAACACTAACGACTTGAACCTAAAACTCACAATGGAGATTGGAGGCTCTACACTTAATTTTTTAGACTGCACCTTTAATATCTCCAAAGATTTAGGGATTGAAACCACTCTCTATAGAAAGCCAACCTCAACAAATACCATGCTGAGATGGGAGAGTCATCATCCCATCACCCTGAAAAAAGGTATCCCAGTTGGCCAATACCTACGTCTGAGGAGGAATTGCTCAACTATGGATGAATTTATCAATCAAGCAAAACTCCTCAGAACTAGGTTTAAAGAGAGGGGTTACCCTAATCGCTGCCTCAAAAATGCTTATCAGAGGGCCTTACTGAGTGATAGAGGAGATCTCTTAAGAGACAAAGAGTCCCCAATAAAACAAGAACTTATTCGTTGTGTAGCCACGTTTGACTCTGGATGGGATCAAACCAAACGGATATTAGGTAGGTTTTGGCCTCTGATCTCTCAAGATCCCCAACTCAAAGGAGTAGTAACTCCATTTGTTTCCCTCACAGCACGTAGAGGCAGAAACTTAAAAGAAGTCTTGGTTCCCAGTCATTTGTCCACTAAAAGTGTCACCACAAATTGGCTGTCCGTACAGGGCACCTACCAATGTGGCAGGTGTGTGGCCTGTCAGTACATGATGAAAGACTCAAAAGTCTTTTCAGATTTAACTGACAATTCAGTGTGTCAGATGAAACAATTTTTTAATTGTAATACGAAAGGTATCATATACTTACTGACATGTGCATGTGGCCTGAGATATGTGGGGAAAACCATCCGCCCCTTTAAGAGACGTGTCATGGAACACATACACTCTGTCAGAAACTTTAGAGATACCCCAGTTTCTAGACACATTCGAAATGATCATCATGGTGACACACGAGGGATTAAATTTGCAGGTATCGAAAAGGTACAATTGGGTCGCAGAGGAGGTGACTTGGATCGTACCCTCCTCAAAAGGGAGTGTTTCTGGATCTACAAATTCAATACATTGGCCCCTAATGGATTAAATGAAGGGTTTACGTTCACTCCCTACATTGAATAATTTCTTTTTTAAAGAAAGTCCGTACTCATAGTTTGGCAATGTACATTTTATAGCTTTTTTTTTTTTTTTTTAACATTCCATAAAAATGAATGAAAAGAAAAGCTTAGGAAGGTGTATAAACCTAGAGACAAACAGACAGACAGACACACACACACACACAATTACACACACTGTACCCTTTATATATTTTATTTTCACATTTTCAGTATTTAGAACTATTGTTCTTTCTTTTATAGATGTGAAAAGAATGGCTTTACCTCATCAACTGGACTACATTGATGAATGCTGAAGTACCAACCAAACCTACAATTGTTAAACCTTGCAAGCCGATCTTTTTTTGCCATGTATTATGTGACTTAAAGGAAGGAATGTGTGGTTATTGAGGTGCCATCTCTGTATAAATGATTTCTGCATTTTGGTTTTTACTAAGTTATGTTTTTCAAATAGTCTGTGAAGAACCTTGTCAGCTCACAAGGCTTGATTACTACATAAGAGAGTTGGATAGATGATTACTCATAATTAACATAACAATAATCCTAGCATACACCCAGGGCCGGTGCAAGGATTTTTGCCGCCCTAGGCAAATAAAAATTTGCCGCCCCCCCCCCCCCCATGTCCTGCCCACCATGTAACATCACAATGCCCCGCCCATATGGGCCAACGCCAGTCTTCACAAAGTGTCTTTTATCTGAAAAGACAGTGTGTTAACATTAAAAAGCCTACAGGCACAGGCTATGCTATAGACACCAGAACCACTACATTATGCTGTAGTGCTTCTGGTGACTATAGTATCCATTTAATGTGAGATTAGTGCCACTAATAATATATTGGATTGCCTACTTACCACCAGATGAGGACAAGAGGCTGATGATGGGCTCAGTCTGGCTCCACAGGTCTGGTGTAGAAGAGGCTCTCAGGAGACTGTTTGTAACAGTGCTCACAACAATTAACGAACAGGAAGCAGCTCCATTTTTTAGGGCCCCTTACACAGCTCAAGGTCTGTTTCGGGTGTGTCTGTGTGTGAGTAGGAATGCATTGTATGTTTCTGTGTGTGTGTGGGGGGGGGAATGCATTGTGTTTGTGTGTAGTGTAAAAGAGAGGGTTTGTGGGGTAGGATAGGGACTGAGAGGGGAACAGCTCTTTATTTTGTAAAAAAAATTTCATAGTGCTCTCCCCTCCTGTCAATTATTGATTTCCCCTTCCCTCCTGTCCCTCCGTGTTCTACCCCTTCTGTCCCTTAGTGCTCTCCCTTGGCCCCCTGTCCCTCTGCAGTCCCCCCTTGGTGGTCTTCTCACTCCCCCCTCTCTCCCTTAGTGGTCCTCCATCCCTTCCCTTAGTGGTCCTCCCTCTCCCAAACCCCTTAGTAGACCTTCCCCTCCTCCCCCCACCCCTTAGTGGTAATCTCCCCCCCCCTTAGTGGTCCTTACCCTCCTCCCCTCTCCTTAGTGGTCCTCCCTCCTTACCCCCCTTTGGTGGTCCTTCTCCCCCTTAGTGGTCCTTACTCCCCCACTTGGTCCTTACTCCCCCCCACCCCCCACATCCCCTAATGGTCCTTACTCCCCACTCCCTAATGGTCCTTACTCCCTCCCCACTCCCTAATGGTCCTTCTCTCCCCCCTCCTCTATTATCCTTACTCCCCCCCACTACCCCCATGGTCCTTACTCCTCCCCTCCCCCTCCCTAATGGTCGCCTCCCTCCCCTCCCCCCTCCCCCTGTGGTCCTTACTCCCCCACTCCCCAATGGTCCTTACTCCCCTCCCCTCCCCCCCTCCCTGTGGGTCCTTACCCCCCCCCTCCTAATGGTCCTTACTCCCACCCCTCCCTAATGGTCCTTACTCCCCCTCCTCTAATGGTCCTACTCCCATGGTTTTTGCTCCTCCTCCTCCTGGTGGTTCCTTGCTCACTGTGGTTGCTTTGCTCCTCATGCACTCCTATTGGTTCACATATCGCTCCTCCTATTCGCCTCCTCCTCCCCTCCTGTGGTCCTTGCTCCCCATATTGGTCCTTGCTCCTCCCTGTGGTCCTTGCTCCCCACCCTAATGGTTCCTCCCCTCCTAATGGTCCTTGCTCCTCCCCTATTGGTCCTTGCTCCTCCCACTGTGGTCCTTGCTCTCCCCACTAATGGTCCTTGCTCCTCCTCCCCTCTCCTATTGGTCCTTGCTCCCCACCCTAATGGTCCTTGCTCACTGTATCCACTCCCCACCCTAGTGGTTCGTAGTCCCTCCCTGTGTGGTCCTTGCTCCTCCCCACCCCTAATGGTCATGGTCCCTCCTAGTGGTCCTTGCTCCTCCCCACCCTGTGGTCATACTCATCTCCTCCCCACCCCTATTGGTCCTTGGTCCCTCCTGTGGATTATTGCTCTCCCCACTGTGGTCCTTGGTCCATCTATTGGTCCTTGCCCCACCCCTACCCCTAATGGTCCTTACTCCCTCCCCACTCCCCTCCACTCCCCCCCCACCCCTAATGGTCCTGCCTATGTAGCGTGGCCGGGCGGCGCGGAACGCGGGACAGGAACCTCTGTTTCCTGTTCCCGGCCGCCGGCGGACTGAAGGGAAGTGCTCACTCAGTGAGCACTTCCTGTCATTCCGCCGGCGGCCGGGTACAGGAAACAGAGGTTCCTGTCCCGCGTTCCGCGCCGCCCGGCCACGCTACATTGAGAGACCGGCAGGAGGGAGCGCTCTGCGCCTCCCTCCTGCCGGTCACAAACCTGGCCGCCCTCCACACAGCAATGCCGCGCCGCCTGGGGCTTGCTAAAGCGCTCAGGCGGTGCAGCATGAGGAGCCGCAGGGTGCAGGGATCCGGCGCCCCCTGCTAAGTTGCGCCCTAGGCGGCTGCCTAGGTCGCCTTACAGGTGGCGCCGGCCCTGGATACAGTGCAGTTGTCCTGTCCCCTTAGCAGGAAAACACCCCCAAAGCATAATGTTTCCACCTCCATGTTTGACGGAGGGGATGGTGTTTCTTGGGTCATTGGCAGCATTCCTCCTCCTCCAGTTGATCTGATGTGAAAGAGCTCCATTTTGGTCTCATCTGAACAACACTTTCACCCAGTTCTCCTCTGAATCATTCCGATGTTCATTGACAAACTTCTGATGGGCCTATATATGTGCTTTCTTGAGCAGGGGGACCAATTGTTTTCTTAGTGACTTTGGTACCAGCTGCCTTGAGATCATTAACAAGATCCTCCCGTGTAGTTCTGGGCTGATTCCTCACCATTCTCATGATCATTGAAACTCCACGAGGTGAGAACTTGCATGGAGCACCAGACCGAGGAAGACTGACAGATATTTTGTGTTTGTTTCATTTGCAAATAATAGCACCAACTATTGTCACCTTCTCACCTAGCTGCTTAGCAATGGTCTTGTAGCCCATTCCAGCCTTGTGTAGGTCTACAATCTTGTCCCTGACATCCTTGGACAGCTCTTTGATCTTGGCCACGGTGGAGAGTTTGGAGTATGATTCATTGCTTCTGTGGACAGATGTCATTTATACAGGTAACAAGTTGAGATTAGGAGCACTCCCTTTAAGAGAGTGCTCCTACTCTCAGCTCATTACCTGTATAAAAGACACCTGGAAGCCAGAAATCTTGCTGATTGGTAGGAGATCAAATACTTATTTCACTCATTGACATGCAAATGAATTTATAACTTTTTTTAACATGCATTTTTCTGGATTTTTTGTTTGTTATTCGGTCTTTCACTGTTAAAATACACCTACCGTTAAAATTATAGACTGATCATGTCTTTGTCAGTGGGCAAATGTTCAAAATCAGTACGGGATCAAATACTTTTTTCCCTCACTGAACATAGAATCCAACCCTAACATTAATTCATGATCAGGAATGTGTCAGGATTACGAGAGATGCCCAACACGCAGAACTAAAGTAGATAAATAGAAAATACCTAAGACGTATTACCGGGCCTTAGAATGGCCGGATTTAACTTATAAAGGTAAATAGCCACAAGACAGGGAAAACACAAGAGATAGAAATAACGTAAACGATTAACACGCCACGGGTCAAGGAATGTAGAAATAAGAATAGTCAGGAGCCAAGCCAAAGGTCAAGGAATACAGAGATCGATTAGTCAAAAGGAAAGCCAAGATCAAAAACACTAGAATCAATACAAGGAACGCACTCTCGGATAACCAAATGGAAACCATGACAGGACACAGAGAAATGGACAAAATGGGCTTCAATAGCTTAAGATATTCCCTGATAGGCTGTAGGGAAACATGTGATCATGGGTGTGTGTGTAACACACCCACATGATAATTAATGGTCTGTCCCTTTAAGGGTTAAACAGGAAACCCTTAAGTTATTCACAGTTGCAGCGGCCGGCGTCTTTAATGATTACAGACCCGGCTGCTGAGAGAGGAGGAGCCACCACCATGGGTGAGTGATTGGCAACATACCCATCACCACGTGGGAATGCCGCCGGACCGAGACATGCCCGCCAGGTATGAGTGGACTCGGCGGGCGAAGACCTAAAAGGTATGAGATCGGCGGCTTCCCCTTAGTGTGTGACAGAATGTTTAAATGGGAAGCTAACTCTATGTGAATGATATTTCCAATTAACTTTTTGCCCACTACTTTTAAGATTTTTTTGCCCAGTGAAGGTCCTTGTGAGTATCTTTGTTAACCTCCAGAGGTCCAGTGTTTAAGTACATCAGATCAATGAGGCCTCTGTCATACTCCCATTCTATGTCCAATATGTTGTGCCTTTTAGCTCGCAGCAACAGCTGGATGTCCAGTGTTTAATTACCACATTCTAATTGCGATTGCTATTCACTCACTATACGAGAGATAATAGAAAATTGTTATATATCTGGGAACTGTCAACATGTCTCTCTCCGATGAGATTAAAAAGGATAGTGTTTTTTCTTTCTAATAACATAGTAACATAAAATAGTAACATGTATATTTAGTATTTAGCATTTTCATTCAAGTTTGTTGTATAAAAAAATTTCACTTTATATAAATGTGTTCCAAAATTTCCCTATGCAGCATGGTGATAATTGAGTGCAGACATTAGAGACAGATGACTACAAGATTCCAAACTTGAAACCAGCCAGTTAGGCAGTAATGTTAACTGGACCTTAGTATAAACTCCCCAGTAAGTTTTAATTACATCACTCAAGAACCAAAGCTATTAGATGTTTATAACAGTACACTTACAATGAAATTTCAGTATATAAAAATTACCAGATTTTACTAATTTCATGACGTAAAGTCATGATTTTATTAAAGGACCACTCTAGGCACCCAGACCACGTCAGCTTAATGAAGTGGTCTGGGTGCCTGGTCCAGCTAGGGTTAACCCATTTTTTTATAAACATAGCAGTTTCAGAGAAACTGCTATGTTTATGAATGGGTTAAGCCTTCCCCCTAATCCTCTAGTGGCTGTCTCATTGACAGCCACTAGAGGCGCTTGCGTGCTTCTCACTGTGATTTTCACAGTGAGAGCACGCATGCGTCCATAGGAAAGCATTGTAAGCATTGCCGCGCGTGCGCATTCAGCCCAGGAGGAGGAGAAGAGGAGGATCGGAGGAGGAGAGCTCTCCGCCCAGCGCTGGAAAAAGGTAAGTTTTACCCCTTTTCCCCTTTCCAGAGCTGGGCGGGAGGGGGTCCCTGAGGGTGGGGGCACCCTCAGGGCACTATAGTGCCAGGAAAACGAGTACGAGCTTAATTCTTTCTTTATTCCTCAGCAGCAAAGAAAGGATATTGTAGATATTCAAAGAAAAACAAAACAGTACCCTGAAGGGTCAACCACATATAACATGTTATCCAATGAGAATGTTCCTAGCACAATAATGCCCCATGTGACCTTAAGTCACTCCTCTTTCTTGATGGTGTAAACGGCTGAAGGTGGAAGGGCTCAGTCACCAATCGCTGGTATCTCGAATGTGTCTGGCATCGGACTCTACCATGAAGTCTGGAGTGGTTCCGAAGATCGCTCGCCCATTTCATACCTCAGTGTGTTGTAGCCACCACATGAGTCCTTCTTTGGCTGTGCAATCGAGAGGAACAGAGTCTGAATAAGAGTTACCCAAACAAAGGTACTTGGCCTTCAGACGTTAAGGTGCCCTGTAGTGCAGCGGGCTGGAAAATAAATACTGGAGTCATAAGAGCCCTCCTCATCGGACTCGCTCAGTGCCTTCTATTGTTCCAATTCAGATTTGGAAGATTTGATTAGAGCTTTTGCCTTCTTCTAGTTCCTCACCGATTTTGCTCGGTGGGGGGCTCTTAGTTGTGGTGCAACCACATCCTCTGTGACAGGACGTACCCTATGCATCTGTAAGTTTTGGAGGCATCCTTGTCCAAATGGCGAGATTTTATGGTGGATTTATGCCCACTGGAGGCTACCGGTTTACTCTCTGGGGGTTTAGAAATGAGAATAGGTGGTCGCTGGGTGGACATCAGTGCATGAGTGATCAAGTGGGACAGATTATCTGACATGGTCCCCATAGCGGTAAAGATGACTTGCGTCACAGACTTAGCCATTGTAGCGTCTAAGAGTGAATGAATCTCCTCAGAGTTCATTTACACCTGTGACTCTTCATCTAATGTTGGTGGTCTGGACACCGTTAGGTGTGTAAGGGTTTTGGTGGCACTGGTGGAAGAGCCGGTAGCGGAAACTTCCACCTCTTTACTTCACTGCATGGCACAGTAATTACTTCCCACAAGTGTGACAGAAAAATTAGCTTATAGGAGGGCCAGCACTATAAGGGTTCACAAAATAGGGAGATTCTACATGGTAACAGAACTGGGGAGTGCAGTGCAAAGTGTAAGTATACCAAGCACAGGTTTTATTGGTTTCAGCAATAAAATGAAGGCACAGAGTAAAGCAAAGCAAGCTCACAGAGTGTTCCCTCAGGCATGAACTCCTGGGGAGGACCGGTAAGCTGCCTAGCAACCCAGCTGTCCAAACGACTTAATCCTGCCCCCAAACGAACGGTATTAGCCGTGCAATAAAAAGCACGTCAAAACCGCCAACCCCAATATGGCCGCCGCAATGCGCACTTGCGCTGAGCCGCAAGGACCGCAGGACAGAACGGTACCCGGTAAAAGGAAGGAGCCTCAGACCTTAGGCTACAACAAAGCAACAGAAACAGTCGGAAAATAAACAAACCAACTAAATGTCTGAGGGGAGGGGGCTGGGGGGTGAGAGAGAGAGGGAGGTTGCAGGGAGTGAGAAAGGAAAAGGAGCAACAATGCTCCTATAAGGAGAAAATAAAATGGGATAAAAAACAGTGGAAAGAAAACAGTAATATAATATATATAAATACAGTAATTACAAATTGTCCGAATTAAGACGGAGATATGAAAAATTGAACTTACCTGAGGAGGCAGCAGCAAGGAAAGAGGAGTGGCTTAAGGTCACATGGGGCATTATTGTGCTAGGAACACTCTCATTGGATAACATGTTATATGTGGTTAACCCTCTAGGGTACATGCTATTTTGTTTTACTTTGAATATCTACAATATTCTTTCTTTGCTGCTGAGGAATAAAGAAAGAGATTAAGCATAACATGAGCCTCCGTGTCCTTTATTAAAATTGGCGATTTTCTTCTACTTAATCCACCATAGTATAATTGTGCCTTCTCTATGAACTCAATTTGTTTTCTGGGATGAATCAGAAATAATGTCACTTCTCGTGCAATGTACTGTTCTTGACAGGAGTGTGCATGTTTATAATAGTGTGAGTATATTTGAATGTATTTATTAATTTGAATGTGTTTTTTTATGTATATCTATCTATCTATCTATCCATCCTTCTATCTATCTTTCCTGGAAGATCTTATAGTAGCAGTGTAATCAAATGAAATCTAGCCATTTACTAGACATGTGGGTAGTGAACTAATATACAATATAACAGTCTTCAGTCATGGGAAAAGAAAGTACACCTTCTTTGAATTCTTTGATTTTATATATAAGGACATATTAACAATCATCTGTTCGATAGCAAGTCTTAAAATTAGGTAAACACAACCTCAGATGAACAACAATGCATGACATATTACACCATATCATGATTTATTTAACAATAATAAAGCCAAAATGGAAAGCTATGTGTGAAAAAGGTATACCTTACTGCTTCCATAGGAATTAAGAGGCTACGTAGCAGACAGGTGCTGCTAATCAAATGTCCTTGATTAATTGATCATCGGCAAATTTAACGACCACTATAAAAGCCAAAGTTTTAGTAGCTTGCTGGTCTGGAGCATTCAGGTGTGTGTTAACACAATGCCAAGGAGGAAAGACATCAGCAATGAACTTAGAGAAGCAATTCTTGCTGCCCATCAAAGGAACGGTTATAAGTCCATTTCCAAACAACTCAAAGTCCATCATTTTAAAGTGAGAAAGATTATTCAAAAGTGGAAAACATTCAAGACAGTTGCCAATCTTCCCAGGAGTGGACGTCCCAGCAAATTCATCCCAAGGTCAGACCCTGCAAGGCTCAGATAAATTACAAAAAAAACAAGAGTTACATCTCAGACTCTACAGGCATGTTAAATGTTCATGACAGCACAATTAGAAAAAGACTGAAAAAGTATGGTTTGTTTGGAAGGGTTGCCAAGGGAAAGCTAAGGCTTAGGTTTACAAAGTTGCAGCTAAACAAACCGCAAGAAACAATGTCATTTGGACAGAAATGGAGATGTTTGGCCATAATGCGCAGCACCATGATTTGCAAAAACCAAACACAGCATATTAGCACAAACACCTCATACCAACTGTCAAGCATGGTGGTGGAAGGGTGATAATTGGGGCTTGTTTTGCAGCCACAGGACCTGGGAACCTTGCAGTCGTTGAGCTGACCATGAACTCTTCTGTACACCAAAGTATTCTAGAGTAAAATGTTAGGCCATCTAAAGCTTGGCCAAAACTGGGCCATGCAACAGGACAATGATCCCAAGCACACCAGCAAATCTAGAACAGAATAGCTGAAAAAGAAAATAATCAAGGTGTTGCAAGGCATCTTAAGGTGTTTTTGTTTTTCACACATGGCTTCTCCATTTTGGCTTTATTCTTGGTAAATAAACCATGATACAATGTAATATGTCATGTGTTGTTGTTCATCCGAGGTTGTATTTACCTCATTTTAAGACCTGTTAAGGAACAGATGATTGTTATAATGTGCTGATATGTAAAACCATAAAAGTCAAAAAGGAAAACTTTTTCCTTTGTACTTCAATAAAATATATATATATTCCATGTTAGGTACAGATACACTTTTAGAGAGGTTGAGAGAAATCTAATAAGCTATGCTTTCATGTTTTGGTTTACATAGCTCTGTTTTGGGTCTATCACAGGTGGACAATGCACATAAAAAATATTTATCATACAAAAAAATGGGAATTTGATAAACTATAGCTTTTATTGATCTAATTTTATTGAGTAAATTAAATTTCCTTACATATATTTCAATTTCTTATAATTATAATTTACTTACTAATTAATAAAAGTTATATTTTATCGAATTCTCCTACACCACTTCTTTTTTTTATAGTTAATTTTGATGGTACTATATTTATAGCTAATTTTCTGCCCTTGAACCATTAAAACCATCTGTTCTGTTTTATATTTTTTTGTGACAGGTTTGATTGATATTACAAGTGAATCTGAATTTGATGGAATTTACTCCCAGACATCAAACTTTGATCCAACATATGACCCTAGTAATATGGATGAAAAGCTACTTTTCATGGACTACGCTGATAGCATGACAATAAAGATGACTTGTTTCACTGTTCAAGTCCAGCGACTTAAAAACCTCTTTGTGTATGAGGGATCTTATCTTCTCTCTAATGTAATAAAACTCACAGAGGAATTCCTTGACCCTGTAGTGTACCAGCGACTCCAGCAAAGACTTTCTGAACATCAAAAGTTGGTGAAAGGGAATCTTGAGAAGAAACTGGAAATACGCAAAAATATTGCATATCTAAAACTGATCAGCTTCCTTGTTCCTTTTCTTCTGGGACTGAAAAAACAGCTGAAAGTACCAGATTTAAGTTGTCTCCTGCAACCTTTTTCAGGTGTGTAAAATGCAATAGACTACTAGACTGTACCTAGAGATTTCCAAAGAGATTTGGACTTGATTGATAATTATGAGGTCCTAATAAGAGAAAATATAGGTACCCTTGTTATCAGTCCCTGTTTCCGCCCACATAGGACATCTTTTCCATATTTTTGCAGCCTGCTACAGAATTAAGTATCGAATTGAGGTGACATGTGAAGCTGTGTTTCATTCAGAGTGTTTAGTGGTGTCACTCAAAATCTTCTCCTGGAAGCTGTTGCAAACATGTATTTACCTCAATAGACAGATTATTTTCTCCAAAAGGTTGGGAGAGACTAATTTCAACAGGTTATGGTATTTAGAATGCTCCGTTAAGAAAAGAAAACAGGAGTTGTTTTTTTTTTTTGTTTTGCAGATGATAAAGTCAAGACTGAAAGGGAACTTCCCCCACTCATGCTAGGACAAGATTTTAAGTGCCAACACTTTAGGTACCCACCAAATACGTTCTTTCACCTCCATGGGGGAATTGAGCTTGATCTGGGAACTCCTTCACTTGAACCTGTATCTGAAGAAATTAAGGTTTGACACGCATATTTTTATGGATTATTTATATTATGATGCCTTGCATTTAATAAAATGTGCACTATTAAATTAGTTATAATGGTAATTTTATCTGTAATGCTATAATTACATATATACGCACACATTTTGTCAGCTTATGTAGCAAACACACTCTCAAGAAGCAAACACAGAAATATAGTGACAACACATTTTCTGTGTAAACAATGCACATATCCACATATGCTGTAGGCTACACAGACTTTTCCATCACACACATAGATGCACAGAAATTATTTCTGGATCTTTAATGGCTAAACACCACTGTGTGTATTCTGGATTGGGTTCCCCAACTTCCTGCTGTGATCTCTGAAATTCTTCCAGTGTCTGGATCTCTATTTGTAGGGTTTGGTAGGTAATCATGGTCACTTAGTCCATAGTTAACATAGTTGTTCCCGGACTAATGCTTTTATAGAAACGGAGATGTGGAGGGCTTGAGTAAAACCTTCAATATCTTGTCCAACATGAGGATAAGCACTGGCAAAGACAATGATGAACAAGATCAAATATGTTTCAGGAAGGGTTTTCCTAGAGCTAGAATGATCAGCTAACAGTGTTTCTGCACAAATAAAATCAATAAACAATGTAAGGACATAGAGGAGGATATGTAGTTCTTTATCTTACACAATGAAGTACCTTTGTAGGTCCTAATTTCCTTTATTTGTCTTTCGTGCTGACAAGCTTTGGCACAATACTCTTCTCGGAGGCAGTTTCATTTTTTTGCTTTCAGTTTCTCGCTGCCTTCCATGCTAAAAAATCCTCGTTCGTTAGTCACAATACAATTAGACAGGAGGAGGTGGCATTGTGAAAGCCAAAATTAGATACCAGTCAGTAGAAAAGAATACCTCTAGATGAAGGAAGAAAAATAGGACTAAAATCTTTAGTACTTCAAGCACTGCAGGCTAAAATACTACATATAGGCCACAGGCCGGATTCATGAACACAAGGGGCTGTGTGTTTGACACCACTGCAGTTAACAGTGAAAATACCATCAATATTTTAAAAGTTATCTGGAAAAGTTGGATAAAAATAGGTCAATGAGCTTTACCTAGTCTGTTTCTTTAACCCAATTTTTTTCAATTTGCAACAGTTAACTTGTTTCTCATATGTTTGAGTCTTCTTTTTTAGGCAGCTTATGAAGAAATAGAGAACACAGCAGTGAGTCATCTTAATAATCTCCTAGATCTGGATACCACGTACATAGAATATTACCCCATTCCCACTATGGCATTTAATGGACTGAGGCAAGTAAAATACTGCATGTCTTACCACAATGTGTATGTTTGTTATGCAAAATGTGCACTGAAAAGCAGGAAATAGTACATAACCATTTTTAATCCTAGCATGATTATTCCTGATTTTGTTCATAATTCCTGGTGGGCTATATATGTAAAATTAGAATAAAATGGAACAATAATAGTGTAGACTAGGCATGTGCATGGGGAAAATTTTCGGTTCGGTTCGGCATTCCGAAATTCGGGACTTTCGCAATTCGGGACTTCGGCAATTCGGCACTTCAACACTTCGGAACTTCGGCACTTTGACATTTCGGAAATTCGACCACTTCGGAACTTCGGCATTTTGGAATTTCGGGACTTCGGCACTTCGGGACTTCATTTGCAGCCGCTTAGTAGATAACTCCCTAATTCCCACGGTATTAGGGAGTTATCTACCAAAAGGCTGAAAGACCTAAATTGGTCTTTCAGGTAATTTTACTAATACTAAATAAAAATTACTTAGTATTAGTAAATTTTGCCCCTACTCGCTATACCGCGAGTAGGGGCATGTCTAGTAAACAGTGAGCAGCCAGGGGTGGGGGCAGGGGGGGAGGACAATAGGTCCCCCCCCTATTGGTATTTAGGGCCCCCACCCACCGCTCAGGGGTGGGGGCCAGGGGGGAGGACATTAGGCCCCCCCTATTAGTATTTAGGGCCCCCACCCACCGCTCAGGGGTGGGGGCCAGGGGGGAGGACCTTAGGTCCCCCCTTATTAGTATTTAGGGCCTCCACCCACGGCTCAGGGGTGGGGGCCAGGGGGAAGGACAGTAGGTCCCCCCCTTATTCCAATTTAGGGCCCCCACCTGCGGCTAAGGGGTGAGGGCCAGGGGGGAGGACATTAGGTCCCCCCTTATTCCAATTTAGGGCTCCCACCCGCTTAGGGGTGGGGGCCAGGGCGGAGGACATTAGGTCCCCCCCTTATTATAATTTAGGGCCCCCACCCACCGCTCAGGGGTGGGGGCCAGGGGGGAGGACATTAGGTCCCCCCCCTATTCTGATTTAGGGCCCCACCCACCGCTCAGGGGTGGGGGCCCGGGCTGAGGACAATAGGTCCCCCCATTATTTTACATTAGGGCCCCCACCCGCTGCTTAGGGGTGGGGGCGGTGGGGCAATAGGCAGTACTGATGATGCCTAACAAGGCTGAAAAAATCGTCTGGGGGTGTTGCTGTATTTTTCGTGCAGAGAGAACATGCTGGCATTTTGAATCTGGACTGCCCGTATGGGTGGGCCCAGTCTGATATGCTTCAGATATGTTCTCTCTGTAATGGCACAAGATCAGCTAAAACCAGCTTGAGTTCTGAGCGGGGACCCAACGAAGGGCAGGCTATTTTAGCTGCTGTCCGTTCTCAGAATACTCTTGCGACTCATTTTTTGCTCTCCATTAGTTTAAAGGGTAATCCAGACGTGGACCCCTTGCTCACGGTGCCTAGAGAGATATCAGCTATGCTTCACTGATGATGCCTAACAAGGCTGAAACGATCATCTGGGGTGTTACTGTATCTCTCGTGCAGAGAGAACTTGCTGGCATTTTGGATCTGGACTGCCCGTATGGGTGGGACCAGTCTGATATGCTTCAGATATGTTCTCTCTGTAATGGCACAAGATGAGCTAAAACCAGCTTGAGTTCTAAGCGGGGACCCACCGAAGGGCAGGCTATTTTAGCTGCTGTCCGTTCTCAGAATACTCTTGCGACCCATTTTTTGCTCTCCATTAGTTTAAAGGGTAATCCAGACGTGGATCCCTTGCTCACGGTGCCTAGAGAGATATCAGCTATGCCTCACTGATGATGCCTAACAAGGCTGAAACGATTGTCTGGGGTTGCTGTATCTCTCGTGCAGAGAGAACTTGCTGGCATTTCGGATCTGGACTGCCCGTATGGGTGGGACCAGTCTGATATGCTTCAGATATGTTCTCTCTGTAATGGCACAATATGAGCTAAAACCAGCTTGAGTTCTGAGCGGGGACCCACCAAAGGGCAGGCTATTTTAGCTGCTGTCCGTTCTCAGAATACTCTTGCGACCCATTTTTTGCTCTCCTTTCCGTTTATACAGGGAGTGCAGAATTATTAGGCAAGTTGTATTTTTGAGGATTAATTTTATTATTGAACAACAACCATGTTCTCAATGAACCCAAAAAACTCATTAATATCAAAGCTGAATATTTTTGGAAGTAGTTTTTAGTTTGTTTTTAGTTTTAGCTATGTTAGGGGGATATCTGTGTGTGCAGGTGACTATTACTGTGCATAATTATTAGGCAACTTAACAAAAAACAAATATATACCCATTTCAATTATTTATTATTACCAGTGAAACCAATATAACATCTCAACATTCACAAATATACATTTCTGACATTCAAAAACAAAACAAAAACAAATCAGTGACCAATATAGCCACCTTTCTTTGCAAGGACACTCAAAAGCCTGCCATCCATGGATTCTGTCAGTGTTTTAATCTGTTCACCATCAACATTGCGTGCAGCAGCAACCACAGCCTCCCAGACACTGTTCAGAGAGGTGTACTGTTTTCCCTCCTTGTAAATCTCACATTTGATGATGGACCACAGGTTCTCAATGGGGTTCAGATCAGGTGAACAAGGAGGCCATGTCATTAGATTTTCTTCTTTTATACCCTTTCTTGCCAGCCACGCTGTGGAGTACTTGGACGCGTGTGATGGAGCATTGTCCTGCATGAAAATCATGTTTTTCTTGAAGGATGCAGACTTCTTCCTGTACCACTGCTTGAAGAAGGTGTCTTCCAGGAACTGGCAGTAGGACTGGGAGTTGAGCTTGACTCCATCCTCAACCCGAAAAGGCCCCACAAGCTCATCTTTGATGATACCAGCCCAAACCAGTACTCCACCTCCACCTTGCTGGCGTCTGAGTCGGACTGGAGCTCTCTGCCCTTTACCAATCCAGCCACGGGCCCATCCATCTGGCCCATCAAGACTCACTCTCATTTCATCAGTCCATAAAACCTTAGAAAAATCAGTCTTGAGATATTTCTTGGCCCAGTCTTGATGTTTCAGCTTGTGTGTCTTGTTCAGTGGTGGTCGTCTTTCAGCCTTTCTTACCTTGGCCATGTCTCTGAGTATTGCACACCTTGTGCTTTTGGGCACTCTAGTGATGTTGCAGCTCTGAAATATGGCCAAACTGGTGGCAAGTGGCATCGTGGCAGCTGCACGCTTGACTTTTCTCAGTTCATGGGCAGTTATTTTGCGCCTTGGTTTTTCCACACGCTTCTTGCGACCCTGTTGACTATTTTGAATGAAACGCTTGATTGTTCGATGATCACGCTTCAGAAGCTTTGCAATTTTAAGAGTGCTGCATCCCTCTGCAAGATATCTCACTATTTTTGACTTTTCTGAGCCTGTCAAGTCCTTCTTTTGACCCATTTTGCCAAAGGAAAGGAAGTTGCCTAATAATTATGCACACCTGATATAGGGTGTTGATGTCATTAGACCACACCCCTTCTCATTACAGAGATGCACATCACCTAATATGCTTAATTGGTAGTAGGCTTTCGAGCCTATACAGCTTGGAGTAAGACAACATGCATAAAGAGGATGATGTGGTCAAAATACTCATTTGCCTAATAATTCTGCACTCCCTGTATAAGCCTATTGTCTCCATTGTATCAAGTTTGATCCATTATTTTAACTTGAATGGCTGTAATTTGCAGTAATCCTTGTGAAGTGAATTGTTACTTGGGAAGAAAGATGAGTGTCTTGGTCATTGAATAAGAGGAAAAATTATACTGTTCGAGACTACTTTATTGTTGTAGAATACAAAATGTAATTTACTGTACACACCGTACGTAATAAATACATCAAATATACATCTGTATGGAGATTAATATTTCTGGAGAGGAAATCAATGACATCTCTGATCTTGTTTTGTGTTTCTTTCTAGTTATTATGCCATTGCAATCAAGCTTGAAAACTTCTACCAGACAACACTCAGAAATAAGTGGTGGGGAGCCATAGGTGGAATAATAAGCAATTTAAAACCTAAAAGACTTCCACTGACTGACATACAACTCCATGAGCAATTTAAGAAGAAGTTTGGTTATAGGAAAGCTATTAAATGCAAGGTACACTCTATGAAAGGTTGGGGTTCTTTAACATACCTGTTGCTTAAACATCATATGTTATCCATTGTGATGTTTAAAGGAGGTTGATGGGTCTGAATATAAATTACTGTAAGCAAGCTTGATGCTTTGTCCATGTGTATGACTGCCTCTTCGTGAAAATGGCTGTTCTATTGACTCATATAGCGGAGGTAAGTGTGCTTGTGTTTCCCTTTGCTGCACAGCACAACCTTGTAAATATTTAAGAAACATTTACTTGCTAGAAGCAATGGCTGTCAGTTATAATTCCCAAGTAAGATTCTATTTCCACTCTGCTTCTGCATCACTGAAGTGAGGTGATATCATGGCACATCAACCACAACATTACTCAGTTCTCCATTACTAATGGCTCTACTGTAGACACAGACCAAGTTCCACCTTAAAAGGATCTGCATGATAGTGGTTGCACATACACCATAGATATGCCATCAGCTGGCCACAAGAGGGATGGCACATTATCTAAACTAAGATCAGAAAAACCTGTATTCAGTTTAACCTCTAACCTTTGTTTGCTTTTCAGAATCTATCATTTGGTTTAAAATCTGCTGCAGAGAGAGGACTAGCTGCAATCTTTCATACGTTTTGCCGTAAAACACCAAATTCCAGGCTCAATGTTATAGATGAAGTTGGCTATGCTCTTATCCATCATGCAGCTATACACAATCGTGTGTCTGTTGTTTCTCAGATAGCCAAAATTGGTTTGAATCTGAATCAAAGACGCAGTGATCATTTTACAAGTCAAGGTAATATACACAATCACATTATGGCAATGCAAATCTAATAATTGTCTTTAGAAGGAAATATTGTTGTGGCCAAGGATAGCCTATCAGAAACTAGAACCCTTTTTGCAGCAAGACAGCACATCCTTACAATCATGACCAGTATGAGGACTTGGGATTGGGTGCAGGTTTCTAGCAGGTCAAACTGGTTCCATTGGGGCCTTAAAAATTTTAAGAGAAATCCTGAGTGTTAAGTTCGATAAAGGGGTCAGCAGAAGCCACGACAGCCTGAAGATCAGGGCAGGTATGTTGAAATCATAGTCAGATCAAGAAATCCACAAGACTGATGTGGGAAAAAAATATAATTTAAACAATTTTAATGCAATATTAAAATTATCACCTCTTCGGTGGTATTTTGTGTATTTCTTATTCATGGGTCCCCTACCAGAGGCCTGGAAGTCTGAGGGTTTTAGCAGTTCCTAGAATTGGCTCCAGTGGTTATGATGGTTGCAGTGTTCTTTTAAAGGAAAACTATAGCTCCAGGAAAACAAACCTGTTTTCCTGGCACTATAGCTTCCCCCTCTCTCAAGGCCCCCCACGCCCCTGTGGTGAAGAAGGGGTTAATTACCTGAGTCCAGCGCCAATGCCGCTCGGAGATGGCTCGGCTCCGCCCACGCTTCTTCCCCACCAACATCAGCTGGCTGGGGAGACCTAATATGCATACGCTCGCATTAGGATCTGCTTATAGGAAAGCATGATTCACTGCTTTCCTATGGGGATTTCGGTGACGCTGGAAGTCCACATGCATAACGTGAGGACTTCCAGCTTCATTTAGATGACCAAAAGTCGCCTTCGATCCCCTAAGTCCCTCTAGTTACTGTCTCGTAGACAGCCACTAGAGGAGGAGTTAACCCTAACAGGTAATTATTGCGGTGGCGGGACCGGTGCTTGTTCGTGAATTGCCTGTCTGTTATTATGTGTGTTTCCCCATGTCTTTGTGTTTTCTGCCCGCTCCCCTCCTACGAAGGGAATTCATTCGCCTCCCAAACGAGGACCACCCCGATATCCCATTTAGAATTTTAGTTTAGAACATTCACACCTCACAACATGGTGTAAAACTGCAAACCGCAAGTGAAACAATTAATGAGCACTCTGCTGGCTTGCCGCCATTGGTACAGATGAACGCCAGCCAGCGGGAGCATTCGTGGGTTGTTTCCCGACTCGTTTGTTTTCCGAATGAGGACCTCCCCAGTGCCGCATTAAAACGTTCACTTCAATTAATCAGTGCTCCCCTGGGTGGCCGCACAGACGAATGCCGTCCAGGGGGAGTGTTCATGTCCAGAAAGCATTTCTTAATGCTTTCCTATGGACGTTCTGCACGCTGGATGCGAAATTCGCAGAAGCGCCTCTAGCGGCTGTCAGGAAGACAGCCACTAGAGGTTGGATTAACCCTGCTATGTTTACAGTGTTTAAATTTACATTAAGCTGAAGTGGTCTGGGTGACTATAGTGTCCCTTTAAATAAGGTATATTTAAAACTTAACTTTTATTTTAGAGACAATATTTAAAAGACAAAATAGAACTAAAAAAAAACAAGGGATAACAAGGGATAACAAAATACACAAAAATTCTATCTGTGACTTCGAAGGCACCTGTAAAAGTCCATGGCAAGTATCTAACTAAATGCAATAAATATTCAAGTACTGTCTATGCCTTCAAGGGCACCTGCAAGTTTAACAAAGAAGGTGTCTAAGCTAGCACTACTATCTGGAAAGAAATAAATGTCTGAAATCTGTTGGGCACTCTAAGTGTTTAATATATCGTAGAGATGGTCCTGTATCAGAAGTAGCTAAAACAGGACCAGGCATCGGTAGGAGTCCTGATTCTGTCTGGTAGACAGCCACTAGACGAGGAGTTCACCCTAGCAGGTAATTATTGCAGTTTATAAAAACTGCAATAATTACATGCTCGGGTTAAGAGTGATGGGACATTGCACCCAGACCACTTCAATGAGCTGAAGTCGTTTTGGGGGCCTACAGTGTCCCTTTAATAACATGCCCTAATATAACCACCATAATAACCACCATAATAAGTGAGGCATTGAAGCTAGACAGGAATCCATGCATATTCTGAGTCGTTTATAAATAAAAACATGGTTTATTTTGACAGTAACTTTAAGTGCTTTGGGGGGCTCTGCGCTATTATTGCATTTCCTGACATTTCCTGCTGTACTATTAACCTTGAATTTAACAGTTCCACTATAATGAATGCAACAATGCTATAATACTGTTCATTTTTTTTTTCTAGGAAGAACAGGTTTGGGTGCTGTAGCAGAAAGAACAGGTACTATTCTTTTATGGTTTTGTTTGCAGGTAATTAAAGGAGAACCATCACATTTTAATATTATTTTTACTTATCCCTAATATTAAAAAAATCTCCAAATTCTGAAGCTGTCTTTACTGCTGTTCTGTTACTGATCATGTCCATCTTGGTTATTGTTATAAGCTCCGCCCTTTAAACCCATCAATCAGCGTAGAAAAAGCATGCAGCCAGGAGGAGAATCACAAACATTGTCTGTTTCACCTTCTCCAATGCAATGTGTGTGCACGGACTGTGGATTTAGGTGGATTGTGGTGTTAGTTGCTAAATCTTTAATATGCATCAAATGTAAAACAAGGTTAACAAATTATATCTGGTTTTCAATATTCAATGCAGTCATTTTAGAAAAGTGGTGTTGCCTTTGAAATCTCTCATTTAAACATGTATTTCTAACATTAGAGTCCTTTTCTACCTGGTTAGATTTTTGGCCCCCCAAAAGTAAAAGAAAGTATTTTGACTTCCCTTTAGTCCCTTGCAGCTGCCATTCTGCCACGGCTGAGATAATGACGATGATCTCTGATTTTCCAGTGCTTACCAATAGGGAAGCATTTGGGGGGCTACTCCACATATGTGGTTTATTGGCTCAGTGCATCTCTATGCTGAGTGTTCAGGGCATGAAGATGCCGAATTGAATGCAACAGAAAGCACCTGTGGGATAGCGGTGTACATAGGAAGCAGTGGTGTCCATAGGAAACAATGTAAAACCTGGGTTTTTTTTGTCTCTTTGCACCAGAACTATTACAGTAAACTGTAGTGTTTCTGGTGCTTAGGGTGTCTCTTTAATGTTAACTACAGTAGCCAAAGACAAATCACAAAAAACATGTTCAGTCAGATTAATATTTAATCAGTACATCTGCAAACATATGTGAATTGTGTAATCTCCAAATATTTTTTTTTTAATCTTCTTATTTTAAAGAAAATTTGTTTGTATATCTTTGTTATTTGACTTTTATTAATTTAAGGAACACTAACTGGCATTATAAACAGATTTAGTTATTTATAAAAATTAGAATTTTCTGTGGGCTATTTGGGTTACTGGGCTTTCTTCTCAAATGAAAAGATGACTTACCTGTAATCCAGCAGAGTAATCCTTACTGCAGTTGGTTTCCGCATCTGGGAGCTGAATACTAATCTCCTGGCCAATCCAATACTTCTCATAGAGAAACAGTGAGAGGCATGGCACATTCAATGGCAATTCAGTCCAATGCTTCTCTATGAGAGTCTTGTATCTACTTTGAGCGAGTGCTTAAAGCATACAAGGAAGGGCACCCTCCTCACTGTTTGATTGACAGCTACAAGAGTACCAACCAGCACCTTTGTAAAAATGACAACTTCTCTTGAAACTAGCACTTTTATAAAATTATAAAAAGAGGACACTCTGTTAACCTATAGGGCTAGTGCTTCGGGGTTGTTCCTTGAAATAGCAAATCAAAAAACAAGTCTCAACAATTAAACAAGAATGCATAACTAGGCATTATTTCTACCTTTAGGTGTAAATTCAACACATTGAGATTTCAGTCTACTATTTAATAAATTGTCCCAGTCATCTTTCTGTTTATATTGATTAATGTGTTACTTCTTCACTTTCCATCCTACAAATATGATATGAACTGGTTTAGGGGTAGGAACTGTGACAACCAATCCTTTGCATTAATCATTACAAACATTGCATCATATAACCAATACACGTTGAATATTTGATGTGCATGAGTTTGGGTATTTAACTATTGGTTGCTCAGTATGCCATATTCTTTAATGATGTTATCATTGTATAACAAAGCTGTGTCTCTTGGCTGTAGGACCAACTGCTTTGCACCTGGCAGCACGATGTGGGTCTTTAGAAGTGCTGTCGTGCCTTCTGGCATTAAAAGCTGATTATCTAATACACGACAAGCGTGGCTGGCTACCAATACATTTTGCAGCCTTCTATGGTACCATACCCTGCATCAGAGCTCTGTGCAGGAAGGACCCAGCTCTCTTGGAGATTGAAACAGTATCTAAGTAAGTTTTGTGCCATATGGACAGCCATTTGTTTTACAAGTAACTGAAAATGAAAACAAAATCAGACTGAGCTACTATTACCAATACTTCTATAGACATATTCTGTCAAATTTTTAAAACTGTCTGAAAATACAGAATAGGGTTAGTGTCAAGTCGACAAAATAAAATCTTGATTTTTTTTTTGTGTCTGTGCTAAAATATAAAAAATAAAGGATTCTTGAGTGTTGTTATGGGTATGTACATGTAATGCAGAAAATAAGGCTTCCACATATGAGATATTTGATTGGGTAGGTCAAATTCCTGCAGTTGTAAGCAGCAGACAGACAACTACAGAGAGAATTCAATGTATCATAATCTACTCAATGATCATAGACAATTATGGTCCTTGGAATTTCCTGTAATAAACATTGTTTTTCTTCAGGACTTATAGCTATTTGTGATGTAGGGCTCATTAAATAAAATTCTAAAATAAATTCCAGCTTTTTTATTTATTATTATTATTATTATTATTGCCATTTATATAGCGCCAACAGATTCCATAGCTTTATGACTTGATAGGTCTCCTGGCTATGGATATATTGATTTTCTGTGTTCCTATCTTTATTGAGTGATTATATTATTATTATTATTATTAAACATCATAGTCCAAAAATGTATTTTATGTAGTTAATTTTTCTGCTATTTTCCCCTAGATATCATTCCACTCCATTGTTGCTCACGGCCATTTCTGGATCACTTGATACCCTTCAGTACCTTTTCTCCATTGGCGCTAACTGGAAAAAAATAGATAGCATGGAGAACAATATAATTCACTTAGCAGTCCTGTATTTTCACACACACATCTTGAAATACATTATTGAATTAAACATACAGGAGCTCCATGTGTGGCAACACCTTGTAGGTAAGTCACATTACTTATAGAATCAGCCTCACTTGTACAAACATCTGTTAGTTAAAAAGGATAGTTACATATTTCATCTCCCCCCACCCATTCTCTCTTTGGAACAATCGTCTCTTCTGCTCTCCTTCTTCCCTCTTTCCATCCCTCACTTCTTTACACTCTCCCACATTATTCAAAAAACATTCTTAGGTCGCAAGCCCAGCAATAGCCCATACGCAATTGCCAGACAACGACAGATATCTTGCTATTTGATAGTAAGTAGAAAACATTAGATAACTCTCTCCACGCACTAACCAAGAGCTATGTTGGCTGAATTACCACAAGGTAACCCCAAGGGAACAGCTACCTTCACAATATTATTTTAATTGTTAAGATACAATACTTATCAATGTGCTACAATAATTAAACCCGATTTTACACGTTGATTCGATGTAATATAGATTGTTGGTGTATTACGCATTTTTTATTTTAAATGTCTATATGCCTATGTAATGTTTTGCCTACTGCCTAAGACAAATTAAAGAATGTACATTTAAAAAAAAGAATAGTCATATAGTTCCATAGTCCTTTGATCATTTTCCTGTTGAGGATGGACGCATGTCTATTCTAAGTGCTGTTGAGCTCTTTCTATATATCTCTTTCCTGCAAAGTTATTTACAACTATTATTTTAAAGAATATATCAGCAATTTCTAACTATCATCATGCTACAGAAAATATCAGCCTCTTTTATCATTTTAAAGGAACTCTGAAAGAATAAAAGTAATTTTTACCTTTTTGGAGTGTTCCTTTAACCTTTTTCTCCAAAGGTGAGTTCTCTCTATGCTGCTTTACTCCATCTGCGGGAGACTGTCAGTGACAACAGTCTCCCTTCCTGTCTGGATGAAACTGGTGCATTGATGGCAATTGTGTCCCTATGGAATAATGGTTCAGTGCTTGAAATTGGCACTTTCATAAAATAGGACAAGGTGGACATGCAGTCCCATCGATTGAGTTGTTTTAAATATTCCTTCTCTCTTCTGACCTATAGGTGTTTACTAATGTATGGTTTATTTACAGATATGCTGAAGTCTGAAAATTCCCATAGAATTGAAATGGCAGCAAGGTGTCTGGAGGTCCTCTGTGTTGTGAAGAGAAGCTATTGGGAGGACATTTACAAAGCAGGTAAGATGTGTTAGTGATTGCTAATTATTATCAGTTATGGTTTATTTAATTTCCTATTTTTTGTAAGAAAAATATTATTGAATTTTTAAAGTATAATTGAGAGGAGGGGAACAGAAGGCAAAAAGCATATAGTAAGGGTAAATATGGTGAGAATGCATCTTTACTGAGTTCCTGAGTAACTATGTTACTGAGAAAACATAGATATAACTAAACATACAGTACAGTGAGTAAAGTAAATCTGTATATTTCTATGCACAGAGGGTCATTCATTGGCTGAGAGTGATTAGCAGATGCTCTCAGCCAATGAAAGGCCGGTTGGATTGGCATTCAGCTTCTGCAGCTCTGCAGATGCCAGATGTTTGTCACCCAGCAGGATTGGAGCCTTGGCACCCTGCGGGACTCCTGATAAGAAGACCATGGGTGCCAGACAACATAGCCACTACAGAGAGCTCTTATTATAGTGCTTGAAGTAACCCTTTATAACCCTTTGTAAGAGTAAGCATGGTTCCCATATATATGTCTAATTTTCTCAGTTATGGAAGGATCTACGTTGTGCATAGATTGTAGATTATGTGGGTGGATATTTGTAGACTGTTGGTGGGGATGTTGTTAGTTTTCCATTTTTGTGCAATATGTATGGGAGAAGCTATGCTATTGTGCCCACGTCCCCTTCCTCCCTAGCTGAGATCTTGATAGGGAATAGGGATATGTTGTGCCAATCAGCACCTTCTCACAGTGATGCATTGATTCAATACATCTCTATCGGGAGTATTTATCACCTACATGCAGAGAGTTGAGATGTTGAATGGAGGTCCTGCAAAAATTGCAGGACCTCATCTAGGAAGTCCCTCTAGTTAGTGTTCCTCTAGTGGCTGTGTGTTTTGTGTTTTTTTAAGAATTGTCAAAGAATCATCTAGAAGAAAGGTGGAGGTGCTACCTTAAAAGCACAGCTGAATACAAGATCTGAAGCAGTCATTAATAGGCTATGATATATGGGTGTGTCATCACACCACTTTTTTATGTTCAATATTTATATTTACAAGTTGCACTGTTATATGTTCATGTTAATTTTCATGTGCACCCAATGATATCTCTGCCTTAACAAGTTGTTAAGGGTTAGCAAATGTCAGCACTACACTATAATTTATAAGTGTCTCACTTATATAGTTTTTTTCTTGAAAAAGCAGAGTTTACAATGCTGAGCCACTAGAGCAGACTTAATGCACCAGAACCACTGCATTCATCTGTAGTGGTTCTAAAGACTGTAGTGTCCCTTTAAGAATTGAAATTTATTTATTTGAACACAAAATGTTAATTATTTGTTTTATCTTAAGCCTATTTTATTTGTGGTATAATTTCGCATTACGATATAATATGATGTATATAAATGATGGATTTTTTTGTTCATTATTAATTTTTGTTATTTTTCAAATATAGGATGCGTTCAATGTCTTGTTGATCTTTTGAAAAGTGGCCGTTTGAATTTGGAGTGTTTGGCTTCAGGAGTTTTAAGCAATATATCAAATAATATTCCTGTCTCAAAGACTCTTGTAGAATCTGGAGCCATTCCTGTTCTGATTACATTATTAAGCTCACATCAACCAGAGCTACAGTCCAGATGCTCTGTTATTTTGTCTGACATTGCCCAGGTGGACAGTAATCAAAATGTAATTGCAGAAATGGTAAGGCTTCCTTTGTTGCATAAAGATTGATGATCCCACAAAGAAAAATTTACAAATTAAAAGTGCATACATTTCTTTTAGAACAGAAAGGTTTTAAATTGGATGTGGATTTAACAGTGAATACAGCAATTCAGGCTGTGTACCTGGTGCTTGAATTACATAATAAAACCAGGATATATAAAATATGAGTACATGGAGTACTATGACTTGTGACCTTAAACTATCCAATATGATCGAAATATACCTAATGTTGTTCCATATATTTTTTTCTAATTTATCTAAAGCTCCAGATTACATTAGACTCTTGACTCATATATACATACATACATTGGGTATAACTCTAGACACGCAACGTTAATCCTGATTAATATTCTTTAAACACTGTGTGACATATCGTAGGCTTTATTACATGTATCCATCTGTGTAGAAAAAAAAATAAAAAATAAAAATTTACTGCTATATCTAGGGTAAGGCTATCTTTTTTCTGCCAATTATTGATTTAAAAAAATTACAGTATTCTTAAAAAAATAAATTAAAAAAATTAAAAGTTAAGATTATAACGTTGGTATTTTTACTTATGTACTTAACAAGAAAGTGAACAAACTGGGTTGCCAATAGAGCAGTTATCCAAATAAAACACAACATACTTCATATCAACACACATTTGTTAAGGTAAATTGTTGCTTAAAGTTGCTTTTCATTTTAATGTATATGATTGATCATGATTCAGACCAATTTCCTTAAATTGTAAATGTTTTCTTAGGGTGGAATTCCTCCTTTGGTCCATCTGCTCTATGGAGAATTAGAAGATGTGCTGGTGAATTCTATAAATTGCGTCCGGGTTCTGTGTGTCCAAAATCCAACCAACCAACGAGCAGTCAAAGACCTTGGTGGCATTCCACTCCTTGTGGAACTTCTAGGTGTCAAGTCAGGTAGACAATTCTCACATGTCCCGAACTTGTAGTCAATTTGACATAGTCTTTCATCAACACTGTTGACACTGTCCTGGGGTTACTCTTTGGTTTTTCTTGTTGGTTCTTGGTAGCCCTTAAACATGTCTCATCTGATTTTTGACTTAGCTCATTTTTGACTATTACTATTATTGGTATTCTGATCCAGATATTATATTTGACCATGGTTACTTGCATGTTTTGTGTCTTGGGTAGAACTCTGCAAAGCCTAGCCATTCTAAGAACTTTCTGGTTTAGGTCTTGCCATTGCTTTGCTATTTGCGTTGCACACAATGTGAATATGTGACATAATTACTGGATTAATATTTATTATATTAATATCATATTTTATATATGATTCATATTTGAGCATAATTCTGATATTAAAACAGATACCAGATGGTACTTAATGTGATGAATATAATAAATATGAGAATTGCTAATTAAATTTAAATTTGTTCTTTTCACCCAGCTTTTGCTAATCTGGTACAAAATCGAACTTAAAGGAATACACCCAATAGATTGCCTTTGGAAAACAGAAAAAATAAAAATACAACAGTACATGTAAACAACAAACATCTGGAATGGAAATAAATTTAGACATAGACATGGTGATCAGCCTAAGCATAATTTAATGTACTGTAGATGCTGTGATTATTCCTCTGACTGGTTCACTTCTATTAAGTTATTCATATATTCCACCACATTTAGAGTGTCTCAGTCATGAAACAATAACCCTATTAATTTATTTTCGTTTTACATTACTCACACATTTCTAGAAACTGACAATTTACAAGCTGTACACTTTGCTGATTACATTATTTCTCAAACATTATTTAACATTATGTTTTACCTTTAAAGATATTTTGGTAAGTGCATCCTCAGCTGCGATTGCTGAACTTGCTAGAGGGAACAAGCTTATTCAAGATGTCATAGCAAAAGAAAATGCAATTGATCCTCTTATTAACATAATTCGAGGAAGGAAACTCAATATTCAAGTGAAAGCTGCCATGGCGATGGAGGCGCTTGCTGATCATAATGCTGCAATACAAAAGGAGTTTTTGGACAGAGCTGTGTCGAAACATATTTCAAAACTCCTGAAGGCAAGTTCATTTCATTTAATTGTTTTCTAAAAGAATCTATAGGTATGTAGGCCCAATGTTGTTTTTTTAATTTCTGGTTTGTCCAAAATAAACAATAAGTCCTCTAAGATCTCCAGTTAGATTACTGACAACATTCTTTAAACAGCTGAGAACTCCTTTCCTGAAATACGAGGGGTAAAGGAGTAACTTTTGGATGTACGATGCCTGTTGTTATTACTATTCTTTCTTTTTTCCTCTTTTTTTCTCCTAATCCCTCTTCATATCTCCCTACCTGTCTCTGCTTACATCGATTTTGTTCTTTACCAAAGCCCATTATGGGGGATTTATTGAGCCTCTCTTTTCTTTTCCTATAGAAGCTGCTGCCAATTTTTGTCTGTTTCTTCTACATAACCTGTATTCTCACTCTGACTGCTAATGGTTTATTGGCCCCTTAAGCTGTTAACTTTGTGATTTTGTGTTGTATTAATTGACATTCTTTCTGTTGCACAACTGTAAATAAATTAAGAAAAATGAAACAATAATCAGGTATCAATTGAATCTTGATATTCTGTTCTAGGTCTTTCAGCTGGACGTCCGAGAACAGGGCAGTATAACCCTGTGGGCACTGGCAGGGCAAACACGTAAACAGCGAAAGAACATGGCTGAACAGATTGGCTATAATTTTATCATAGACATGCTCTTATCACCGTCTAATAAGATGCAATATGTAGGTGAGTTTTCTTCTCTCTCACTAAGTATAGACTTATCCAAAATCCAAATATTAAACTATATATATTTTCTGGAAGGTGGAGAGGCTGTCATTGCTTTATGCAAAGACAGCAAACATCACCAGGACCAAATCTGTGACGGAAATGGCATTGGGCCTTTGGTACGACTCTTACGAAATTCTAAGGTGGCTGAAGGAACGCTTCTCAGTATTATAAAAGCCCTTGGAACAATGTGCATTGGTATGTAGTTTATATTTTCCACTAACAAAAAAACACATAATTAATCATTTTGGGGGACAAACAGTCTTTGAAAAGTATGCCAAAAGGAATATCATATTTCAGTTGCTGTGGGCAAAATACTATTTTATAGTTGTGAAGGTCTAATCTATAATAATATTCTGTTGATGCTAATAAATAGAATGCACTCAATGATGACTTTGTTTGGAACACCAATCTAGTACTAGGTATGAACCATCAGAATTCTTTGTAGCATAGATTCAGCAAAGTTCACTTATTAACATAATAAATACTCTGTGCCCCCCTATTTCACCTGTTCCCAAAGATGTTTTTTGGGGGGTTGAGATGTCAGTACTGTGAAGTAAACAAAAATAACCAAATCAGTTTAAGAATAATGCTTTTTGGCATGGCTAAATGTTTTTGTTTGAAAATGAGTGGACGGCGAAAATAAATGCATGCACATAGTCAGCAGCAATTCTTAGTTACACAGTGACATCCAAATAACAGTCATGTGATTTACGTGATCTAATGTGTGTAAAGAAAATATTTCCCACATTATGACAGTTCCACTATGATAGACAGAAGGGAGGGCAGATGTGTTCATTTAACTCAAAATTCTGATTGTACTATACCTGCACCTCGCAGTAAAATTTCAAATACATGATTAGACAATGATATAATTATTAAACATTTTGCAATCTGTAGCCTAAGCTTTCTGTCCTTAATTTAAAGATTAAAATGCAGCACAATATCCTGCTGCTATTACCTGTCCTCTTCTGTGTCCACATTTTACATTCAGAGATTCTCTTCCCCACACCAATGTTGTAAAGAATGTTGGTAGTGGTAGTAGTATTTGTGGACTTTGTCAGTTTGAATGTGCCTGTAGATGGTCAGATGATATTTGAACATTGCATCTTTCTCTGTAAACTGTAGTTCGTGAAAATGCCTATAGGTCAGTTATTTCTGAGATGTCAAAGTATCGCTTGGTGCTCCAACATTCATACCACAGTTAGAGCAAATCTCCCAGGTGTCCCTATGTAAGACAGACAGTCCATATTAAGGGCCCAAATCCCCCTGTCCCTCTTTTCTTTCCTAGTGTCCCTCTTTTCTAGGAGCTCCCTATTTTTGGTGTGTCCACAGAAATAATATTTCCAGCAATGTGTCTTTAAACTGCAATAAATGTGTTTAGAAATCAATCTTTGTAAATAAGATACATTATTCTTCTAAATTACATTTTAGTTGCATAAAATGTTATAAGTAAGTGTCCTAAAATTTCGCAGAAGAGCCCTGCCCCTGATCACACCACCAGTCACACCTCTAAAATTAAAGTGTCTTGCTTTTTCATTTACATATGAACATTTAAAGGAGGGCCCTCCATCATGTAATTGTTCATTTACAGGGACATTTTTTATTTATTTATTTTTATTTTGTAAATATGGGTTTTATTGACGTAAATGCAGATGTTTACAGGCGTGCAGATTTGGTAAGGAGACACGCAAGTCTCGAGCGTAATGTTAGGTATCAATGCATCTAGTTTGACATCATGTTCCTACTCCCATAGAGCTCGCAGGCCTCGTTTTCATAAGGTCGTATTTTCGGCACGTTTGCCAGCTACCTCTCATCCCATTCTCCTTTCTGCTGTAATTCCCCCTTCCTGATTTGTGTTCCTGTGCTCAGGGTGTTGTGCGTCCTCTGGTGGGACAGGGACATTTTTAATTATTTGTTTAAACGAACATGTGTATCTGATAAAACGGTCATTGATTGTATAGTAAACATTGCAATTTAAAGTTAGACATGGATTTTCTGTACTGTGCAGTGTGTGTATTGTGTAAAGCAAGAGAGAGTAATAGGTACATAATATCCCCTCAAGTTTTATGTACATCCAACTCAAATCTAGAACTCATGTTCTGTCTGTTTTCACCAACACATCGCTGTTGGTCCATAAATTGTTATCACTATTTTTTATTTTATTGAATGTGTGAGAGAGCACTTTTTGGGCTTGAGCATTTCTGAAATGTAATACTGGTCTTGATTAAAGGGACACACTAAGCCCCAGAACAGCATAATGAAATGGTTTTAGTGTATAGATTATGCCCATGCAGTCTCACTGCTCAATTAGGAGTTAAAGGAACACTATAGAGTAGGTAACACTTAGATGTATTCCCGATCCGATAATGTTGCCCCCGCCCCCCTTTAGTCCCCTTTGAAAGAGTTAAAAAGCTTTTTTCCAGTGCTGCACAAGTCCGCCGGCACTAGCCCCGCCCGAGATCCACCTCTTTGACTGACATTATCAGAAATGATGATCTCAGCCAATCTAATGATTTTAAACACACTGTGCTGTAAGAGCTGATTGAAAAAATAAACCATTTTTTTGTGTATGCTGTGTGAGTCACAGCCAGGGGAGGTGTGGCTAGGGCTGCATAAACAGAATTAAAGTGATTTAAAGAATTGACCACTTGGAATGCAGGAACATGATCTATACATAAAGTTATTTTAGTCTTTAGGATGTCCCTGTTAAGTACAGACAAACACTTATGTGTTGTTATACATATATTTGTATATAATAAATACAATACAAACTAAATAGACATGCAATTATTATTTTAACTGGGAACATTTCCTTAATGGGATTGCTTTCTTTGTAGTGTTTTAGTTATGTGTTCATGTATTTATTTATTTTTGGTACAGGTGTTGCTCACATAAATAATCCAGTCACCCAGGATAAAATAGTAGAGGAGCAGGCTTTGCCAACTCTCATTCATCTTCTGAAGACTCATGGCTCTATTAAAATTAAGGTACACAAAATATCAGTTATCTATGCAGTCTTCATTTTGTATTCCATGCAGGAACATTCTTGGGCATATCTTGGATCTTACTCACTTAAATCCTTTCTAAAGCTTGTTAACTCTTTAACAATATGGTTGACAAGTATTTTCTCAATCCCTTCACGGATTTTATAGGGGGGAAAAAAGGTCTTCTCTTTTCCCTTTGTGCTTTACTAAAATAAATCTATAGTGTTAGGAATATAAACATGTTCTTTACAATAAGAACAATAAAGATATGAAATTCTCTGCCTAAAGAGGTGGATTTATCAGAGTCTCTACACATTTGTAAACAGTAACTGCATGAATTCTTGCAAAAACATAGTATTGAAGGATATAATGTTTTCCTAATGCTATAGTGTCCTAGGACATCTTTAGTGACGACCCCTTCATATGTCAAAATTAAGAAAAACATTTTTACTTAGCTTTTCAGTGCCACAACTCCCTCAGTACTGCTGCCTTACTTCGCCTCCTGCGATATCATCACGGAGGCGTCTCTTCCATGATACATTTCCAATTCAATACTCCTCATAGAGGACCATTGGGGATAAGGTGTCCATGCTTCAATGCTTTCCTATTTGATCACATGATGCATAGGAAGAGCATCTAGTGGAAGACAGCCACTAGAGGTATGTATAATGAAAACATAACAGTTTCTACAGAACTGTAATGTTTTACATTGCAGGGTTAAACATACAGGGCCACTACACCCAGATCACTTTACTGAGATGGTTGTTAAAACGAACTAACCAGTTGTTTTATTTATATATTTTTGTACAATGGTTTACACCTCACATCCTTCTCTTTTTATTATGGCTAATGCAACAGTTGCAATCATAAACAAAATAATTTTTAGTGTGAACATTGTGCAAATATTTTACTGCATATTACACTTATATCTTAGGATAAAGGAATTTGGGAATTATTTTTTTTTTGTCAATTTATTATAACTACTTACACTGTGCTGCAGAATAATTGTCTAATGCGTCATGATGTAATTTATTTACAAAAAAAATTGTTTCCTATTATTTAGAATTTTTCATTACATTTGAAATTGTGCCAGATTCACTCCTGACTTGGCAATTAATAAATCAAAATGTTTTTCAAATTCTCAAAGGTTATATTTAAAAAAAAATAAAAAAGGTCAAGGTGGTCTAAGAAAGACAATGTACCCACACATTATTAATGCGTGTTATCTAAACTGCCTTAACTCTGGATAAACCTGTTCTGGTCCAAAGGATTGCTCTAGTGCAAGTCCAAGCCCAAGTCTAACTAAGGTCACCAGGACTCATCTCCCCAGAATATTCCAACATCTCATTCATGAAGGTGGCAAAAAATAATTAAATATTTTTGCTATAAAACACGCCCCAGAATACAACTAGTTGTACTTCACCCATACTACTTCTGCAAGGAGATTTATATTGTTTACCTAAATAAAGCAGGAACTACTGTGGATCTCACCCAAAACCCTTTAGAAATGATTGAACAATCAGCTCAGTAGAACTTTGCTTGTTTTGTTACAACAAATATTAACAGGGTTATTCACTAAGTGAGAATTCAAAGTGAATTTCCAATTTAAGGCTGCAATAGCCAAATTGAAAAAAAAATTATCTAACTGAGCTATGCTTTCAGTTTAGCTATTTAAATTTGAAATACAATTTGAATTCACTCTGAATTCTACTTTGCAAAATAAACCTGTAGATATTGCAAAATATCTGTATATACCGTGTTTGTGTTTTTAGAATTATGCAGAGTTAGCACTAACTGTAATTCAAAGCTTCGCCAGTACATTTGATGGAAAACTATGAGTTGGAGGCACTAAGGGTTTTATGTACTTTGAATTAGGGGGCCATGCAGTCCGATGCCAACCTAGACATGTGGTCTATTGGTTTGAAGGTTTCAATTTTGAGTTCCAGATAGTATAGACTGCACAAGCATTTTGAAGTTACTGTGATTAGACAGAATTCCTTACCACTACACTGTCATATAAAAAAGGATTTCTTTCACCTTTATAAATGCATACGACACATACAAAGATATATACACATTGCTGACAGATGTGTACGTCCACCTCTGGCAGTGTCAATAACCAGCAGGAAATGTACTGAGCGGGATAGTGTTGGTTTTTGCATATTTGGCATATGTCATCAGCAGGCATTGCATGCTGGCAAAAGGTGACCAATGGCGGCACAGTAGTTGCCACTCTGTGCCTCTCAAGGCCTACCTTTAGCCTGTCATGCAGGATGTTCTTCCAATGCTGTGAGGGGGAGTGCCTTCACCATACTGCAGGGAGAACTTAACCTCAGCATGAGATCTATGGTAAACTTTATCTTCCTTTTCTTTTCTTTCCATTCCATGCCAGCAAGGTTTGCTCTATCCAAAATCATTGTTTCATTAAATTACTGTTTTTGGTTGGAGCAACCCTTTAATTCAATTAAACTCGACTAAGAGTAATAATACATTACTGCACAAATATAAGTCAAATGCCGCTCTGTAATAGGAACAACCTGTATGGTTCAAGGTATCCATATAAACACACAGTGGTGTGAAAAAGAGATCACAGAGGGCTCAAACTGTGTAAAATCTTTAATAGAAAATCACATTTATAAACATACTGTTATAAATGTACTGTAGAGAGTACTGTTAAATATATTTGACTTGTTCAGTAGCATGACTTCATTGAAATGTTTAATCTCTTTCATTGATGGTACAAACAGGTCGAAGTGGCCTGCACTCTAGCTTGCATTGTCCTAAAGAACGCTGTTCTACAAGCTCAGCTACACGAGATGGAAGAGTTTAAGTACACCGATGTTCTTGATCTCCTACATACACCTGATAAGGTACATTCTGAGTTCACATCACTCTGATTTATAGAAATTAAGTGCTGTACGTTACTTCTGTACCAATGAGGATACATGTCTGTCATTCATGTGTGGTTAATGGCTTAAATTATTGTGAACGAGTGAACACAAGCCATTATATTTTTCCAAATCACTTTCAAAATATATATATTTTGCTTCAGCTACACCAAACATTTTGCTATAGTTCAGCACAGGCATTCGCTTTCCTTTAGCCCTAGTTTGATTCCTCACCCTTATCTAAAGTTGACACACCGAGATGGCCCAAGATGGTGGTCTCTCTGCGTCCACACACTCTATGTGCAGTAGTGAAGGCCAAGACAACTCTACTCCTACCGTAACCAAGGGTGATGTCGACTGCCTGTTTGCTAAACTTACCTATGTGGAGATGTCCCTCAAGGCTGAGATTAATAAAAGCGCCCAGCAGATTTGCAGTGAAATTATGGCTATCAGGCAAAGAACCTTGGATAGAGGCTAAAGTGGAGGGGGTTATCCAGCACACATCTCACTATCTCCCAACTTGCTTGTGTGGAGCACCTTGAATCCTCACTTCAGTACCTTTCTAATCCAGAAGAAATAATAAAAAAAAAGTGCCAGTGCCAAGGCCTTTCCGAGGGTAAATGTCTAGTGTGTAATGAGTGTAAAGTCCCTTGATTGGTTCAACAATGTCTGTGATATTACCAATCACGAGCGTTATTTGTTGGGGATGTATAAGGCTCCAGCTGGTAATCTAACCCGTCATCATGCAGTCTGACTTATGATATTCCATAGTCAGACTGCACTTCTGGGTTCGTACGGCCGTTGCCGTAAATGATCTCAATGAAAGGATAGTGTGTGAAAAGAGTCAGTCACGTCACTTCCTGTTCACGATGTTATTGTAATCTTCATGTCCTTTTTGCCAGGACATATTGTTGGCATTCAAGTCCAAATATGTATGATACTCATAATATTCAAGAGAGGAAAAACAGAACAAAATAAATAAGAAACTAGCAAGGTGATATGCTAGAAAGCTATATGCAGTGTAGCAGTCGGATAAAAATAAGGATAATTTCAAAGTATAATAAGAGCTCACTGCTAGCAAAATGGAACCTTGCAATGGAAGTGTCTCAGCAGACACGTTTCGTCCTAAAAACGGTCTTCTTACGTGTGGTTCCAAGGGACTTCTTCTGGATCTTTGGCATTATATAGCCCAAAGACAACATCTTCTCCATTAATTAATTCTATCACTGTAACATTCTATCATCATTGTAAATTCTATCACTATATGGCATATGTAAACTATTAAAATGTGCTACTGCTTTATCCCCGCTATCTCCTTACTTGAGAAATTAGGGTTGTCTTGCTTTGCCAATTTAGAGGTTGACGACCTACATTTGTTTGATGGATTTGCTGATCTGGATTTGATGGGGATTCAGTTACTTATTGAAGACAATAACTACACCTTCTGACTTCATAAGCTACATCCAATTATGTAGCTCTGCCCTTCAAGTTAACATACATTCTACTGCCACCTTAAACATGACACACTTTTAACCCCTTTATTTGCAGGAGTCTCATGTAAAAAGGCTGATTTCTATACCTTACTCTTACTTTATTGACTTCCACTTGTGACTAAAAGGAACATTCTTATGTAACTAAATGGGAATCTGAGCTTGATGTGACAAGTGGGGATTGGTTAAATATGTGGGAATACACTGCTAAAACTGTAGTGTTTGTCACCTTGAAGGAACAGGAGTTTAAGACTTTGCTCTGTTGGTATGTTACACCCATTACACTTCATCACATGAGGCATTTTAAAGGTACATTCTATGCACCATAACAACATAATCGCAAATAAGTTGTTATGGTGCCTAGATTGGTCTTTTAATACATACGTGCCCAAAACTATGGAAATATTACTTATAATGTATATTTAGATATCAGCTGTTCTTGAAAGGAGATTTTACATGTACTTTTTACATTTTTGGTCAAGTGATATCCTGGGCTAGACTTTTCACCTTTTCACTTCAATTATATCAACATATCAAGGATAATATATATACATATATATATACAGTAAGGGAAACAAAGTATTTGATCCCCTGCTGATTTTGAATGTTTGCCCGCTGACAAAGAAATGATCAGTCTATAATTTTAATGGTAGGTGTATTTTAACAGTGAGAGACAGAATAAAAAATAAAAAAAAATCCCAAAAAACGCATGTTAAAAAAGTTCTAAATTGATTTGCATGTCAATGAGTAAAATAAGTATTTGACCCCTTCAAATTAGTACTTGGTGGCAAAACCCTTGTTGACGATCACACTGGTCAGACGTTTCTTGTAGTTGGCCTCCAGGTTTGCACACATCTCAGGAAGGATTTTGTCCCACTCCTCTTTGCAGATCCTCTCCAAGTCAATAAGGTTTCGAGGCTTATGTTTGGCAGCTTGAACCTTCAGCTCCCTCCACAGATTTTCTATGGAATTTATGTCTGGAGACGGTCTAGGTCAATCCAGGACCTTAATGTGCTTCTTCTTGAGCCACTCGTTTGTGGCTTTGGCTGTCTGTTTTGGTCATTGTCATGCTTCAATACCCATCCACAACCCATTTTCAATGCCCTGGCTGAGGGCTGGAGGTTCTCACACAGGATTTGACGGTATATGGCCCCGTCCATCATCCCTGTGATGTGGTGCTGTTGTCCTGTCCCCTTAGCAGAAAAACACCCCCAAAGCATAGTGTTTCCACCTCCATGTTTGACACTGGGAGTGGTGTTTTGGGAACCATAGGCAGCATTCCTCCTCCTCCAAACACGGCAAGTTGAGTTGATGCCAAAGAGTTTGATTTTGGTCTCATCTGAGCACAACACTTTTACCCAGTTCTCCTCTGAAGCATTCAGATGTTCATTGGCAAACGTCAGACGGGCCTGTACATGTGCTTTCTTGAGAAGGGGGACCTTGTTGGCGCTGCAGGATTTCAGTCCTTCACGTTGTAGTGTGCTACCAATTGTTTTCTTGGTGACTATGGTCCCATCTGCCTTGAGATCATTAACAAGATCCTTCCATGTAGTTCTGGGCTGATTCCTCACCGTTCTTATGATCATTGAAACTCCACGAGGTGAGATCTTGCATGGAGCACCAGACCGAGGTAGACTGACAGTTATTTTGTGTTTCTTCCATTTGCAAATAATCACACCAACTGTTGACACCTTCTCACCAAGCTGCTTGGTGATGGTCTTGTAGTCCATTCCAGTCTTGTGTTTTCATAAACTGCAATATTTACATTGCAGGATTAAGTCCTCCTCTAGTGGCTGTCTACTAGAGGGACTTCATAGAACACGAAAAGTGTTTTCAGTGACGCTGGACGTCCTCACGGTATGTGAGGACCTCCAGCGTTGCCGAAATCCCCATAGGAAAGTATTGTATAATGCTTTCCTATGGGGAGGTCTAATACACGTGCACGGCCATTGCCGCACATCAGGCAGAGCCTGACCCAGCACCGAGGGACATCGGCGCTGGACCCCGGTAAGTCACTGAAGGGGTTTTAACCCCTTAAGCAACTTGGGATGGGCGGTGGGGGGGGAAGGCTCTGCAGGAACCTGCAGTGCCAGGAAAACGAATATGTTTTCCTGGCACTGGAGAATCCCTTTAAAATACACCTACCATTAAAATTATAGACTGATCATTTCTTTGTCAGTGGGCAAACGTTCAAAATCAGCAGGGGATCAAATACTTTTTTCCTTCACTATATATAAATAAATTAAAGTATACAGTATGATCTGAAGTTGCTCTGTTTTCAAATTTTTTTGATTTATTGTTACAGTAAGTCACGATCTGAACCTTTTGGTATATAATAAATTACAGGATATTTGCTTACGAGTTGGGTATGCACTAGCTCTGTTTGCCTACAACAGTACCCTGCATCAGTTTTACATCTTGGAGACAGGAGGCATTGAAATGGCAATCTATGAACCTTTCCTGGAGTCAGACATTGAGACAGACAGAGCACAAGCTGCGTTTCAGGTATTGCAATGTGTCATGAAGATTAACATTGTTTATCCCACCACATATGAAATTTAAAGTGGGATTTTATGTTATTATTCTGTACTTGTCTTTTCAGCATCTAAGAAGATTTAAGAAGAAATTATAATAGGCTCATTTAAATGTGCTGAATTGTGGAAACTCACACTTTAAATGGTCACTCTAAGTACAGCTCATTGTAGTGGTTATGCTGCAAAGAGTCTAAAGGAATACTCTAACCTTAAGAATACAAACATGAATGCTTAATGTTTGAGTTATCTTGGGGCTATTTAATTTGTGAGCCCCCTTCCAAATAGTAAAACAGAGCATTTTAGTCACCCTTAGTACCTCACGCAGTACTTGCTGCAATTGCCATTCCTTCAGTGGCTGAGATCATTACCGATTTTATTTAGACAATCCATTGTTTCCCTGCGATTGCTGAGGAAGTTTCAGTGGTAGACGTGCAATGCATCATTTTTCTGTATCCCCTGTTTACATTTATTTTTTTTATGTTTCACCTGATTGTTTTTATAATATTTTTTCTGTATTTTTCTTTTTCCTGTTTTTTTTCTGTCTTTTTCTGTATGTTTACTGCATGTATGTGGTTTCTTTTACTGCCATGTATAGCTAAACAGATCAATAAGCAGCACTTTTAATGGAACTTCCACGTAAAATTGTATGGGATATCATATGAGTTCGGCTTGTTTTACTTTTTTTGTTTACTATTTAAGTGTAGATCCCAAGCGCCAGCACCACTGACTCCCAGGAATACAGTTGGCCTGAGAGAGTACAATCATTCCAGTATATATTACCATTTTTAATCAATAATAATTTAATTCAAATTGATGTTGTAGCAGCACCAACAGTTTTCCTTACATTTGTCACCCCATTCCTTTACTTCATAGCGACGTGGGCTAGGTAGTCACCATAGCATTCACAGTGGATGCGTTGTGTCATTCTATTTCTCAGCACAGACTCTGACAGGTGGGAGAAAGACATTTTTGAATAGTTTTTTTCCCCAATCTATATATTTACTAGTTCAATGTATAGAAATAAAAACAGAGGTCCTCCTGACCCAAGGCCTAAGGTATTTGGCAAGGGACAAGGCGGATCGCCTTATATTTGAAGTGCCAAGACTTAACTAAGGGTTATTTGCTTTGTATGTTTTGTTAGTATGTGTGAAAGAAGTTGGCTTGTATTGTAAATGTTTGTTATTTTGTCATTCCTGAACTGCATTTCCCCCTTTTCTGTATCTCTCTCTCATATTGCTCCAGTTGTGCTTCTCTCCCCTTCTTGTCTCCCTCCACATCTCTCAACATATCCTTCTTTTTCTTCTTTCCCACAGGAGGGGAAGGAAATCAGTAGTGGGGGGATGTGAAAGAGAGCTATAGGAGTGGGTGGGAGAGGGGATAAAAAGATACACTAAAGTAAGGGGGCATTCACTGATCAGCAACAACATTAAAACCATTGATAAACTAAATAAATTATATCATTATAATGGCACCTTTCAAAGGCTTGGGATATATTAGGCAGCAAGTGTACAGTCAGTTCTTGAATTGCATGTGTTGGAAGCAGGACAAATGGGCAAGCAAAAATATTTCAGGGACTCTGACAAGAGCCAAGTAGTGATGACTGGGTTAGAGCATCTCCAAAACAGCAAGTCTTCTGGAATGTTTCTGGTATGCAGTGGTTTGTACCAAAAGTGGTGCAAGGGAGGACAACCAGTGAACCAGGGTCATGAGCGTCCAAGGCTCATTGAGGCAAGTGGGGAGCAAAGACTTGCCCGTTCGGTTCGGTCACACAGAAGAGCTACTGTATCTAGAATTGCTGAAAATCTTAATGCTGGCCATGATAGGTATAATCGCAGTTTGCTGCATATGGTGTTGCGTAGCCCATGATGTCCACTGTCCACCAACGAAATTGCCTCCAATGAAAATATGAGTTTCAGAACTGGACAATGGAGCAATTCAAGAAGGTCGTCTGGTTTGAGAATTCACACTCCCTTTTAAATCAGGCTGGGGAAGAGATGGCAACAGGATGAATTGGTGTTCCCTCATGGCAGTGACCTCTTGTAGCGGAGCTCCAGTACTCCGGCCGAGTACTGCTTCCTCGTAGCTATCAGAGACCCTGGAACACTTCAGACCCAGTCGCCGAGGCTTGACTGGCATCACTGAGGGGCAAACAACAAATGACACTTGGTGAAAGTTAAAACAACTAACTTTAATAGACAAAGCACATATATTTTAAGCACCAACATCCTCATTTACATACAATAGGGTGCATAGAGTATTATAGTGCAAGGAAGGGTGGGGTTAGACAATAGCAAGGGCTGGTGGGAGATTGACGAGGGTCAGGGTAGCTAGTTTAAACTGGTCTGGCAGTGTCCCTGGGGCAACGCCCTGTTGGGGAAACAATAGGACAGGAAAAAGGGGGAGGGGGAGAGGCAAAGACAAGCAACATACCCTGCACCAATAATGGGCACAGGGTGACCAAAACACAAAAGGAATCTGGGGACCCACACATAGTGTCTGCCTTCCATCACCAGTGACGGTGACTACCGTCACACCTCTTTCAGCAGGATAGTGCACCCTGCCATGCTGCAAAAATATAGGAACCTAACAATAAGTTCAATATGTTCCCATGGCCTCCAAATTCCCCAGATCTCAATCCGATTGAGCATCTGTAAGATGTGCTGGTACAAAAAATCCAATTCATGGAGGCCCTGCTTCGCAAGTTGCAGGACCTAAAGGATCTGCTGCTAAAGTCTTGGTGCCATATACCACAGGACACATTCAGAGATCTTGTGGAGTCCATGACTCGACGCATTTGAACTGTTTAAGCAGTACGACGGGGATCTACACAATATTAGGCAGGTGGTTTTAATGTTGTGGCTGATCAGTGTAGGTGGGGGAGATGGTGATCAAAAAGACACATATAGGGAAACATATCACCCTCACTTATGTCTTCCTTACTTTTTTCTATTTTGCCTTATTCCCCTATCCCCTTGCAAGACTCTACAACCCTCTGTGTGTCTTTTAACTCCTAACCCCATCGCCTACCTTTTACCCCCTCTACATTCTTCCTTACCCCTGTATCCTTTAATTAACATTGCCTTTTTTATACATTCTCTGCAACAAATTTCTTTAGCAGTGCTGAGATCCATTTCCATTTAGGCGTAACTGACTCTCTGGTACTTTATTCTAGCAGTAATCATTTTACATGTGTAGGGAGTAATTATGTCACAGTTGTACTACTTTACCAGCAGTGATAATTGTGTACTTCTTTTCAACTGTTTTCATAATGGATTTCTCTGTCTCTAGGTTGTTGTTCTAGCAAGAGTTATTGTCGATATGGATCAAGTCTCACTGTCTGCCAGAGGTGTTACCATATTGACAGAGCTCCTGAACTCAAACAATTCAGCAACTCTTATATTAGCCGGTAAGACATTTTATATATCTAGGGAAATAGCCCAATCACAACACAGGTGTGAAAGGCCCCACTGAACGATCTTTTCTCACTGTTCCCTTGAAACAAATTAATTGCAATGGTTAGAAAAAGGGCAACTTTTCCTTTCACACAACACCCGAAACACAGCTATCAAAATGACTATATAGGGGTATCTGAATGTGGGCCAGGGAACAAGTTGTGTAAGCCGCCAGGATTGCTCCATTCATCACATCCCTTCTGGCCAGGATTTCTCAACCTTGCTGCCTGCATGCACGTTGTCCTGCATGGATCTCTTGTAAAGATTAAGTGTATTTCTGCACGAATCGTTACATTTTTGCTGCTGTGTCCCTTGTTATTAAAGGACCACTCTAGGCACCCAGACCACTTCAGCTTAATGAAGTGGTCTGGGTGCCAGGTCCTTCTAGGGTTAACCCATTTTTTCATAATTATAGCAGTTTCAGAGAAACTGCTATAATTATGAATGGGTTAAGCCTTCCCCCTAATCCTCTAGTGGCTGTCTCATTGACAGCCACTAGAGGCGCTTGCGTGCTTCTCACTGTAATTTTCACAGTGAGAGCACGCCAGCGTCCATAGGAAAGCATTGTAAATGCTTTCCTATGAGACCGGCTGAATGCGCGCGCAGCTCTTGCCGCGCGTGCGCATTCAGCCGGCGGGGCGTAACGGAGGCGGAGAGGAGGAGGAGAGCTCTCCGCCCAGCGCGCTGGAAAAAGGTACGTTTTTACCCCTTTCTCCCTTCCAGAGCCGGGCGGAAGGGGGACCCTGAGGGTGGGGGCACCCTCAGGGCACTATAGTGCCAGGAAAACGAGTATGTTTTCCTGGCACTATAGTGGTCCTTTAATGCACATTGCACGTTTGTGAAAATCACTGACGATTACTTTGTTTGGTAAATTGCTTGTTCTCTGCCCTGTTTGTGCTTTTGCAGTTTTTGTTTTTTATATCTTGTATCTTGTAATGAAGGTGCATAAGTGGTGAATTTTAGTGTGATAACACGAGTGCGCTCATATTCACAGCACTATAACATTTAGCAGCATGGGTGCTATGCAAAGGGACAAATCTACCCGTGAAGGGATCCTGAGGTTCAGCCCTTAAAGCCCTCCCGCTCAGCACCTCCAATGTCTTGAAAAGCAAAACATTCAGTTTGATTATTGTGTTGTGCCACTTTATAGTCATATATTAAGAAAAATCAGACTCATCTTTTATACTGCATTCTAAATTCTAAACTAAATGAGCAAACAGAAGACCACACATAAGAAAAACATGCATTCAAAATTATGCATTTTTTTTTATTGCAGTTTATCTTTGTAAAACCTCCCTTTCCTTCAGACTTACTGTGGCTGTCCAATATTTATGCAGCCTAATAAGAAGTCATTTTAATGTAAGGATTTCGGTGTAGAGATACTTGGCTCTTTTATTTGACAATCTAAAACAATGTTTACATTTCTAGCAAAAACACGCCCCTGGCAGACAGCCACTAGAGGCCTTTACTCCTTAACACTCCGAGTAGCAGAGCTACTAGAGTTCCTGTAGTGTCCCTACATTCCCCACAATGTGAACTACTGAGAAAATGCAGTGTTTACATTGCATTTTTCGGGACACCTCTAGAAGCTGAAACTCAGACATCTACTAGAAGCACTTCCTTTCATGGCCCTGCAATCTTTGAAGATGCCAAACACAACACTAGGAGATGAAGATTGGTGCAGTACAATGATTGCTGTGCATGTAGTAACCCCAATGCTTTTTTTATGGTTGGGAGACTGATGCAGTGTGGGATAAAAACTGAGTAAATCTTATTGATTGAACTTTTCAGGGGGGAGCAATAATGTTAATAGTTAGAAAAATTAACATTAGAAATACATGTTTGTATTTCTAACATTACAGTGTTTCTTTAAGATCCTTCTATACCTCTATCTTCATAGTAAAAAGCATCTGATGACACAGAGATCATTGATCGATGATCTTGCAAAAGACGTATTACGCTGCGGTTTGGACATGTATTCCTGACCCTATAGAGTTAAAAACACTATCTAGCCCCCCTGATTCCCCCTAAATATACTAAAACCTTACCTTTATTCCAGTCTGCTGGTGCTGGCTCTGCTCCTGATCTGCCTCCTTGGCTTACATAATCAGACGTGATGATCCCAGCCAATCACAATGCTTTCCCATGAACTCAGGCAATTGGACGGGCCAGGGGCAGAGCCAAACGCCATCCTGGCCAACCAGCATCTCCTCATAGAGATGCATTAAATAAATGTAATACTAAGAGGAAAGTTCAGTGTCTCCATGAAGCAGGTGGATACACTGAATGTTGTGTGCAGTACTGCCCCATGAAGCACCTCTAGTAGCCATCTGATGAGTGGCCACACGGATGTCCCTAGGCTGTAATGTAAACACTGACTTTTTGGCAGTGTTTACTGCAAAAAGCCTGCAGGGACTGATTGTACTCACCAGAACAATTACATCAAGCTGTAGTTGTTCTGGTGACTATAGTGTCCATTTAGGTGGTTAACAGGTTACTCCAACCATCATAACCACTACCATGGGCGTAGGAACCCCCAAAAATCTGGGGGGGATAGCATTTTTACTCACCGGGTATATTCTTATTCCGTAAACTATGAGTTGTTTATCCCATTGCAGCGCTACGGAATTTGCAGTTGCTATATAAATGATTAAATAATAACTTTAAAGGGTCACTACAGGAAAGGGATTTTACTTACCTGGATACAGCGCCGGGATTCTCCTGATGCTGCGCCCCCTATTTCGTCAAAATAATGAAATAGGAGGGTGCGAGCAGGGAGCAATAGAACGCTTCTGGTGCGCATGCGCAGCTCTGCCGCACATGCGCAGATACTTCATAGGGCGGCATTCATGTCTCCACTAGGAAGCACCTCTAGTGGCCATCTGAGGGTCCACTGGAGGTATTCCTCATCAGTAATGTAAATACTGCCTTTTTACGAAATGGCTGTGCTTACATTAAAAAGCCTGCAAAGACATGCTATAGACACCAGAACTACTACGTTTAGCTGTTGTGGTTCTGGTGACTATAGTGTCCCTTGAATATAGAGAGGAAAAAAGAATCATCACAAATGTAAGAAATAAAATGTCTGTATCATTATTCTAAAAATTATTTTAAAAAAATAAAAAATATGCACATTCCTAGCTTAATTTTTAGCACGACATATGACACAAACATTTTGTACTTTGCAGATTACTTTTTATATTTTTTATACATATACAGATTGTGTAATACTGCCCCTGACTTAGGGTGACCACATTTCCTAACTGCCATTCAGTGACACTTTCAGAAATGCATTCCATACATTTTACTACCCGTCTCTACCCCTTCCATTTATATTAGAACCCCTTTCCATGTAAATTAGAGATTAGTGCCACGAATAATATGCTAGATTGCCTACTTACAACCAGATGAGGATGATGATGGGCTCTAGCTGCAGTCTGGCTCCACTGGTCTGGTGTAGAACAGGCTCTCTAGAGGCTGTTTGTAACTGTGGTCACAAAAATCAATGTTCTGGGAGAACGGGAAGCAGCTCCATTTTTTGGGGGCCCTTTACACAGCTCAAGGTCTGGGTCCCAGGGTCCACCTTCATGTTCCACCAATGAGTTTGTTCACAGGGGGTGGAGTGTGTAGGGGATGTCCTGATATGTGTGTAAGGAATGCATTGTGTGAATCTGTGTTTGTATGTGTAAGGGCTGCAAGGTGTGTTTCTGTGTATGTACGGGATGCAGTGTGTGCGTCTGTAAGGGGTGCATTTAGTGTGTGTAAGGAATGCATTGTGTGTTTCTGTGTAAGGTTTGCATGATTGTGCGATTGTGTGTGTGTGTGATGGATGTCAATCTCTCCCCCTCCCTCCCTCCCTCGTTACTCTTTCTCCCCCTCCCTCGTCACTCTCTCTCCCCCTCCCTCACTTGTCACTCTTTCTCCCCCTCCCTCTCGTCACTCTTTCCCCCCTCCCTTGTCACTGACTACTCTCAGCCAATGTCTGTCATCCAGTGCTGTAAAAGTTGCACATAATTGACATTGGCCAACCCTGAACTCTAGTTCCGCGCTGGCTGATGACACCTGTATTACAACTCCGGCAGCAGAGTGGTTAATCTCTGTATTTGCAGCGTTTTGCTTTAAAACTCTGCACATACAGATTACAGGCATCATAACCACTTTAAATTATTTAAGTGGTCATGGTACTTGGAGTGATCTTTTAGAATACTAAGCCTAAAGCCCAACCTACTAAGGAAAATGCCTGACTTTAAAAAAGTTTGTGTTTCTTATATTTATAATAGGTAGCTAAATCAATGGCTCACTAATTTTAAAGGGACTTAAATCATGGATGACAAGATTCTCTACTAATAATTAAAAAGTTAGTTTAATCCATACATGATGTCCATTTATGGCAGCCATCTTGGATGGGGCAGATGCAGTTATTTATGTTTTAATATATATATATATTTGTTGGAACACGTAACAGTGTATGGATTAAATTATCACTCTAATGACAGGGAAAGCATCTCACAAGAAACAGCGAGCACACTCTGTGCTTTTACCATCTTTGTTATATCCCTATTGAGCAAATAAAAGTTTATCCATTTGATTTAAATTAACTTTTTAAAGCATTTGATAGCACAATTTACAAATTAAACTAGTAGTGCTGCAAAATAGGTATCTTACCATACTTCTAAACATATCCACTTGATCTATAAAAAGCTTGCAGGATTAGCGGGTCATTGTGGAATTTAAATTTTAGGTGGTTAAAATGTAGTTTCTCTTGTAATTTGCAGGAGAGTTAATTGCAAGTTTAGCTCACACCCGAGCAGGCATTCCTGAAGCAATAACCACACTTGGAACTGTGGAGAGCCTTTGCAAACTTTTAAACTCAGAAGAGGAGGAGGTAAGGAAGATAAAGTATTGACAACTATATGCAATATCTTGGTCAGAAGACGTACTGATCTGGCTATGTTCTTATGCTTTACGCTTGTTTGAGTAAATTCTTCATTACTTACGAGTGTGTTTCTTCAGTTTGCACCTCTTCAGTAACTTTTTTTCTTAGCTTGCCCCATGCAAGCTCACTGGCACAATCTTATACAAAATGTATTTTTTTCAAGCAAAGAAGGGACACTATGGCAGTCACTAAAACAACTTTAGCTTAATGAAAGTTTCTGTGTATAGATCATGCCTTTGACGTTTCACTGTTCAATTTTCTGCCATTTAGGAGTTAAATCACTTTTGTTTCTGTTTATGCAGCCCTAACCACACATCCCCTGGCTGTGACTGAGACAGCCTACATGAAAAAAAAATTGTTTCACCTTCAATCATATGTCACTTACTTTAAAAGTTTTTATTTCCTGCTCTGTAAATTGAACTTTAATCACATTCAGGAGGCTCCTGCAGAGTCTAGCAAGCTATTGACAGAGCAGAATAATTTGCAATAAAGGAAGTGTAAACTTTAGATGACTTTTTACAGGAAGTGTTTAAGAAGGCTGTGGAAGTCACATGCAAGGAGGTGTGACTAGAGCTGCATAACAAAGTGATTTAACTCCTAAATGGCAGAGAATTGAACAGTGATACTACTTGGGCTTGATCTATATACCAAAAGTGATTCATTAAGCTGTGACTATACTGTCCCTTTAAATCGTCACAGCAACTATAATGTATTTATTTGTAATTCAGCCTTGTTTCTCTGCATCACTTAGTGATATATTTTCTTATTTCATAAAGGTTCGTATATCTAGTGCAAATGCATTGGGGTATTTGACCTTCAATCGGACTGCATATCGCCATCTGCTAGTGGAATGTAGGAACAAACCAAACCTGTATAACGTACTGATTGGTAACCTTAGCAAAGATGCCAAAATCTCCTATCAATTTACAGAGGAATTTACAATGCAACAACATATAGGATTGCCCTCACTCAGGTATGGTGTAATACATGAGAGCAAAGTGTTTTAGCGTAATTACTAATCTAAATGATAAATAATTCTATTTACAGTGACAGCCCAGCTCCCAAGCCAGTGCTAGCCATTTACATCACATAAAAATGTTACTGGCATATCTGTGAAAAAAATGCTGATATGTGTAGTTAGAACACATACATTATAGCTGCTCGTGAAAAAAAAAAATGGCATCATATACAAAATTTCCAGCTAGTGGCCCACCCTTAATTTGCCCAGAAGTTTCCTAGAACTGGCTTTTTTTCCCAAAAGTTGGCCACCACACATAGGTGGTACAAACCTGGATTGGACAAGAGCTGAAAAGCTGAAAATCGAGTTCAGAACACAGAATGCAAAATATTTGTTCAAATGGCTGAAAGTATATTGTAGTGTGTCTTTAATAGGTGTTCTAATACATTCTAATAAGAATATCACTTATATTCTATGCTGTAATTAACATATGTGAATGTTTCTTCTCCATAGCTTAGTTATAAATGGGGGACCTCCTGTGAATCCTTCATCGTGGAAAGGTAAAATCACCATAATTTGTTCCTTATTCTGTTCAGAGGTAAAAAAACAAGATCAACAATACCTGCAGTTGCTATATGTAATATATATATTTATTACAAAAGAGCTTTACGGAGTAATATAGAAACCAATGGCAATGTGTCCTATTTTGTGAATTTCTCTCAATTATTTCACAGTATTTCCACTTTAAAGCAATATATATATATATATATATATATATATATATATATATATATATAGCCTTATGAGGTTTAGTGCAAACATTCAGCATGTCCTTGGACACCATATCAACTGCAGTATGTGAATGAGATTTAGATATTTATAAGCATAGTTTGCAATGACAATTAAAAACCAAATGGCCCATCTAGTCTGCCTGTTTAACAGAACCTAAGCCAGAATTGCAGGATAATAAATGTGTGAGGTCGGGAGTAATTATTTGCAAGAATTAGTCATTCGAATTACTAACTGGATTTTCTTACTTGACATTTTTAAAAGAAATTCTATAATTACAATATACATAGCAAATGGCACAATTGGAAATCTAATCTTTGAAGAAGGGTATCTGCAATCTTGGGAGCCACATATTAAAATGGAAATGAATGAGGGCTTATAATATCAGAACGCAGGTCATGCAGTTCAAGGCATGAGCCAAGAAAGAGAATGTGCCAATTGAGCTGTGTAATAATAGATTAAAAGGTTATGGAGGCCCAAGCCGTCCACTGTTGATCTTTAAAGTAAACATTGTGCCATATTTAGGAATCAGCCGCAGTTGAAAGACCCTCCAATACTTTCTAAGTCAGTTAGAGGGGTAGAGTTTAAAATAAATACAATAACCTAGGAAGGATATTCATCTTAACACCGTGACTGCTAACTTTCCCGGAGATTGCGCATCTCAAAGTTCATGTAGACAAAATCTGTCAAGCTCCACCATCAAATATGCACACATGTAGTTATAGTATTGTGGAGCTAATTGAACCAGAGATGTAACATTGACAAATGATTAATTATTCAGAGGCATGGTCCCAGACTAGCCTAAAAAAATGGAAATCTGGCAACAGCATGAATTTAATAAATTGAAACAAGTGTGAAATGGAATCAAGCAAATTACACAGTGAGCCACAATATATTATGCATAAGTAGAGATTTATTTCCATCTTTAGTTAAGTCTCCAGTTCTGCTTCATTAAGCATTAAACAGATATTCCAGGAAGATGGCAAGGTGTAGTGAAATAACAGGCACCCAAGCCAGTGGCGTACACACAATCCATGGGGCCCTGGTGCGAAACTGATCTGTGGGGCCCCCCTCCAACCCCCCCCCCCTTCCCTGACCATCCCCTCTCTACCCCCGACACATACATACAGACACAAACTACCACCCCGACAGACACATACATGCAAAGACACACACATACATACAGAGACACAGTGTAGCGGAGAGGCAGTATAATCTACAGTATCTCCAAGGGTAGACAAGTACAGCATACAGAAATCCAGGTAGCGTGATAATAATCCCATTCACCCAAGAACTAGACAACACATAGTCTGGGAGTCAACTGAGCTTTTATTCACAGGTTACAGTATTTATGCGGTTCCCCATGCAAGGAGTTTCCAAAGTGACCTTGCATGGGTTGTCCAGTAGTGGACTTCTTGGGGGACTTAGCTTACAGGCTGATTTCCCATCATGCACTGCTGTACTAGAGAGATAATCACCCCAGAATGCACTGTTAGTTGAATTATCTCTCCATACAGCAGAATATGACTTTACCGAAAAATACATAACTTCAACACCATTCGTTACATATAACCGAATGACACCTTGTTAATTGGTGGGATCTCACCATCTGGTGAAATACCGCTCAGATCCCTGCACAATTAACCGAACGCCATACGAAATATAGTTTAATATGAACACACATGGAAATGCACGAATGGACTGGTTATATGAAAATACCGAAATAATTATTCTCCCTAACGGTATGGAAGTCCAGCGGTGTTTGTGACGTCGAGTAACCGATTTTAGTTCCAGGCACTCGACGACCAAACACCGCTGGGCTGAAGTGATCAAAGATGGCCGCCGCCGCGTGTTCGGTACACGAACGGCAATCACCTGGAAACCTATTAACAAGTGGTGGATACATTGTTGCCAGAATTAATGGGAGACACACGACCCTATTTGTGTGGTCTCCCATTCGGTACTTTGTTCGTTTCACGAACAGAGTTGAAATACACTGTTCGTGAAAATGCCATATGAATGCTGGCGGTTTTCGTGCCGCCAGCATACGAATGCTATCTAGTACATTGTAACGGATCACCTGGCACCCCGACTGGGTACCTCCGTTGAAAGATGCTCCTAGCGCTTCCAGAGGACTCCAAGCACTCCACCAGACACCATAAGCACCGCAGGCTGCAGCTATCTCCCTTCAGAACGAAGCAGGAACAAGCTCTTACAAGAGCTCAGTGATTATAGCAAGGGAATATGCCTAGCATAGCAATCCCTTGTAGCAGATTCCCCCAATAAGAGACAGGACTCAAGTTGAGGGTAAAAATAGAACTCAGGTGCTGGCACACCCAGCCTGGTTTTTATTACAGTCTTGCAAATACAGGACCGCCCACAGGGAGGTATAAAACAACCAATCACATCACAGTTACATCCCACATATTCCCTCCCCTTATCCTGAGAGGAAACTCAATTATACATACAGTTAAAACATACTTTCTACCCAACTTTCATAACTCTAAAACCATACATCACATTCACATAAAATTACATATTCACAATCAATCCATTCAGGGGAACAACATATTCAAAAATGGCACAAATCAGACAAGGGGTTCAAAAGTTAGTAAAAAGTCCTTTGTGACTAAATGAAGCATGGCTTTCTGGCCCAAACCAGTTTCAGAGTCTTCTATCCTGGAGATAAGTAATTCAATTATCTCCCAGGACAGACACAAGACTCCATTAAGCACATGGTTGCAAAAAGACACAAAACACTTTAAAATACATAAAGTCACCTTTTACACATAACACACAGACATTTCACATATCCCCAGATAGCTGGGATCTGAGTGCACATTATTAGATGAATGGCACTCAGATCACACAAATAAGCCTTTCTGCAGGGGAAATAAACGGTTTAACCTGCAGGGCCATAGTCCAAAGGGAGCAGGCGAGCAACCAGGCTTCTCCAGTTCACAGTGGCGAGGTTGGTTTCGCCACACTTCTCCCCTTTACCAACTAGACTAACAGGGTATCTGACCTCCTGCCGGTCAGTGCCCTGGTTAGTCCAGCAACCCACCCACAAAACAGAAACAGCAGTACAGCCCACCCACAATAACTGGTTACTACACCTGGGTAGAGGAGAACTTTGTCCATGTCCAGGTGCCTCACCACGACTGTGTGGGCAACTGTTAGGCTGCCTTGGTGGGTTGCTGAGTGGGCAGAGACCAGCGGTACTCTGCCCTGATGCCAGTGCTACCACGGAAGTAGCCTGGTGGGAGCCTGGTTGTGGGAGGGAGAGACCGACTGTCTCCCCTCTGGATACACCGCTCTGTGGCTGGGGAACAGGACCGACTGTCCCTACCCCTTGTGCTGTAAGTGCAGAGACTACAGTCCCATTTGCACTGTTGGGGGGTGTAACATCTCCCCTTGCTGGGTTAGGCTGCCGCTGGAGAGAGGGTGTAACAAGCTCCTCTCTCTGAACTGTAAACTGCCGCTGGGGAGAAGGGGTATCAGGCTCCTCTCCCTGACACTCTCTCTGCTGGTGGAGAGGGGGACCAGCTGTCTCCCCTTTCATTATTTTGTCCTGTGGTTGGGGTGCGAGACTGACGGTCTCTGCTCCCTGCAGGACACTCTGCCGCTGGGGAGGAAGGACGGCACCTTCAGCTCCCTGGGGTACACACTGCCGCTGGGGAGGAAGGACTGCACCTTCAGCTCCCTGGGATACACACTGCCGCTGGGGAGGAAGGACTGAACCTTCAGCTCCCTGGGATACACACTGCCGCTGGGGAGGAAGGACTGCACCTTCAGCTCCCTGGGTACACACTGCCGCTGGGGAGGAAGGACTGCACCTTCAGCTCCCTGGGATACACACTGCCGCTGGGGAGGAAGGACGGCACCTTCAGCTCCCTGGGGTACACACTGCCGCTGGGGAGGAAGGACGGCACCTTCAGCTCCCTGGGGTACACACTGCCGCTGGGGAGGAAGGACGCACCTTCAGCTCCCTGGGGTACACACTGCCGCTGGGGAGGAAGGACGCACCTTCAGCTCCCTGGGGTACACACACTGCCGCTGGGGAGGAAGGACGCACCTCAGCTCCCTGGGTACACACTGCCGCTGGGGAGGAAGGACACCTTCAGCTCCCTGGGGTACACACTTCCGCTGGGAGTGAAGTACTGCACCTCAGCCCCCTGGGACACACACTGAGCTGGGAGGGACCTGCACCCCAGCTCCCCTGATACTGCAGGAAGGACGGCACCTTCAGCTCCCTGGGATACACACTGCCGCTGGGGAGGAAGGACTGCACCTTCAGCTCCCTGGGATACACACTGCCGCTGGGGAGGAAGGACTGCACCTTCAGCTCCCTGGGATACACACTGCCGCTGGGGAGGAAGGACTGCACCTTCTGCTCCCTGGGATACACACTGCCGCTGGGGAGGAAGGACGGTACCTTCAGCTCCCTGGGATACACACTGCCGCTGGGGAGGAAGGACGGCACCTTCAGCTCCCTGGGATACACACTGCCGCTGGGGAGGAAGGACGGCACCTTCTGCTCCCTGGGGTACACCTATGAGTCCCCGTAACGCACTCTGCCTCCGGATAGGGCGGCTGATACCTTTGGCTGGATCTGCCATGAACTCCAGGTACTCGTCTACCTGGCTCCTTACGAACTGCACGTATTTCTCCGGGGGGTTGGGTCCAAAGAAAGCCAGCCGCATGGTAAACTCTCTGTCATACTGCTCCTGAGTGTAGCTGGGTGCCATGCTTGCGCTGCTGAAGTTAGTTCTTTTGTAGATAGGGTCGCTGTACGGGTACTGGCGTTGCCCTCACTTTGTAAATCCACGAACTGTGTCTCCGAGCTGCTTTACCTCGCACTAGGACGCCATCCCACCGCTTGCCACCAATGTAACGGATCACCTGGCACCCCGACTGGGTACCTCCGTTGAAAGATGCTCCTAGCGCTTCCAGAGGACTCCAAGCACTCCACCAGACACCATAAGCACCGCAGGCTGCAGCTATCTCCCTTCAGAACGAAGCAGGAACAAGCTCTTACAAGAGCTCAGTGATTATAGCAAGGGAATATGCCTAGCATAGCAATCCCTTGTAGCAGATTCCCCCAATAAGAGACAGGACTCAAGTTGAGGGTAAAAATAGAACTCAGGTGCTGGCACACCCAGCCTGGTTTTTATTACAGTCTTGCAAATACAGGACCGCCCACAGGGAGGTATAAAACAACCAATCACATCACAGTTACATCCCACATATTCCCTCCCCTTATCCTGAGAGGAAACTCAATTACACATACAGTTAAAACATACTTTCTACCCAACTTTCATAACTCTAAAACCATACATCACATTCACATAAAATTACATATTCACAATCAATCCATTCAGGGGAACAACATATTCAAAAATGGCACAAATCAGACAAGGGGTTCAAAAGTTAGTAAAAAGTCCTTTGTGACTAAATGAAGCATGGCTTTCTGGCCCAAACCAGTTTCAGAGTCTTCTATCCTGGAGATAAGTAATTCAATTATCTCCCAGGACAGACACAAGACTCCATTAAGCACATGGTTGCAAAAAGACACAAAACACTTTAAAATACATAAAGTCACATTTACACATAACACACAGACATTTCACATATCCCCAGATAGCTGGGATCTGAGTGCACATTATTAGATGAATGGCACTCAGATCACACAAATAAGCCTTTCTGCAGGGGAAATAAACGGTTTAACCTGCAGGGCCATAGTCCAAAGGGAGCAGGCGAGCAACCAGGCTTCTCCAGTTCACAGTGGCGAGGTTGGTTTCGCCACATACATACAAACCAGGATATAACATACGGTTACACACATATCGCTTGGAGACAACCCTTACATATAACATAGTCTTAAGTGGCCAGGTTTGCCACACACAGACACACACACACACATACATACACACATACAGAGACACAGACACGCATACATACAGACACACACACACACATACATACAGATACACAAACACACATACATACACACATACAGAGACACAGACATACATACATTGACACACACATACATTCACACATACAGAGACACACACATATATACAGAGACACATACACACATACATACAGATACACAGACATACAGAGACACAGACACACATGCATATAGATACACACACACACACACAAATACATAAACACACACAGAGACACAAAATGTTTCCTACTTTTTGTGACTTTCCCTGGGGTCCAGTGGTGGCTCAGCCTGATGGGAGTCAGAGTTCCCACTCTGACTCCCTCCTCCTTTCTCCCGCGCAGGCTCTCTGTATGCTGGGAGGAGTGACTGGGGAGTCACTTCCTCCCAGCAGTGATGTCATCACAGGGGGCCCGGTCACGCTGTTAAAGCGCCCAGCGCTGACCGGGCACCCTGACAATCCATGTCCATCGGGTGGCCCTGACAGCATGGGCCGCCCAATGGACCTCTTAACATGCGGCCCCGGCGGACCTCTTAGCAGCTGCGACCGCGGTATGTATGCCACTGACCCAAGTTAGGGCAATATAATATACACTGATCAGCAACAACATTAAAACCACTGACAGGTGAAGTAAATATCATTGATTATATTGTTACAAAGGCACCTGTCAAGGGAGGGATATATTAGGCAGCACATGAACAGTCAGTACTTGAATTCATGTGTTGGAAGCAGGAAAAATGGTCAAGAAAAGATCTGAGCGACTTTGATAAGGGTCAAATAGTGATGGCTTCAAAAGGGCAAGACTTCTGGAGTGTTTCTGGTATGCAGTGGTTAGTACCTACCAAAAGTGGGGCGAGGAAGGACAACCAGTGAACCGGTGTCAGGGTCATGGGCACCCAAGGCTAATTGATGCACATGGGAACAAAATCTAGCCCGTCTGGCCCGATCATACAGAAGATCTGTGTAGCCACGGACTGCTCAGAGTATCCATGATACCAAAAGCACCTTTAATGGGGACATGAGCGTCAGCACTGGACCATGGAGCAATGGAAGAAGGTGGATGGCCAGGGTGCATGTGCGTTGTTTACCTGGGAAAGAGATGGCAGCACGATGCATTATGGAAAGAAGGCAGGTTGGCGGAGGTATTAGTGTTATGCACTGGGCAATGTTCAGCTTCGACTAGTACCACCTACCTAGAGATTGTTGCAGACTACCAATGTTGTTGTCTGATGGCAGTGGTCTCTTTCAGCAGGATAATGCACCATGTCACATTGCAAAAAATGTTCAGAAATGGTTTGTGGAACATTCCAAAGAGTAATTCCTTGGCCTCCATATTCCCCAGATCTCAATCCAAATGAGCATCTGTGGGACGTGCTAGAAAAACAAATCCCTGGAGGCCTCACCTCGCTACTTAAAGAATCTGCTACTAATGTCTTGGCACCAGATACCACAGGACACATTCCGGAGTCTATGCCTCTATGCACCAATGCTGTTTTTGCAGCACAAGCGGGACCTACACAATAGTAGGCAGGTGGTCTTAATGTTGTGGCTGATCATTGTGCATATATGATTTAGAAGATAAAATCCAATAACAGGTTTTTACAAACAGATTGATAGTGTGTTGGACTTCACTGAGCATGTGATCCTTTACAAAGTAAAATCTACAAGTAGTTTTGTAAAGATATAATTTAAGTTAAAATAGAAGCTGAGCATGGCTCAGTAGAGGTTTGTGTAGCTTTTTTTGTGAATACTGCATTTAAAAGGTCTGTATGACCTTGAATGAACACCACTTTGGATCGAACGAGTTGTGAAATAAAATTAATTAGTACAAAACTAATCCTATACATAGTGCTTGAGAGAGTGTTGTAATATATAATATAATCACATTACCTTCTTTCCCAGGTTTACCAGAGCATCCCAAAAGGGCAAAATCACATGTTCACTGGAGAGAAGATTCACGCTCCAGATCTGCAATATTTAGTTCATCACAGAAACCTCACACAGCCAACGCACACAATCGTACAGTTACTAGCTTACCTACATCACGCATTCCAGCCGCTACAAGACCAAAGACTGCACATCTGGGGAACACAAAACCTTTTCAAACAAAGAAGATACCAAGCAAAATAGCATAGTATTGGTCAATACATAGAAGTATTCCGCTTACTGTGAACAATTCCATCTGTAACAATATTTCCTATAGCACAAGACAGTGCTTGAGGTCCATCATTTCAGTTTATGGAAAGTCCCAACCTCACTGCTGTCTATTATTCCACATATGACTTTTTGCCTAAAAAATTTACTGTATTTTTCTATTGTAAATATATATTTTTGAGACTAAATGCTAATTTACAATCTGGAAAAGGGGACTTATGTCAAGTGTAGGGTAATTTACAATGTGCTAACCAAATTGATGCTTAGTTTAATGTTTACAGGGCCATTAAAGTAATCTATTACCACTGACATGAATGAATCTCAATGAAGTGGTCTGGGAGCAGTGGACTTTTAATTTTAACCCTGCAATATAAAGCATTGCTGTTTTGTAGCTACACCAACGCTTACATTGTAAGGTTAAATACACCTTTCATGGCTGTCTACCTGACCGCCACTAGAGGCGCTTCTGCTGCAAGAACCAAATCAAACACAGTTCTCTCAGCTAACCATCTCATAGAAGAACACCAGTGCTAACTGTGCAAGTGCATTTCATTCCCAATGCTCTTATGAGGAGCACTGGATTGGACGAAAGAAGCGTTCGCTGGAGGTGGATCAAGCAGCTCCCAGGACTCCATCTCAGAGCTAAAAAAAAAAAAAAAAAAAAAGGTAAGTATTGTGTTTTTTTTATTTTTTATTGAGGATGGGGGAGGGCGGGAGGCTGAATCTAATAAAGAACACTATTGCGTTTGGAACACAGCTGCCACAGGAAAAGCACTGGCATACTATGCAATTGAGAAAAGTTGCTTGAAGAACTTCCAGCTCCCCTAATACAATCTGAATTTTTAGTAGGTTGCAAGGGCTCTGATTTCATATGTGACTATAACTTATTTAACTTGTTATGATTACATAGTTGCCCATGTTAAACTATGACCCTGTAATTATTTTATTTATGTGATTATTTTATTGTATTCTCATTTTAAAGACAATACTACTACCCCTTAATATATATATAAATATATATATTATTTAATTGGGGAGGTCCTTCTTTTGTTCTCTGTATATTTCATTGTATGCATAGTAGAATCTCAGGTTAAAGTTCAAACGGTTTACCCTAGAAGAAGAAGAATTTGTCATTTGTTTTTTTTTTTCAATTTGTTTTTCAGAGTTTTGCAATGCAATAGAAAAAAAAACTAAAACATTAAAATCACGCATTTGAGCTGAACACCATTTTCATATTTAAATTTAAAAAATACGAACACAGTACAATAAATGTAGACACACGTGTTTGTATACATTTATTCATAAATATGCACTGCAGTTAAATTGGTAATGTCACCACCACTTCCTAAAAAAATAATTAGAAGTTTGTTGTTTTGTTTTTCACTGCACAAGTTTTTTTTAAATGGCAGGAAAGGTAAAAGTGCAACACCACCAGTTTTTGTTGAATGTACCTATAGAATTATTGGTACTGTGTCCTATCCAGCTGTTGCTCTGAATTTAATTTGCTCCAATACAATGTTGTCAGAGTTATTCACAAGTGAGAATTCCAAGCGAATTTGAAAATTTAAGGTCAAAATAGCAAAACTGGATGAATTCTCTTAGTCAGATGTGCTTTTCATTCAGCTACTCTGGCCTTAAATTTGAAATTCTTACGTTAGTACAGATGTGAGAAAGGGGGAATTCACGCTTCCTGAGATTTGTAATATTCAGTTTACTTATACACTATACCTAGCAAATGTATTTGCGAGGTATGAAAAATAAAATTAAATATAGTAATCCACATCTCTTTATCCTGCAACTGCGGACATCTATCTCAGCTCCCTGTCAGTTATCGTTATAAACTCTGTCATTTGCACCTGGCAGTCACCATAGAGAAAGTATACAGAGAACATCTACCGGTATATATACTCTTGATTTGACCTGGCTGTGCTTAGACTGAATTGGATTGTGATCTAATTTGATAAATTGTTAATATAAATCTGAAAGAGAGTTGAGCATCACATAAAAGAGTTAACAAGTTTTAGGGGATTTTCAGTGTTTTATTTAATGTTGTAATTTCCAGAGAAGTTAAGGGTCCCCTTTACCTGCTGTCATATGGATGGGGAATCCCTGCTTTGTTTTGTACATGGAGTTATGTCAGTAAAAGTCCACAGTGAATAGTAATAAAGGGCCAATACAGCTTGCACGTTATGATTCTATGGATATTCTGTAAAAGATGTATCTTGCGTAACGATCAGTGAGATGTGGGGCACCGATCACTTGATGTCTTGAGCCTTCAATTCTAGTTGATGGCGATGGCAATATTTTGGTATATTTATCCAAAAAAATGTTCTTTTAGAGATGGCACTCTAATATTTGCTTCTCTGACATGGTCTGAAACATCTATTCCAAGAAGAGCCCTATAATAAAATAAAAAAAATAAAAATGTAATGTTCTATATTCATATAGTTACAATTACCAAACTATCAAATGTCTACATTTTATTCTCAGCTCTATAGATTTCAGATATTAAAAAAAGAAAATAAGAACAAAAATAGTATTTTATACAGTACTGTGATTGCTGTTGTGTATAATACTAGTATTCCAACCTTCAAGTATAACTTTTTCTAACGTAGTCAGGGCAATTGAAACTTCTACTAGGGCCTTTTTAGGTTAGGTTAATGTTTAACATATAGTCACAACTACATCACTAAATAATTAGATTAATTCCACCATATTGTAGATGCCAAAACTGTGTCTCACATGCTTTAGCACTTTTAGTTTTTTTATGTATTTCAAACGTGTCTGTGTTTACAGAAAATTTGCAAATTGTATGCTCTCTTTAAAAGGAAGAATATGGACAAAATCAGCATTATTCATACAGTTAAAAAGATTAAGCTGCTACAAAATTCATGTGTACACAATGGAAAATGTGTGATGGCACTAATGCATTTGGTCCCTAATGACATTTCATCTATTTTGCATTAGTGATTTAATCCAGTGTTGTTTGTTCCAGTTGTATTGTAATTTACAAGAAAATAAGGTGATGGGAAATTCCTGCACATGCCCAGCTGAATACTTGGCTATTCGATATTATTCGAAATCCGTTCATTCATGTTACCAATCAGGTAAGGCTCAAGCTTTGCCTGTAAGAGCACTCTGATTGGTTGGCTTAAGCCGAGGGGTGGGGAGGCTTTATAAGCCTTTCTCTGCCCTCCACAGCTCAGCATGCGCAGAGCCCTCGCTGGGTGAAGATGGATTATTTTTATCATTGTGATTTTTTTTTTCCAGCATGTTTTTTTGCAAACAATTCTTTTTTTATTGTATTAGTTCGACGGGCTTCATGGATTTTTAGTGGGGCCTTTTTGGGTGCTGAAAAAAATCTATCGATCTAATGGTAAGTATGATTATTTTACATTTTTAGGTATTTAGTTTTTGCTCCCCCTTTATTGATAGTGTAACCACGGCTGGTTCCCTTATTTACCACTATAACATCTTAAAGCATAGAACTTAGTAGGGCTAACCATACAGATATCTTAGCCATAATTTTATATAGTTAGTGTAAGAGATCCTCTATTTAAAATATATAAATAATTGAGAATACAATATAAAATAAGGATTGTCTTGGAAGCAATAAAGTTGTCTTTTTGGTATTTATTATATAAAAATAGTGTTTATAAGATTAAACTAAATGCTTGCAAATATCATTAATAATAATTAATTATAATTAATAATTAATAATATTAACATACCCTTCTGAACATGTCATCATGTCAGCCTCTCTATCATTTTAAGATGGAGCAGCGTCTGTCTCCAAGTATCTCCTCTGTGTCTTAAACATTTAAAAGTACACCTATTTATACTTTAGGTGTCTCCATTTTAGGGTTACCGTAGTTCATATATGAAAAAGTAACACTTCTTTTACTTCTTTTACTTTATTCATTTTAGGACCTCCCTTGGCAAAAATACAAGTCCATAAGTAAAAGGTGTATACGTCAATTTTCCTGACTTAGTTCAAGATGGCATCTTAAAGTCTGAACATCCTTATCTACTAAGGTTACCACAGTATATTACATACTGAAAAAAATCGTAGCATAGCCTTGAAGCTTGTTGTTATTGTAATTCGTCTGGGACAAAATGGCGTAAACATAATGTGCACAGAGGTTATTGCTTAAAGAAACATCTATGGAAAACAATATGTTCCATTTCTAACACCTTGTCAGTTTGCAATATCTCTTAAAGACAAAGTACACAGTTTAAGAAATACAACATTTCATTCTAAAACTTGTAATATTTGCATTTGCCCATAACAATAGGGTGAGGTGGTAGGTTTTTATTTTATTGGAGGGGGTGTGGAGGACTAGGGGCTTTGGCACTTGGTGGCGTTATTTTTACAATTTGCCCCCACCTGTCGCCAATGAGTGGGTGCTGGGGGAGGGACAATAGGTCTCTCCCTTTTGTCACTTAGGGCCCCAACCCGTCACTAATGGGTGGCAACGGGGAAGACAATAGGTCCCATGGCTGGGAGCCAGGGAGGTAGAACATAGGACCCCACCACCTTATTACTCACTTAGGGCCCCCACCCACTGCTAATGGGGAGTAGGCTTTTTTTTTAAAAAAAAATTTACAACAGTGAGAAGAATTTTGGTCTTTCAGCTTTTTAGTAGATAGCTCCCGAATTAGGAAGCTATCTACTAAACAGCTGCGAGATGCAGCAGCGGCAGAGAATGGATATTCATTCTCCGAATGAAATTCAGAACGGAAAAAAATGCTTGAATTTTATCCAAACACGAATGGACAAACTGTCCACATTTGGTTTGTCCGAAATTCGGTTCCTTTATAGGCTGTATGACAGGACGTTTGCGAATAGCCATTGAAGCATTGCGAGATTACGGAGGAGGGGGGAGTATTGTGGAAAAACTTTCTTCCACCCAGGAAATGGAGCTGACTTAAGCTCCTCTTTTGGTCAAAGAAGGTCAAATGTTGGAAAAATACACAAAACAAAGTAGTCTCTACTTTGTCTTATGTTTTAAAGAAAACTAGTTTAGAAATGAAGAAAAGAAGAACATATTCGGAGAGAGGAAAAGAAGAGGAAACAATAGGAGAAAGTTAAGTTTGATGTGACAGTGCTGCTTTAACCAATCACAAGGGGAAATGTATGGAACATAAGGGGAAGAACTTTTGTATACCAAAAAGTGTGAAAGTACCTTCTTGAACAAAATGTTTCCTTTTAACCCCTTAAGAACACTAGAACATGTCATTACACCCTAGCTTTAATGGGATTTATGCCATAAGGGATAATGCCTTTAGGGCGTAATGGCACTTTCTACAGATTTGGTGTGAGCAGGGTTAGATCACCGCTCACACCAGAGAACCCTAGATATCAATGGATACCTGGGACTCCCATCGGTCAGCCCCAGACTTCTTGATGAGCTGTTTGCAGAATTGGAAGTCACCGCTGCAAACAGCTCTTTAAAAAGGAATTCGAAATACCTATAACTAAATGGCGATGTGAGCCAGGTGTATACACACCTCCAGCAAGTTACCTGGGGCAATAACAGGAAGATTCCTTAAACTCATAGTAATATCAAAAGAAACAATCAATTATGAACCTACCATAATGTTTGACAGCAGCAATGTCTCTAAAGATAATTCCCCAAATCAATCAGAATAGTTGTACATTGACTCTTACGGACAAAAAAACAGTATACCAAGCCAACTAGTTTACTCAGAGAGTAGAGAAGGAGAAGAGCAGGGGTGAGCAACAGTGTCCAAAATTGAAAACAAAGAGACGAAAATAGAGCCAAATTGAAGGTACGCTTAAAGAACGGGGGTAACCCCAAATATAACATAAAAGAAACACAAGTAGTGTACCTAAGTAGTATAGATATCTACTCAAAAGATTGAGAGGTGAGTGTTTGAATCTACACAGAAGATAACTATCAGACAAAGCACTTAGCTGATAAATAAAAGAGGAAAAAATAAATAAATTTTATTATACGTAAATAATACTCAAAAACCAAACGTGCTAATGTACAAAACGTGAACCTAGAATAGGTACTAAAACTTTATCCCAGAACCAGTATCATAATAATATAAAAACAAATCATCCAAATGGCTCAAATAAATGGTCAAAAGGTACTGAAATATGAAATCTGCTAATAGGGATTTCAGGTAAGTATGATCGTATCAAGTATCAAAGTATAATAGCATTGAGTATCAGCCAGAATATAAACAAAAAATATATTTATTGGGGGAACGGTCGCACACATGTGAAGCTCCCGCGGCTCGGGTCTAAAGGGGCTGAAATAAGCGGCATTACACGCAATATAAATAGAGGATACAAGACCCACGCTTCAGCATGTCACAGAGAAGCAAACAAGTCCCTCAGGACCGAGAAAGGCTCCTTTTTCCTGGCAAGAACTTCGACGGGGAAGGGCAAGGAAGGCCTTGGCCAAGATGGCGGCGAACAGCGCTCAGGGGAGTGCACGCCCTCCCTTCCTCCATCCCCAAGCTCAGCCTCAGAGGAGGGCCCCCCCCCCCAGCCACAGGCATGAGATCCCTGATGGCAGAACTGTCCGATAGGCTCCAAGCCAGTATTACAGCTCAGATACACTCACTCACCATAGATCTCCGCAAAGAGCTCCTGGACATAGGGAGCAGGACAGCCCACGTGGAGAAATCGCTCGACGACTTCACAGTGGCACACAACAGCCTAGCAGATAAGTTACAAGAGCTGGAGACCTAGAAGCACAAAAACGCAAGATGGCAGACTTGGAAGACCGGTCTAGGAGGAACAACCTTTGCTTCAGGGGGATTACAGAATCCGTTCAGAATGCAGACCTGAACAAATATCTGACTGATCTGTTCCAGGAATTAGTCCCATCTACGCATCCTGACCTCCTCGTCATCGATAGAGCCCACCGGCAACGCAGGCCGAGCCACCTACCCTCCACGACCGCGAGGGATGTCATAGCTCGCATCCATTTCTATCACGTAAAGGAACGCATTACAAGGGCCTGCAGAAACGCGGCTCTCCCCGAGCCATACTCCAACATCAAAGTCTTCGCGGACCTGTCGGCCTCCACGCTGCAATTCTGTAAATCGATGTCCCAAATCACAACCACCCTCAGATCCAATGATATCGGATACCGCTGGGGCTGTCCGGCGAAATTGTTGATACAGAAGCAAGGTGTGATACACGCAGTGGCGACGGAAGCAGAAGGCCTGAGGAAATTGCAAGACTGGGGTATACCGCTACCAAGCCCCCAAGCGAAAGTCCCCAGATTGACTCAAGATTGGACTCAAGCTTAGGGCCCGATTGGCCATACCCGGAGGGTATCGTATACAAATATGCATACCAAATGTTTAATGTTTATTTGTTAATTGTTGTTCAACTGCTATAAATCCTCTATATAGCCTCTATGGTTAGAATATGACACTGGCCAATTTGCCGTTTTAGCCAGATATTGGGTACTCACAAAGCGCAGAGGCGACTTTAAAAAAAAAAAAAAAGTTTAATCACCGTTACTAGCTCTCTGGGGATGTAACCCAACCACCCCTCAGCTTCCCAGAAGCCCCGACCGAGCCCTAAGACCTGAGTGCCTCCAGATTACGGAGACACCACCAGCCACCCCCGGCCTCAGGTGAGTCTGGACGTACCAGACCACATCTTCGCTCAGATTTGCTGAGCATTAACCTACCCGCCGTTGCGGGAAACTACCCCCCTTCCCAGTTGCTCTCTCCCTCTCCAGGCCCCGTCCTGCATCATGTTTTTCACTATCGACACCACGCACTCACATGGTGGTTCTCCAAGGAAACAACTTATCGCTCCCCGACCCTGACACACTCGCTCATAGGGGAACACTACCCCCCTTCTATAGTAACCCCCCAAGCCACTGTTTATGAAAATTACAACCCTGAATGTTAAGGGGCTGAATTCCCCTGGTAAACGAAGCCTTCTACTTAGGGACTTGAGGAAAGACAGAATAGATGTCGCGTGTGTGCAAGAGACCCACTTTAAGAAAGACCACACCCCGTCCATTTATAACAAGCATTTCCCAACCCAATTCCACGCACTTTCTGAATCTAAAACTAAGGGAGTCTCCATCCTCATCCACAAAGACACGTCCCTAACGCTCCATAAGAAAGTTATAGACACGAGAGGCAGGTTTATTATACTTGTGGGCCTCTGGAACAACACCCCATACACCCTCGTAGCAACCTACTTTCCCAACGCGGAGGCCACAATGTTCTTACGCACCCTTCTCCTGACTGTGGATGAGGTTAGAGCAGGGGTCTCATTCTCTGCAGAGACTTTAATTTTATCCAACATCCAACGCTAGACACCACAGCCCGCCCCGAGGGCCGCAGGAGAAAGCAGGTGGCCGACACATGCAAAGATATCTCTAAACTGCTTACACAGTATGGCCTATACGACGCATGGCGCACCCATCATCCCATTCCAAAGTACACAACATGTACACCAGAATCGACACTTTCTTTCTTGACTCTGCCACCTTAGCACAACTACAGGACTGCCAGATAGGGGACATCACTTGGTCGGACCACAGTCCGGTGCACCTCCAATTAAACAATACATTTCAGTTCAGAGGCCGCGGGCAGTGGTGCCTTAACGAATCCCTACTGATGGATGGGACCTAGTCCGCACCACACTAACAGAATACTTTCAAACAAACGGGTCTGGGGAGACCACTGACGATACGGTTTGGTGCGCCCATAAGGCGGTAGTACGGGGGCTCTTTATTAAGTGGGGCTCCTTTCTCAAGAAACGCAACCTAAATACACTTACAAAAGCGTACGCGCAACTAGCCGAACTTAACACAAAAAACAAAGCCCACCCCACACAAGAATACTTACTCAAAATAAATGAGACACATACGATGATCGCCAAGATGCAGGCGGAAAAATCAAATAGCCTCCTATATAAGTTGAGAGCCACTACGTAACACACAACTGGCAAGGCTACTAAATACTTAGTGGCCAGGCTTAGGGCAAGACTGACCCAGACCAAGATACCCTACATTCTGGATGACGACGGCAATAAACATATAGACCCACAAACGATCAGCAATGCGTTCGCGGCCTTCTACTCCAAATTATACAACCTCCATACAGACACAACAATACCGCACCCCCAAAGCTTAGACGCAACACGCTATCTAGAAGACATCACTCTGCCCAAGGTGTCTGATGACCACCTTCAAGTTCTACTACAACCTATCACAGTCCCAGAAATCGCCCACACTATTAAACAGCTCCCCCTGGGGAAGTCCCCAGGCGCAGATGGGCTCTCTAACGCATACTACAAGGAGTAGTGACATACTAGCACCGCAGCTCCTGAAACTATACCGGCAAACAGCTTCCTCAGGTAGACTGCCTCCGGAGGTGCTGCTGGCTACAATAGTGACGATCCCCAAGCCTGATAAACCTACAGACAAGTGCAAAAATTATAGACCTATATCCTTACTAAACACCGACACGAAACTTTCCGCAAAAATCCCTGCAAACAGAATGAACTCCATCTTGCCACACCTGATCCATGAGGACCAGACTGGTTTTGTAAAGGGCAGACAGGGACTGGACAACACCCAGAAACTGGCCCTTGTGCAACGGGAGATGGGGAGGCCGGGCCGAGGAGGTCTTCTCCTAGTGCTGGACGCGGAGAAAGCCTTTGACCGCCTCGGCTGGGCCTTCCTAGAGCAGGTACTAGCCAAGTTTGGGTTCCCCCAACAGACAATACGACAGATTTTTGCGCTCTATTCCTCACCCTCAGCGCAGGTGAACTAAGCGGGCTTCTTGTCCCCTACCTTTACCATAACCAAGGGAACAAGGCAGGGATGCCCCCTGTCCCCCATGCTATACATCCTCACACTAGAACCCCTCCTACACCGCATAAGACAGAATGACATAATCCATGGAATACACCTGGGCGACAAGCATATTAAGATCAGCGCGTTTACAGACGATGTCTTACTGTATATAGAGAATCCTTTAGTCTCCCTACCCACATTACTCCAACTGCTCAAAGACTACGGACATGTATCATACTACTCAGTAAACGCAACCAAGACGTAAGCCCTACCCATTGGTATCCCAGCCCAGGTACCCAGGACCCTTACCCACACCTATGACTTTGACTGGAGGATGGAATCCCTAAAATACTTAGGGCTGACGATTACCAAAAACACAGCGAACCTTATGGCGGCAAATTATGTCACAGTATGGAATAGGTGTAATCAGCTCTTGAAACGTTGGTCGCCACTGTACCTGTCCTGGTTTGATCGCATTGCGACACTGAAAATGTCCATACTTCCAAGACTTCTGTACCTGTTCCGTACACTCCCCCTCCACCTCCCCCCCTCCTATTTTAAAACAATACAAACTGATATGGGAAAATTTGTATGGGTGGGTGGCAAAGCCAGGGTCTCAGCGGCTCTCCTACAAACCCCCAAGAGAATGGGGGGCCTGGCAATGCCAAACGTCCAATCCTATTACCACGCTGCAATTTTGGCCACAGCCATCCCTCACATAGTCTCCGACCCTGGTCCACAATGGGTTACACTGGAACGAGACCTTTTGGGCAATCATGAACTCCCTCACCTGCTTTGGACACCTCCACGTGCCAGGCCAACCCTCCTCCTACTCCCTACACAATTGCTACTGCTGTTCCAGATATGGGATAAATACAGGCCCAGATTGGGCAGCACCCCTAGCCTCTCCCTGGCGACCTCCCTCAGGGCCATGCCCTACATTATCCCTACATTTAATTCTGCTCCATGGCACCTAAGAGGGGTGATGCACCTCTACCACCTCTTTGCTGCTGACAAGCTCCTAGACTTCCCTAGTCTAAGGGAAACATTTGCGCTCCCACACTCCTCGCTCTACTCATACTTGCAACTCAAATCTTACCTGTATAAGGAAGCCACATGCCACCCTGACACCCTTAGAGACACCAATAGGATCACTGAATGGGAACAAATGTGTTTATCGGCTAAACTATTACCACATTGTAAACCGATCTCCATGTGCCTCAGCTCCATGACTAGCTATAACCATTTTTCCACCACTAAATATGCTCGTCAATGGGAGAGCGACCTAAATTGCCCAGGGCCACTTAAAGCCTGGGATACAATTTTCACAGACCCACTCAAATTATTAAAATTATCAGCCCTCATAGAACAGCACCGTAAACCAACCTAGTACCAACCAGACTACACAAAATATTCCCCTCCACCTCCTCACAATGTTGGAGATGCCATATGCAGGAGGGTTCGATGTATCACATTTGGTGGAGTTGTCCACGGCTCCTTAACTACTGGACTGAGGTCCATGACTTGATCCAAGATATTACCCAACACCCTCTCGAGTTCACTCCGCTAACATGCCTAGTTCTTGATCTCCCTAGAGTGCTACCCCAACACGTAAAGAAAATGATGTTACACATCGCCTTAACGGCGCAGCGATTGATAGTGAGAAGGTGGAAATCCACGCTCCTCCCTAACAAGGAGACCCTGATAGAGGAACTACACAAACAGTGGATTTACGAGACATCGTATAAATCCTTGTTCCCTCCCTCTCTACCGGAAAACTTGGGAGCTCTGGCAAACATGGAGATCTGGTAAGGTCACGAGCACTGTACCTACCTAATGGACCTATAAAGGTTCCTCCCCCTCTCACGAGGTGGGTATAAGCGGCTTAGTTGCATTGAGACACATCGGTGTATTGATGGGCCGACCTGTAGATCTGTAGATATAGCTATGTGAGAACTGTGTTCAGCTGCTAAAATGTCGATATGATGCTCGATTGTCTTATATGGTTAAGACAAAATAAAAATTGTCAAATTGAAAAAAAAATATATATATTTATTGAAAGTGTCCTTCTAATTACTTGGTGTAGAGAGATCACAAATATTACATATGTAGGAAACATGTTAGAATGAATGTCAGTCTCCACAGGACTGATAGACGGTCCCCAGGCGACTTGGTATGTATAAAGTGTAACTCAAAAACTAAATATCGGCTGATATGTTCGAATACCCAAAAACTGGGGAACTTAATAAAAGTATTAGTAATACAAGAAGGTCACTATTAGTCTTGAAGGTACTTTGCAAAAAATATCATTGGATTCAAGATCGGTATGCACAGCTCCGATCAATATCGTGGAGGAGGATTTTTTCGGCTAACAGATCGTTATTGATGTTTAGCCTTCTATGACCCAAATATAGAATAGACTGTATAACTGTAAATATCTCACAGGATACTAGGATACTGTGGAATATAACTTATATTGATTAGTGTATTTTGCAAATATCCAAAGTCTGAAGAATTTGATAATAATTCTAATAATGCCAAAAGTTCATTATTAGTCTTGGAAGTATTTTGCAACAAGTTTATATCATTAAGTTCAATGTCAGTATATACAACTACAATCGATATTATAAAGGGGGGTTAAGTCCCCAGACTAACAAGACGTTATAGATAATCAGCCTGCTAACACCCAGATCAAGGGAAATGGCAGGCACGATAAATATCTTGCAAGATACTAAAATACTATAAGTCTAGCTTATATCGGCTAGTATATTCTGATCCAGTTTCAAAGAGATAGTTGAAACTCTCGAATGCTGTAACAATGTAACAGAAATGTTAAGATGGAAATTAGATCTAACACTAGTTGTCAGTTTTGTGCAGGAATTAGTGTTGTGGTTGGTCTCTTAATACAGATCTGTGAAAGTACTCTCGCGCTGAGCTAATGCTAGAGCTAAACCTCTCGTCCCACTAGCTACTAGATACAAGATATTGATGAAAAGAAAGATATCTATAGTAAATTAAATATTAGTAAATCTCAATAGCATGGTCGCAGATAAATGTGCTAAAGTCATAAGAGCAGCACACTACAGACCCCAGACGCGCGCTTTTCGCCTGACCTGGCTCGTCAGAGGGGAGAACAGTGTCCAAAATGTCTTGGTATGCTGAAGCATTAAGATTTTCCTTCGCTGGAGAGTGTCCTTTTCCTGATCAGTGAGGAGGATTCTCAGCATTCAGTCGTGATCCAAGTGAAGAAGCTCTTACAAGAGCTAGTGTGAATAGCTGTATAGCGGTTACCCCCAATAAGAGACAGGACTCTAGATTGAGGGTGAAGTAGAACTGAGGTTTAATGGCAGGTACTCTCCTTTTATGCAGTGCTCCCATACAAGGGAGACACCCACAGACAATTAGACATTAACCAATCAGACAATGGTTACAACCCACAGATTCCCTCCCCTCTGCTTGGGAGATAATTGAGTTTCTTATGGTATCTACTCAATTATCTCCAAGCTAAAACATATACTTTTTTATGCATTTTTGTAACTTTATGATTTTTCATCCTACACAAATAAAACTTATATTTTTATGAACAACACAACTTGGGGACAAACATATTAAAAATTCGTACAAATCCGTTCAGTGGTATTGAAAAGTCTCTTTGGACAGACCGCACGCCTATTTGCATGCCCAAAACAGTTCCAGAGATTCAGACTGTGCGGTCGGTCTATTTCTGCCTTGAAAAATAACAAAGTCCTATCCGAAGGCGGCGTTCGAATAGTCGAACGCACTTCGGCTTCTGTCGAAGTAAAAGAGGGTTAAGTTTTAGCATTGGTTGTTAGTTAAGTGGCAGTCTATTTTACACAAAAAAGATGACAAAGTCCCATTCGAACATGCGTTCGAATCTTCGAATGGGACTTAGTCTCCAGCCACAGTGTCGAAGGGTAGGGGAAGGTACAGGTCAGCGGTGTTCGTTCAAATGTGTGGCTGATTTCCGTTCCAGGGATTTGACGACACATACCGCTGACTGCGTTCGACTGCATTAAAATGGTCGCCGCCACGTATTTGATTGTCTAATGGCGGCCACTTCGGCTGTATCCGAAGTGCCATATCAAACGTACCCATTCTTTGCACAACACAGTTAAAGGGCCAGAAACAGTCTTTGTTCTTAGGTGCAGGGCAATGTGGATGATAGCAGGAAAACAAAAGGTAGAGATTCCCAGGCAACATGGTAGGAGGCTGTTACAACATATATTACAGATTAAACGAAAAACAGGGGGATCTGTTACATTAATTAGTTGGCACAATGCAGTCAGGCATGTAATGTTCTCCTGGAATACGCCAAACCCAAACTGCCAAACAGATAAACATAAGTCATCACTCAACAGAACATGTTTCCACTGCTCCAGAATCCAGTGGGGAAGTGATTTACATCACTCAATCCAATGCTTGGCATCTACTTTGTAATGTGAGGCTTGCATGCAGTTGCTCAGCCACGGTGATCCATTTCATGAAACTCCTGCAACACAGGATTTGTGCTGATATTAATGCCGGTGGAAGTTTGGAGACCCCGCTCGGTGACTTTATGTGGTCTTCCGCTTTGTGGCTGAGTTGCTGCTGTTCCTAATCGCTTCCACTTTCCAATAATAACACTTACAGTTGACCGTGGAAGATCTAGCAGAGATGAAAGTTTATGAACTGACTTATTGTAAAGGTGGCATCCTATCACAATACCATGCTTGAATTCACTGAGCTCCCATTTTTTTCACAAATGTTTGTAAATACAGAATGCATGGCTAGGTGTTTGATTTTATACACCTAAGTCAATTAGTCTGATTGAATTTAATAATTAAAAGGTGTGCCCCCAATCATGAATTTAGTAATTCCAATATTTTTGTTTATATAGTACATCTCACCTCTCCACTTACAGTACCGCAGCTCTCAGTGGGCAAATAATCGCCATTCCTCCACACTTTCAGCATGCTTACCCAACTACAGTTATATACACATAGAATGTCCTGGTCAGAGGAGAGCAATGGGACATTCTGTATTATGCAGCCACTCTGATGCTATCAGCCCTCTCTGAGATCAATGGCTTGATCACAATTAAGTGTTTGACCACCCCAGCACTAAAAAGTATTATGACCGTCATCAAATCAAGTATAGCAAGGCCACAAAACTAGAAAATTATACAGTTAGAATTCAGTGTGCTGGGCAGGGCCGGACTGGCCCACCGGGAAATTAACCGGGAAATTTCCCAATGGGCCGTGGCACCTGGGGGCTGCAGAGCTCTTACTCCCTATAGAGAGGGATCCCTGCAGCCGTTTTTAATAATATCGCAGCCTCCGGCCGCATGTCAGTGCCGCCGGGTGGCACACTCTGAGGGGGTACTCACCTTGCGGCCGGCGGCCCCATCTAACTGCTGTCAGTATCAGTGATATCGGCGGCACACTTACTGATACTGACAGCAGTTTAGCTGTCAGGACAGGAGGACTGAGGGAGGGGGCAGAGCTAACTACCATGCTCCCTCGTGGTTCCCATAATTCACAGCAAAGCCAGATCATAGAGTAGTGATCATAGACATATATATGTCTATGGTAGTGAGCACTCTATGATGTGGCTGTGCTGGGAATTATGGGAACCGCGAGGGAGCATGGTAGTTAGCTCTGCCCCCTCCCTCTGTCCTACTGTGACACAGAAACAGAGCGGTAGTAGAAACTCAGGGGAAGGGGGGGGACAAATAGAGGGGTAATAGAAACACAGGGGAAAGGGGGACAAAGAAAGGGGATAATAGAGAGACACAGGGGAAGGGGGGACAAAGAGAGGGGTAATGGAGAGACACAGGGAAAGGGGGACAAAGAAAGGGGTAATTGAGAGACACAAGGGAAGGGGGGACAAAGAGAGGGGTAATGGAGAGACAAAGGGGAAGGGGGGACAAAGAGAGGGATAATAGAGAGACACGGGGGAAGGGGGGACAAAGAGAGGGGTAATGGAAAGACACAGGGGAAGGGAGGACAAAGAGAGGGGTAATAGAGAGACACAGGGGATTGGGGGACAAAGAGAAGGGTAATGGACAGACACAGGGGAAGGGGGGGCAAAGAGAGGGGTAATAGAGAGACACGGGAAGGGGGGACAAAGAGACAGATGGGGTAATAGAGACACCAGGGAAGGGACAAAGAGACAGAGGGTAATAGAGAGACACAGGGGATGGGGGACAGAGAGACAGATGGGGTAATAGAAAGACACCAGGGAAGGGGGGGACAAAGAGACAGAGGGGTAATAGAGAGGCACAGGGTATGGGGGGACAAAGTGTAATAGAGAGACACAGGGGAAGGGGGAACACAGAGACAAATAGGGTAATAGAGAGACACCAGTGAAGGGGGGACAAAGAGACAGAGGGGTAATAGAGAAACACAGGGGATGGGGGACAAAGAGACAGAGGGGTAATAGAGATAGGGGAAGGGGGCAAAGAGAGAGACACAGGGAGGAGAGGGTGAAGAGAGACACAGGGAGGAGAGACACAGGGAGGAGAGGGGAGAAAGACACAGAAGGTTTGTTGGGGGGACAAAGAGACATACAGAAGGGAAGGGGAACAAAGTGACACACAAGATTTGTGGGAGTAAACGCTGGGCTGGGGGAAAAAGAGACACAGAGTGGCTGGGAGAAGAGAAAGAGGCACACAGAGTCTGGAGTTAGAAAGAGACACACAGGTGAGATTTGGAAGGGGAGAAAGAGACAAATGGGCTGGGGCTAAGACATACACAAAAGGGGCTGGGGGGAAGAGACAAACAGAGGCTGGAGAAGGGTAAAAAGAAACACACAGGGACTGGGATGAAGTAAAAGATACACAAGGGTGGTTGTACGAGACAAAAAGGAGACTATTGGAGACAAGATATACTAAACGTGGTAAATGTAATAGACGTAATTTATGTGATCCTGACAGTAATACACATATATATATATATGCATGTATATTGATGTGTTTATTAGTAACATATATAATTATGCCTATAATATTTACAGATATATTAATATACATTTACATATGCATAATACACACATAAATGTAATTAATATATACAAATATGTAATGAGCACGTATTAGCCCAGTCTTGTTGCTAGTTGCATACTCATGCACAATAACATATTCAAAGTGAAGAGCGCAACCATAGGACTTCAAAATAAACAAGATCACTTCATTTTTTTTCAGTTGTGCAACTGCATACATTCACCATTTCAGTCCCATTACTAAAATGTCCTTAATATGTCAAGGTAGTTGTACTGAAAGATTGATTAAATGCAAATGTACATCTGCTTAAAATAAAGCAGAGCTCTTTTGTTTATTTTGAAGCCCTATATGTGTTCTTTCGTTGGAGTAAGAGTTTTCAATTTTAAGTTATTTTTTCACCCTCTATATCAGCACACTATGCTGGCGCGACGCATTATTGGGCTGGTAAAGAATTTTTTGTCCAGGGCTGCTTTTAGTTCCCAGTCCAGCCCTGGTGCTGGGGGCTTGGCCAACACAGAGCCGAGACCAGTCCCATGTCTGCTGGACTCCAACTCACCAACTAAACAATCACCCGAATTTACCATCTATCCAGCACAAACTCGACCCCACAGGAACCCATGACACCAGGAGAAAATACTCCAAGATGCTTAAAACCCTCTCAGGGGAGGGAAGTCGGAGCATAGGAGAGCTCTTCCACACGCATCCCACACCAAAGATGGCGGCGCCACCTGACCCTCTCGGCTCTTCCTATGACGATGAAACGCTGGATGCCCCTGACCTAATACCTGAAGCTGAGTAACCTGCAGCACACCAACAGCCAGAGGACAGAGGGGCTCCACCATCATGGAATTTATGGAGAACATCCGTGCCTTCTTCAGGTCCCACCTGGCAGTGATGCAGGAGTAGCTGGTAGCCATTAATGACAGTCAGGGAGGCAGAGGAAGACGTCTTTCTCACAGCACCATGCAGTTGCCATGGAACAGATCTAACACTCGCCTATGCAAGCCTGACTGGATGCGCTGGATGCCGTGCGTTGGTGCAACAACACAAAAGTTAGAGGTATCGCAGAAACTATCAATGATGGCGAAATGCACATTTCTTTAGATGCCTCTTTTCAACGCTGTTACCCCCCGGTAAACAGTGCACACAATACTTGAAGGCTCTTATCGCCTACCAAAGTCTCCCAGGTCGTCTGGTGCAGCCCCCCTCGATCTCTTGCTACCTTTTCAGTCATTTAAAGACAAGATGGCGATACTGGAGGTAATAAAATCCAAAGCCCCGTTCCAGTTCGAAGACATGAGGGGCTCACATCAAATAGAAATGTGGCCCATCCCGTACCCTCATTGCCACTAAAGAAAATGCCACCTACTGGTTTTCAACACCGGACTCAAGGAGCTGGGCCTTGCCCAGCAAAAGCTTCCTAACCCTAATGCAAACAGATCATGGGGCGTGGAAAATATTGTTCCTTTTGTGCCCCGCACAGGAGCGAAGATGGGCTAACACAGGCCAAATTAATTTCTTTTATTTAGCCAACCAATTTTGTCCTACAGTCAGCCTAAGGATGACAGTTAGCGCAGTTCAATGTTGTCTTTTTTTTCTCTCTTACATTTAAGCTCTGAATCATGCATCTGTCTCACACTGCCACTGGGTCACTGCTCCTGACCCAGCCACCCTCCCCTCATGGTGCCAAGGTGTAATTGTGCACTATTAACATTAACACTTACTACTGATCCCATAGCACGACCAGTAGGCACTTGCCTCAGCTATTCAGGCATGGTGGTGCCAGACCTAGTTAACCTGCTTTGCTCTTCTACAAACGTAATGCCACTTGGGGAGCTCCATTAGTCTTTATGGGCCTTCCATTATTTGTGCCTTTTACGAGCCCAAACACAAAGAAGGTATTACATATACCGCCATAGAATGGCCACTCTGGTCGTACTATCTTTGCCACTTTTAAAGATTTATATTAAAAACTTTGTTTCCATAACTACTCAAATGACAGGATTTGATCATGCATTTCTACTATGTTATCATTAAATATTGTGTTTTCCTTTCTGTCGTTATCTATGTTCTACATCAATTTGACATAAAACAAGAATAAAATAAAGAATGTCAAAAAAAATAAAAATTCAGTGTGCCAACAAACAGCTAATAAACTTTTCAGAGCACCTGCTTGCAAACTTTAATTCATTTTCAAAAGCCTGCATTCAACAGTTTGACCTTCTTTGTGAATGAATGAGTTTTCAAATGGACCCTTGTATTAGCTGCTCTGTTTGTCCTGTCCATTCTTTTCCCCTAGAAGATAAGTTACATAACATACCTCGGCTCATAGCGGATGCCATCTGTATTATTCATAATGCCAACACCAGCACGTAACCTTTCAATGCCATTCCTAAAAAACACATAGTACACCTTAATTACTTGTTTTTTTACCGTGAAGTAAGGGTTTTACCTGAAAACAAAGGTACATTTTGTGATTCTTTCTAAATGCATTTTTTACTGGCCTGCATCCTATTTTAACATGTGTATTTGCACACTGTCTTGCATGCTTTGTGTATATGGGTAAGAGAGATGGGTTGTCTGTGACCAGAACAAATGATTCTTGAGAGGGAGACATAAATAAATCTACAGGTCTGGACTTGTGCATGTTACAAAATTTTCGATCAGCCAAATCACTTTGTCCAAAAACAGAATTTGCTTTGGGTAGTTTGATAGTTGCCCGTGTGGTGGTATCAACCATCCAAAAATATTCAGAAAAACGATTCAGACCAATCAAAAATGGCACAAAAATGTGTAGCAAAAAATACACATAATATAAATAGTATAGATATAAAATAATTTTTTTTATTCACAAATTGAGTGAGATAAAGTTATAGAAAGAAAAAAAAGACGAGGAGCAGTAAAAAAAAAAAAAAGAAAAAAATCTATATTTATATATTAAATTGTGGCCTAAATTTGAACTAATTGCAATTTGTATAGAATGTTTATTGGTTTCACAACATAAATTCCAAAGCAAACGTATTAGTGTTTAAGTGGATAAGTGCCTGCGCAGAGGCGTAATTATCAATACATGTGTATAAAATCGAGTTGTTACCTGCGCAGAGGCAATATAATTGAGTCACTTTTTTTGCAGCATTTAGTTTCGTACATGGTTGTGTACCTATTGTAACCCTTACTATGATGGCTTTCAGTTTTATTGTTTATGCTATCGGGTGTGTTGTTGGACGCCTGTACCTGTGTTTGAGTCGGATGGAGCCGCTCGCTGTTTTGCGTGGGTAAATGTAGTTTGCTTTTTTTTGGGGGGGTTGGCTACTGTGGCAGCTGTGTTTTGTGGTGGCTCTGTGGTGTTTTCACGTGGGCTGGGTCATTTGTAGTGTACCCTCCGTTGTGTGCGTGCCATGTATTTTGGGTGTGTGACTGAGTCGGTGCTTCGCTGGCTGTGCCTTCCCTCTCGCCCTGACTTCAGTGTCTTTTGCCGTGGCTTTTTGCCGCGTTTTATGCCTGCCGGTTGTCCGGGATGGTGTACTCTGGCTTATAATATAGTTTCTCCGCTGTCTCATGTTATGTCGCATGTATGGCCCTCCTTGGTGCCTGGCGTTGTTGAGTGGTCCATTGGTGTGGTCTGCGTGTATGTGGTTTGTGGCCCTGTGTGTCTGCGTGGAGGTGTCGTGCTTGTGTGTTCCTCTGTTTGGTTTGTCTGATATCTGTGGTGCCTCTTTCGTTGTGTTGTCTTTTCCTGGTCGATCTAGTTTTTGTTTGGTTATGTGATGTCTTGTGTGTCTGGGGGTTGGGCATGGTGGGGTTTTAGGCCTGTAGTGTGGTCCTGTGTGGTGTTGTGTTATCTGCCATCCGTTAATGTGATAGCTATTTGTATAGCTGTCCCAGTTCGCGATTGTGGCTAATTGCAATTTGTCCAAAAGCAAATGCATAAGCCTAGTAAATATTAATTTCTCTATGGTGGCATAAAGTTTCTCCATGACCTTGTCATAAATTTGTCTGACTCTGTTCAAGGCTTGTGTTCTCTATTTCCTGCAACTTAAATGTAGGTTAACACTATGCAGCATTGATAGAACATGCTATTAAAAGCAGCACACACTGTTTAAAAGATAAACATTTTCTCCCATTCTCAACTATTTTTAATGCAACGTATGGTTGTCACATAAATGCAACCAAAAGTATGAATTTATACATTCATTTGCCTGAAAAGTATAATCAGTAAGTAGTAAGATCATTCACTTCCTGCATGAAACACATTCCAGTAAACTGATGCAGGATTAGAATCAACTAGATTAATGTACATGAGAACCCTCCTCACAGTACTCACCAGGCGATCATTACGCCATTGTCTGTACAGAGTTTTGGTGGCGGACACAACAAAGCCATATCCATTGAATCAGTTACACTTTTAAGAACTCTTCTGATGTAACCATTGCTGGCCACACCACCTGACACAACCTTATACAAAAGACAGCAAAGGTATGAATTTAGTCATCTGGAGGATAACACTTTTTTATAGTTTCTAAACTATGTCATAATATTCACCCTATATTTAGAGCTAGTTTGTGTGTAGGGTTTTATAAGAAAACATAAAAGACCCATTTACAAAAAAAACAAGTCCTCCGCTCAAACTCCCACTACTCCTGGGCGGCAACAATGACCATAGTACACATCAGCCCCAATAAATACAGTAAAAACCAAAGAAAAAAAGTTACCTGCACTCTCTCCCCAAATCCCTATGTATATTTAAACAAATGGAGGTTATTTAGTTACTCCAATGGCCATTGGAGGGAAAGCCTGCCTGCTAAATACTATGCAGCCATCCACAAATACTGATGATTAATCTCTGCTGGGGAAAAAATTTAAGTAACACTCTTGAAACCATAGCAACTTAACTAGAATAAAGTTTTTATGGTGCAAAAATATCCCTGGCATCTGTTTACCTTTAGGGGTAAACCATTCAGGAACAGTTTAACCCTAAAGTGCAGTACCTAGCACCCGATCGTTTGCCCCATATCATTCCGCTGCTCAAAATATTGAAAGAGAAAGCCTCGGCCAGGGGCACCGCGAATTGGCTGAGAGTGTTAGCTGGCACTCTTAGCCTATCAGTAGTTCCCCATTCATAAAAAAGCTTGAGAAACGTATGTATTTTCCTCAAGCTGTTTCGTGAATGGGGAGCTAGTGATTGGCTTAGCACATCAGCTACCGTAATCTCTCAAAATTATGAGCTCTGGAAAGACAGGGGGCAGAGTGATCAGGCAATGGATACTGGACATTTGGGTTAAATCAATTTAGTTTTTATGGTGCCTGGAGTGTTCCTTTAATCCACTATAATCACCCAGACCACTTCATCTCAATTGAAGGGATACTATAGTGCCAGGTATACAAAGCTGTATTCTTGGCATTATAGAAACTTTGTTAAATGCATATTTATAATGAATACACTTACCAAAGTCGCAGCTGTGGATGGCAATAGACATTCCTTCTTACAGAACAATATAGCTCGCTGAGTACGTTTTGCTATGTGGAAAGCTATTGTGTATTGTGTGGCAGCAGCAATATCTGCAATGCAAGAGAGAATCTGTCCCTGTTGTATACCTGCAAAATATGGCAAATAAAAAGAAACAACGTTTGCAGTTTTCTAAAGAATGTGTTAACAAAAAATTTAAAACAGATAAACAACTTTAGCTTGCCAAAGGACGTTATATGTGAAGAGTGTGTTCTTTTTGTTTCATTTTATAAAAGTGCCAAATCCATAGAAATCAGTGCTTTTATAAATTAAACATGATAGCCCCTACTCCATGGATGCCTCCTCCTTCTAGATCCATGGAGAAAAACAATGGTATACACTTGTGGACAGTTCTGTCCTTTCAAAGACTTCTTAAAGAAGAATACAGCTTACTTAGAAGTCTACAACTGGACAGCGCTGAGCGAGCACGCCTGCTCTGCAAGGCTTCTCTATGAGAACCTTTTCAATGGTTATTAGTTTAGAAGAGTAGCCCTTTCAGTATTACAAATCAATATTTTAAATCCGCCCAAAGAAACAATGCAAAAATAATTACATGCATGTTTTCTTTGGGGCTATATCTATAAAACTATTAAAAAGACATTTGTTTTACGAAGTGATCCTTTAATGTGATGTAGGCAATCTACATCAAACAATACTGATATGATATTATAATTGTAATTACGAAAAACGATCAATATCAATCAATTTAAAAAAAAACTTTGGTCATGTATCACATCTATAACATTTAACATAATGTAGTAACCTAGTTGTCCCCACATAACAATATCCCTTAAGATGAAGTGGTTTATATTAGGTGTTACTTGGAGGAGTCATCTTTGTGTGCATGTATGTCTGCACCGCATTATACAATAAAGATAATTTACACATATACTAACAAACAAACCACATCCATACACACACATAATTGTTAATCAGTGTGAACCTTCTTATAGCATATACATGTATTATATTTAACAGTGCCTATATCATGAGGTCCCCAAAAAACAAGTATGATGAATCTCAAGTACCTTCCTCCATTTCTTTTTTTCGGATGACATGATTGATGTGATTGCGCAGTCCGGCAAAAGAGAAATTGCAGTCTTGGTGCTGTGACATTGGAATTCTAAAATTATAGAGTTTCCTGTTCCCGTTCTGAGCTAAGTGCTCTATTCCTTGTCCTCCACTCATAGAGGCACAGTCAGGGTGGTTTATAAGAGACAGCCTCCTAGAAACCTATTGAATGGATGGATTATTGTAATGGATAGTGCTTTAGAATATCTACAATATACTGGGCAGTTTCACCAAATTTTCAAAATATTCCAGTAACTCCTATTTTACTACTAAATTTTTTTTTGTTAAATACAAATACAAAACCCCCCCAAAAAAAATTTACAGAATCCATTGATCTTTTTCCTATTGATCCTTTGCAGAAATTGGACAAGGATACAATGTTTTAGTAATTTTATAGCATCCCTTTGTAAAAATTATAATTATTATATAATTATTGGTTCTTTTCTATACAAGTCAAGCCTGCAAAGATTCCTAATAATATACTCTGTGGCCTCCAATTTACAAAGTTAGAAGTTAGAAATTTGAAGATAGATGCTGTATAGAAGGAACAGAGGGTGTTGAATTGAGCCATGGCACAGGAATTAATTTCTATGCAGAGCGAAAACCAGTGCTGTAGGTTAGAGTAAGTGTCCTAAATTCTATTCTGCGTTGCTTTGCAGCAAAGTTTGTTCATACACATTAGTGGGAGGAAAGAATCAATATAATTTTGTCTGCACAGTCTCACTTTACTCTGGAAACAAATCCAAGAATAAGATAATATTGACTCCTTCCTTTCTCTCAATTCTATGGGAAACTTGGGCTACTGTACTATTTGACTCCATATTGGCAAAACTAATACTGCCCTATTTTACTCTGTCACTTAAGTGAAAATACCCCACTATCTAATCCTGCACTTTTATACATGGCATTGAAACACAAATGCATATTTAAATTAGTTCGCAGTGCGCTAGCCAAGAATTAGAGCACATTTTAACCCATACACAAGTCCTTCACCAGCATACTGCATGTTGAAACTCTTAATTAGCCCTGTGATCATGGAGCATATGTGCACCTGTACAGGTGAGCATGCAAGCAGTTATGGCAATTATATGAATGGCTCTCCCAAATGTGGCAAATAAGAAAGGAGGTATTTTTCACATGTGGTGTACTGTAGTGTACTGTATAATTCCATTATAAACTAAATTATAACATTTAGGTTAAATAAGCCAAGCTATGACTAGCCATTTTAATTGTACATGCTAAGGAACAATATTTAACTGTTGAGAAAAGTAATGTACCTGGGAATATTATTAAATTATATTCTGTATTTAGTGTTATGAACTATAACTATCTAGTAGTAATAACAATATTGTGGAAGATACATTAATTCACTAACCGAATATTGAGCAAAATTATACACCTATTTTGAAAAATAATTTTTTCAATATCTGCATAAATCTTTAATTTTATATAATTGGTGAGCTTCCAGACCCTCACTTTTAAATTTTTAAACAAAGAACACAAACATTTTAGAGTCTGATGACCCAGGTGTTCTCTTACAGAATATAGAGCTAAGCAGCGTTGGCATCAGCAGTGAGGGATGTTATATTACCAGGATAGTAGAAAAATAAGAAAGTGAATGCACACCAGAAATCACAAGCAATAACTAACCTGATTTAATAAACCAATACTAGGTTCAAGCAAAAAATAACTGTAATACATAAAGTGACACAAAAACAGGCACAAAGCATAAATAATAAACAATAATAGTTTACCAAAATTTTCACAAGCCTAATAGGGCAGAAACAGGAATCAATAATAACCCCCCAACGTTTCGGCACCTCCTGGTTGCCTTTATCAAGGGCGTTTATAATATTACCAGGATAGTAACATGCATAAGATTTTTTTTTTTTTTAACCTCTACTCAATTCAGGAGCCAAACTTTGTAGTGTCACCTGGAAAATCTCTTGACAACTCATTCTAGTAGCTCAAATGAGTGATTTTTTTTAAAATAAGCAAAGCCTTTTTAGATGACTGTGACAAATGCAACAGGTGCATCCAACTCTCAGCCATGTTCTAAATAGCCTCTGTCACCACTACCCTTTCAAATAAATATTACGTAAAGATAAAATCTTTATGAAATACTCACGTTGATTGTGTTGGAATTTCACTGAATACCATTGAAATTCCAACACAGTCAAAAGACTACGAAGACAAACTAGGGACTATTTTGTCTTAGCTTATTTCCAACGGTTTACAAAACTTGGGAAAAGGCAATCTTTGTAAAACAGATTTTAGTTCATATGTTTTAAGAGACCCATTGCCTAAATACTGGACAGCTACCCTACCGTTAAAAAACCCCACAAACAAACAAATAAATAAATAACGTACAGCTTTCTGCTCACATTCTGACAAGGTGCACTTTATTTATATAACATAGTCTGACTTTATATTTTTGTATAGGCTGACTTTATTGTTTTTACTTTTATATTCTACTATCTCTATTCACCATGGTTTTTTATTTTATTTTAAAGTTGTATAATTGTAATTTCTGCAAAATCAGTAAAACATTTAATTACAAAAAGCTACTATAGAGTATCATGCCTTTTCTCTGGTAGAAAAACAAATATAAATACCTTATCTAACGTTTCACCAGGGGCTTCATCCAAGGATTGTCCGAGCAGCAGAAAATCCGATACATTTTTAGCTACAGCCAAGATGCAATGACCACCTGATATCAAGAGAACTAAGAATGGAAAGTCTACATTGTGTAATAACCGGACAGTCAGTGCATGAGCTTCCATGTGATGTATGGGTATAAAGGGTTTGGAATATTGATTCACCATTTTTAAGCTGTAGGAAAGACCTATGCCAAGGCTCAGGGCCAACCCAGGCTTAACTGTCGTGGCGATAGCAGAAAGTTCTTGAGGAGTTATTCCACTGGACACAAGAGCCTCATTAACAACTCTATCAATATTGTCTGCATGGAGTTTCTGTGCCACAGGAGGAATTATTCCACCGGTCCTATAGTAAGAAAAAAAAAATAGTGTGAGAATGCATTACATTAAGCACAATAAAAAAAAAACCAAAGAATTATATATTACAACAAGGATTTTTTTCTCTGTATTTGAACAAAATCTTTTACTTTACATACAATTTAAAAAAATATATACAATTATTTCATTGAATTCAAGTTTTTAGGAAGCCTTTTAAGGTCTATGTTATCATTGGATACTATTGTCTCCAACAACACTGACACATTCTGCTGGGGAAATTATTAATACACAAATATAGCTTCTTCCCCCTGTTTTGGCCACATGGGAGTTACCTCTCCACTCCTGTATTATGGACCAGTTTGTGTGTAACAGAGGAAAGAGAATTTGCATTTATGGGGCACTGCACTCATTCTTAACCTAAATTGGGAGCCCTGTTAGACAGAGTCACACTTTGCATCGACCACAAGATCCTACAGATCTTAGGCACATATACACTGTTCCAACTTGAGTTTCAGCAGTTCTTTGAAACCAAAAGCTCTATGTCCTAATACGGTTATAAAAAGACTTCCCATGAACCCTGACCTGAGAGTCAGACAAAAACATTGCAAGGGGCACAGAGGTCAGAAGAACACTAGAAGGCCACTAAGCTTGCATGCCGGCTCAGATTATGATATTAGAGATCCAAAGTTGCATTGCTTTCACAAAATGGCTCTACAGAAGCACTCCATCCAGCTACTACAGTGACCCAGATTCATGCCTGGCTGGGAGCCTGTTTTACACTGTTACCTATTGTATACTGAGAAGAGTCTCTGCAATAAATGAATGCAGAGAGGCACCAATCTTGGCTACTATGGTTCCCTTGTGCTATGAATTTTGCATCAATGGTATTAAGTAGAAGTCATGTGGTTATTTACAAACCTGGGCTCTATTTCCTATCTTCCCTAAAACCGAAGAAAGATTTAATATTGCTGGGTAAGATTTCCAAAGGATATAATATTTTTGGATAAACGATTAAAATTATATTTTCAACATTGTAGAATATTAAAATATATAATTTATAAATAAATATATTAATTTATATTAATAGAGTCTTGATTCACAATACCTTAATTTGATCAAGTGGAAAAAGGTGCTAGACATTTAAATATACTGTTTTCACACACTATGTCTGTAAAACATATTAGTCCTGTGAGCCATGAAATGTTTCCAAGCCTGCTTTTCATAAGAATGCTTATGGGAATAAGCTACATCATTCCACTCCTGTTTGTGCAAGTCAATAACAATAGCATATTCAGTAATTAAAGTAATTTGGCAACAAGAGATAAGAGTCTGTATAAAGGCAAACAGCTCTAATCTCGAGTTATTATCTGCTATGTTTTAGAAATGTGTTATGGAAATCTGGCCATGTGTCCCCTCTTTTGTTTTTATATATATTCTTTATTTTAATTTTGTCATAGCATAACAATGCATTAAAGGACAGACATAAAAAAAACAGTTGCAATTCCGGGGTATCGCAGCACCCGGTTCTTATAAGGAGCAAAGGGAGGTAATGAACAGATAGGTATCTTCTGTATGAGCTTTTCCCTCCGCTCTGTACATAATTTCGAACATTGTTGTACAGCTCAATTATGTTAAGAAGTTGTCTGCCAGATTTTGTAGATGTAGAGTATAGTTAGGGAAGCTTAGTGAATGCTGGAGACACTGATGCCAATAGCCAGGTTATTTTCTCTCGAGTAGTCATGGTTCCATTTTGTATCAATGCCTTCGAGAAGGATTTCCATGGTGGTGAGTGTGTGCAGCCCCCCACCCTTTTCCATACGCATGTGTCCCCTCTTGACTTCTCCACTAGAGCTACCATTGGTATATATGTTTTAAAATGTTCTGGTCCTCAGTCAAAGAAGTTGCAAAAAAGTTGAAAGCATAATATAAACAATGGTAGCAATTTGGAAAAAAAACAAAGCTATAAAAGAAGTGCTTTTAGACCAAGAATGCTTATAGCAGGTCGCCAGGTCATGGTCGGCCCGTTCCCTCCATCCTCCTTCCGCAGAGGAATTTCAAGCTGGAAGGGCAACATATAAAGACTGCCTGCTTGTAGCTCGCCCGCATTCCTCCGAGTCTGCCCGGCCATATTGTTCAGAGCCGCTCCGTCTGCCCGCGTTCCTTAGAGCCGGCCCGCCCTTATTCCTTTGAGCCTGTCCGCCAACCCGCATTTCAAAGTTCCTGCACGCCCTCAAATGAGTTGGCCCGTACACATTTCTCAGAGTCGGCATCCAACCCACCCCTATTCTGCAAAGCTGGTTGGCCGCCCATTCCCATGCGCAGCCTCAGCACCGGAGGAAGCAGCTGAGCTACTCCCTCCTGAGCCCAAAAGGTAGGAAATAGGGTGGCTAAAAATATGTTTTTTTTAAAAATACATTTATTAGTGTGTGTGTGTGTATGCCTTTATTTGTATTTGTCTTTGTGTATCTATGAATCTTTGTGTGTGTGTATCCGTTTGAGTGTATCAAATAAATACTTTGTGTCTGTGCGTGTCAGTGTATGTATCTGTCAGAGTGTGTCTGTTTGTCAGTGTGTGTGTGTGTTTAGATCACCAGTCCTCTCTGATCGCATGGGAATGGTGTTCTTACTAACCTTTTTTCCAACGCTGTGCCAGTCTTGCTGCAGCTGGCCTGCTTCCATATTTGAGAGTATCAATTACCATTCAGCATCTCCTCGTAGAGATGCAATACATCAATTAATCTCTACAAGGAATGTATGTAGGTGCTGCACATTGCGCAGCACTGAAGTAGGAGACACTTTAGTGGCCGTTTGAGTGATGGCCACTAGAGATGTTACTAGGCAGCAATGTAAACGCTGCCTTTTTTCTGAGAAGGCAGAGTTTACATTGAAAAGCCTGCATCTATAGACACCCGAGCCACTACATTAAGCTGTAGTAGTTATGGCAACAATAGTGTCCCTTTAAGAATCGTATTTTTGTCTCCTAACTTTTTTAGCTGGCTCCTAGATTGAAAGCAAATTTGTCAAGCACTGCATTATGCTGCAGTAGTTCTGGTGACTAAAGTGTGCCTTTAAGAATTGTATCTTTGTCGTTGGAAAAAAACCTGGCTCCTAACTTTTTTTATCTGGCTCCTAGATTGAAAGCAAATTTGTCAAGCCCTGCTCTATAGTATGGTTCTGTTTTGTTGCCTGTACATTGATTACATTGCTTGTTTGATTACAAAGAAGTTAAAAGTAGAAAGCAGCTGGTGGATGGTATTAACCTACATTTAAAAATTGATGACCAACAATGAGATCTGATTTGAATAACTCTCATCCAAGCAAGTGTGATTTTTCACAGTTACTTCTCAGTATAGTTTTACATATATTACATACTAAATGAGTGGTTTGACTTATTTTATGCATGCACCATTAAAGGGACACTCCAGGCACCTAGACCACTTCTGCCCATTGGAGTGGTCTGGGTGCCAACTCCCACCACCCTTAACCCTGCAAGTGTAATTATTGCAGTTTTTATAAACTGCAATAATTACCTTGCAGGGTTAAGTCCTCCTCTAGTGGCTGTCTAATAAATGCTTTCCTATGGGAATTCTGGCAATGCTGTAGTTTCTCGTGCATAGCGTGAGGAACTCCAGGGTCGTTTAAAACACTTTTCGTTTTCTAAGAACACGGAAATCCCTCTAGTGGCTGTATGATAGACAGCCACTAGAGGAGGACTTAACCCCTTCACGGTAATTATTGCAGTTTATAAAAACTGCAATAATTACACTTGCAGGGTTAAGGGTGGTGGGAGTTGGCACCCAGACCACTCCAAGGGGTAGAAGTGGTCTGGATGCCTGGAGTGTCCCTTTAAGCCTGTCCTCAATTATCAATGTTATTTCATAACAGGCTGCACACTCAGCTACCAAAATAACCAATACACATAGAAAACATGACATGGAATAGCAATGACAGTCACGGGTTCTTAATTTATTCATAGCCACACACATACATACAGAAAATATGGCATGAAATAGCAATGACAGTCACGGGTTCTTAATTTATTCATAGCCACACACATAGTTCACTTAAGGTCCCTTACTTTAGATGAACTTCTTTCTGGGAATGAATAGCTTCTCCGAGAATTCTGCCATTCTCATCCACAACAGCAGCTCCTGTGTCATCGCAACTTGTCTCTATACCCAGAACTAGTCGGAGATCTTTCACCGCGGAGTGCAAAGAAACTATTCTTTTGCGTAGAGGCAAAGCACGCTTGCATGTATAATAAAAGCTCGTTCCAATCATTTTCCCTGATGAGGAGTTCCGTTTTCATCAGCATCTATAACGAAAAAAAAACCATGTACAATGGTAATACGTTAGGCTTTTATTGATAGTCTGACATAGATTGACATGATGCATTAGCTGTAGTTGTGCCAGAGAACTTCCCAGTCAGTCAATGTTGACTCCATGTCAATGAAATGATTGAAAGGTGGAGGAGGAACGTATATTTAAATAGTTTTTTTCTTCCAATCTATAAATGTGCCAATAAAACGTATAGATGGAATTTAATGTATTCCAAAGATAAATAAGCTTGTGATTACCTTGTCGGGTACAATTTTAAATAACACCGACTCCATACTCCTACAGCCTGTTTACTTCAGGTGTTGATTGTAAGTCCCTGCAGACTTATATTATAAAAGTGCTGATTTCAAAAGAAATCAGCACTTTTATAAATCACTTTTGTCACAAATCTAGGAAAAGCAAGGTACTGGCGAATTGCGGTGATTTCAGCACACAAGCCATATGTCTGCAATGAAATAATAAAATAGAATTGACAATCTCACCATTGGTAGATCAGGCTACAGTGAAGGAAATCTAGTTGAATTTATTTTTCTTTATTAAAAGGGGATCCTAAATATAATCTAGTGCAACTAGTAATATGTTTTTTCATTTTTCACTTTGGAGTGTTCCAAAGAAGAAGACATTTACAATGCCAGATACAAGCCACAACTGGGGGGTTGTTCTTTGTTTTGTTTGTTTTTTGCCAAAAATACCGTTATAACAGAAACAAGGCAAAATACTTCATCTATTGTTTAGCTGTCAACTGTGACGCATATTTTAAAGTTCGCCCCAGAGCCAGAAAATATATCAAGCCCTGTGAATGTGATCTGGCAAACGTGTTCCAGATGTTAATCTATTGTTTGTTATAATATTTAACAAAACAGCCTTTAGCATATGGCATAGCTAATTTGCATGTTCTTTTGAGGAGTCTTTTTTACGTCTACTTTATTACTGTCATTCACTATGGAAGACTTTGGATATGAACAATTAAAACATTTGTCATTCATTATTTAACATTTAGCTGTTAAGAGAAGGCAGAAGTTCAAAATAGACATTGGTTAATTATATTCTTATCTCAACCCAAGGAGACCCTTAAAATATCTCATTGATAGCAGAACTCCTTTGATGACTGGTGTTGTACCAAATAATAGTAGAGAAGGCCTTCTATCTTGACAACACCTGTTGGTTGCTCTAAGAATCACCAATAGCCAATAACTTATGGTCTACCTCTACGTACAGGGCTAATCACAAAAGTCAGAATTCAACATCAATTCAAAGAAGATTTTACAGTTAAAGTGAAAACAGATTAACTGGAAAAATTCCTTCAGTTAGCTATGCTTTCATTTCAGCTACTCTGGCCTTAAATTTGAAATTCACTTTGAATTCTCACTTTTGTAACTTACCCTATAAGTAATATTGATATGACCTAAAATGTCAATTGTCATTCAGGAAGCTAGGATTTCTCAATACGTTCTACACATATAATTCTAGAAAATGGTTAACACCTGTTACAAAATGGTGAGACTAGAGGTACTTGGCTGGAAATGGTTTGGTCTCAATATATCATAGGCTCTAGGGCAAACTAACCAATTTCTGTTGCTCACATAACAATGTCCACACACAGCTACCCTGCAGAATGCTGCCAATGGCAGAAGAAAGTATTAATAGCCAAAGCTATAGAGTGACATCTATAATATTCCCTGTTCCTCTTTAGTCAAAGTACTTTTTGCTGGAAGTTCAAGTGGCAAACCTATTCTTCCATAAGTGTATTTTTATCTTGAGTAAAACCGTATTTGAATGTTTAGAATATGAAATTGAGCAGCTATTTAGTGTAAATACATTAGACAGTATCTACGACTGAGATGTTACATAGTTACATAGCTGAAAAGAGACTTGCATCCATCAAGTTCAGCCTTCCTCACATATGTTTTTGCTGTTGATCCAAAAGAAGGCAAAAAACCTAGTCTGAAGCGCTTTCAATTTTGCAACAAACTAGGAAAAAATTCCTTCTTGACTCCAAAATAGCAGTCAGATGTCTCCTTGGATCAAGCAGATATTACCCCACTAATTAGAAACTATATCCCTGAATATTATGTTTTTGCAAGTATTTATCCAATTGCAGTTTAAACATCTGTATAGACTCTGACAAAACCACCTCTTCAGGCAGAGAATTCCATATCCTTATTCCTCTTACTGTAAAAAAACCTTTTCTTTGCCTTAGATGAAATCTCCTTTCTTCCAGCCTAAATGTGTGACTATGTGTGCAATATATAGCCCTGTTTATGAATAGATTTCCAGAGAAAGGTTTGTACTGGCCCTGAATATATTTGTATAATGTTATCATATCCCCTCTCAGGCGCCGTTTTTCCAAACTAAACAGATTTAAATTCTTTAACCTTTCTTCGTAACTAAAATGCTTTATTCCTTTTATCAATTTTTTAGCTCATCTCTGCACTTTTTCTAGTGCCATGATATCTTTCTTTAGAACAGGTGCCCAAAATTGCACAGTATATTCAAGGTGTGGTCTTACCTGCGATTTATAAAGAGGCAAAATTATATTTTCATCCCGAGAATTTATGCCCCTATTTATACATGACAAAACCTTACTGGCCTTAGCAACTGCAGATTGACATTGCATATTGCTGTTTAATTTGTTGTCTATAACAATTCCCAAATCCTTCTCATGTGTGGTTATCCCTAATTCACTAGGGTGTAAATTGCTTGTGCAGTCTTAACCCCAAAGTGCATAACTTTGCATTTCTCTATGTTAAATTTCATGTGTCATTTTAGTTCCCAGTCCCCCAATCTATCCAAATCCCTCTGCAGCAAAGCAATATCCTGCTCACATTTTATTACTTTACAAAGTTTAGTGTCATCTGCAAACACTGATACATGGCTTTCAATGCCTATTTCAAGATCACTTATAAATATGTTAAATAAAAGCGGTCACAAAACAGAACCCTGAGGGACACCACTTACCACTTTTGTCCAGCCTGAAAATTTACCAATAATGACAACTCGTTGTACTCTATTCTTAAGCCAATGTTCTACCCAAGAACAAGAATATTCATCTAGACCAATTTCTTTTAGTTTGAAGACCAACCTATTGTGAGGAACCATATGAAATGCCTTGGCAAAATCCAAGTAGATCAGATCCACTGCAACACCCTGATCTATACTTCTACTTACTTCTTCGTAGAATGCAATTAGGTTAGTTTGACATGACCTATGTTTCATAAAACCATGCTGATTATTGCTAATAACAAAGTTCTTCCCAATGAATTCCTTAATATTATCCCTTAATAGCCCTTTAAATATTTTGAACCCTTTTTAAATATAGGAACAACATCTGCCTTCCTCCAATCCTCTGGTACAATACCTGAAATAAAATCTTGAAAAATTAAATACAGAGGTTCACTTATTTCCCCACTTAGCTCCTTAAGTACTTGTGAGTGGATACCATCAGGCCCCGGAGCTTTATTTACATTAATTTTCTTTAATAGCTGTAGCACCTTGTCTCGAGTTATCCAATCACAAGTTATCTGCAAGTTTTTTGCAGCAATCATTTGCATATCTCTTGCCATAGGATCCTCATTAATATATACTGAAGAAAAATAGTTATTTAAAATTTCTGCTTTTTCCTGGTCTTCATTAGCTAACAAACCCATTTCTGTTTCCAGTGTACCTACACTTTCATTTTTTGTTTTTTTAGAATTGATGTACTTGAAAAATTTTGGGGGTTAGTTTTGCTTTCTTTGGCTACCAATTTCTAATTTTCTAGTTTAGCCACTTTAATTGCCTTTTTGGAAGCATTATTGGCTTCCTTATATCTTATATAGGATGCCTCTGATTTGTCCGATTTAAATGCTTTAAATGCCCTTATTTTTAATCTCTTGTTTTACTTTTCTACAAAGCCACATTGGTTTTAATTTGTCTCTTTTTTTTTATTTATTACCCAATGGTACATACTGAGAAATTTACCTTTCTAATATTTTTTTTTTTTTTATTCTTTATTTTTGTAGTGCATAAGCTTTGAACAGATGCATGTGAGGTACCCCAAAGGCAATCCTCCAGCTGATAATTAACAGTTGAACATAGAGGTACATGGTAGATCTAGCACATTTTTTATATAGGAATATGATGAGTGCTAAACAATATATGTTTTCGTCTCTTAGGGTGCTTAGGTATTACACAGTGCAACAGCGCTTTACTATCTAGTTATGATATTATTATGCTGTGTCAAGAGCTAGTATGTGCATATAACATAAGTGTAGAATTAAGGATGAGTTTACAACATTTTCAGGTACATGTATATAGACTATGTGCTGCAGGGTTGAGACATGTAGTGCTGTATGTTTGCTAATTCCATGCTAATGGCAGGTAAGTGCCTATATCCAATTATACATTGCAGCTTTATAGTTTTTACCAAGCTTACTATTTGCCACAATAGTTGCAAATGTATTATAAGCCTGCAAAGTTAAGGCAAAGACAGGGAAAAACATACTGAAGCAGGAACACATTGCTAGCTATATTAACAGGCTAGTGCTTTAAAATTATAATGCTATATTCAGGCTATGTCTACGTCACTTTAGTGGAATTTCAGCCTGGTTAATCGGCCCAGTGGAGAGGGCTGCCATCATGGTGGTCCCGAGACCTCACAGACAGGGGGAGTCCCGCCACTACCCGATACCTGCTCTGTTGTTTCTGAGTAGCTGGGAGTGAGTGTCCATCAGAGCACTATATTTTAGTATATTCCACGTGCTTTTGCTTTTTGAGTTTATTTCAAAAATTACCATATTGTGATCACTATTTCCCAAATGCTCCCCTACTTGAATGTTGGTTAAAAGATCAGCATTGTTTGTTATAACGAGATCCAGACAAGCATCGTTTCTAGTTGGTGCTTGTACCAGTTGTGACGTAAAGGTGTCATTTAACACATTTAAAAACCTGATTCCCCTTGCTGAAGTACTAGTCGCTCTATCCCAATTTATGTCCGGGTAATTAAAGTCTCCAATAATTAACGTGTTACCCCGATTTGCAGCTTTCCCAATTTGCTCTGACAGCTGTTCTTCCTCATTAATATTTACATTAGGTGGTTTATAACATAGCCTGCACCTCCCATGCCTCACCCTTCTGTCAGTCCCTACATTGGCTTCCTAGAAAATATAGAGCTCAGTTTAAAATTCTGGTTCTTGCTTTCAAATCTCTACATAATGCTGCTCCCACCTATCTATCCTCCCTTATACACAAGTATGTCCCGTCTAGGCCCTTACGATCTGCTGAAGACTTACGTCTATCTTCTGTCCACACTCCCACCTCTGATGCTCGCCTTCAAGATTTCTCAAGGGCTGCACCGTTCCTGTGGAACTCGTTTCCCTCCTCTGTTAGATGCTCACCCAGTCTCCACTCCTTCAAAAAATCGTTAAAAACCCACTTCTTCATAAAAGCGTATCAATTAAACTGTTAATAGCTCCTGACTGATTCCTCTTCTGCAACTGTCATTAGTCTAATACTATCCTTACCTTTTTGTGTCATTTTACTCCACTCCCGCTAGCATGTAAGCTCATTGAGCAGGGCCCTCAACCCCTCTGTTCCTGTGTGTCCAACTTGTCTGGTTATAACTACATGTCTGTTCGTCCGCCCATTGTAAAGTGCTGCGGAATTTGATGGCGCTATATAAATACCATAATAATAATAATATCCCAACCAATAATTGATTTCCCTTCGTTTGCCCCAAGCAGATATCTACCCATAAAGCTTCTACATTTTCCTCGTCACACTCCACATACCTAAGATTTGACTTTAACTATGGTTGACATACAAACATCCCCCACCACCCTTCTTGTTTTTCCTATCCTTCCTAAATAACGTGTACCCATTTAAGTTAACTGCCCAGTCGTGTGTCTCATCCCACCATGTTTCTGTTATGTCTATTATATCATATTGTTTAATGTATGCTATTGCCTCTAGTTTCCCCATTTTGTTATATAGGCTCCTTGCATTAGTAAGAATACATTTAAAATTATCATGAGTCATTTGTACATTTTGTGAATTATCAATATTACATACCTCCTCTGTTCTGAGCTTTCCCCTCCCCCCATCTCCACCCTCTTTGTTCTGAGCTAAAGCCCATCTCCTTTCTATCCTATCTCCATTTTCTACTACTAGTTTAAAATCTCCTCCAACCTTCTAGCCATCCTATCCCCCAGCACAGCAGACCCTCTTCCGTTTAGGTGAAATCCATCACGACTATACAGGTTGTACTCAAGCGCAAAATCGGCCCAGTGCTCTAAAAACCCAAAACCCTCTTTCCTGCACCAAGACTTCAGCCACGCATTGACCTCTCTAATCTCCCAGTTTCCAGGGTTCAAGTTTTATTTTACAGAAAAAGGTGAGGGGGATCATATTTTACACAAGCAGCTATCATTCAGGTTATTCAGGTTTTTGGCATATTCACATTTTGTAAAGTACTCATTACAGTCTGTGATGGTAATCACTGTCACCAGGAGTTTCAGATGAACACTCTATGTAAGAACCTGGACTCCTATGTCTAAGTAACCCTGTGCCCATTATATTTTACAAGGTGTGTATAATGTATTTGTGTGCTCTATTGTCCTTCTGATGCTTGTTAACAACTAGGTGGATTTGACTATGGAGCCTGTATAGCACACTATATTGGTAACAGCTATATGACCTACCTGAATAGCAGGGCTTGTAAATTTGCATATTGCTTATTCTGCAGGCAGGAGGGATATTTTGTGATAATTATTGTCTTCCCCAGCTCTTTATAAATGTCATTATAAGTTCCTGTATGTTGTCTGATATGATTTGGTTATTTGTATTTTATTGAAGTTGTTACAGTAACCTTAATGTTCTGAGCATATGGGCTAGTCCCGCTAAAAAATAAAGCTGAGTATGTTAGCTACTTTTGGAACTGTGTCCTGTGTGGATATTTAGGAATCCCAGTAACAGAGTCTTCAGACCTGTTGGCTGGCTGTACGATCCTTCAGGGGCAAATCAGAAAGAGAGCGAGGCCTGAGAGCCGCATCTGTTTTAATAAAGACAAGTTATCACATTACAGACAGAGGAATAGGCAGAGGGGATTATACTTGCCTGGAAGGAAAAAGCTCCACAGAGATCCCAGTCAAGCTTTGGCAACTGGGGCTAAAGCGTTCTAGGGTCCTGGCAAGCAAATAGGAAGCTTACTAAGCAAACCACTTCATAGACATTTGGATATATTGTTTTTTGTTTGTTGTTCCCATTAGTACTGTCATTAAAACTCACCTATGGAACTTGTTGGCGCTTTATAAATAATTAAGGGGACATCCTAAATATTAAAACCAATATATTTAAAGAGATTGCATTATTGGGCACACCTTTCAGCAAGGGGAGTTTCTTCAGCTTCACCCTTCCCCACACATCCATCTCAGTTTCAGACCAGTTTACTAACGACATACACAGGGCATTATTGTGTAGCAGCAGGGGAGAGAGACCTAACACTGGGGTCTGCTCCGCATGATCACACTGATCAGACTCCCTCTCTTCTCCCCCCCAGGATGTTGCACGGTGAAGACATCTTCGAACTACGAGTGTAAATCTGTCAGGCATGCACAACACACTTTTCCAGTATTCCTAGGGACAGGACACTGATTGGCTAGATCAGCGTCTACCCTGGAGTGAGTATAGAAAGCATCAGAAAGAAGTAGGTAAATATAAAAAAAAAAAACATATATATTTACATATTTCTAACGCTTTTTAAATTATTATTTTTAATGGTATTTATATAGAGCCAGCTTATTCTGCAGCGCTTTACAATAAAAGGGGAATATACCAAATAACAAAATGTAACAGGAACAATAGGTAGTTGAGGACCCTGCTCAAACGAGCTTAAGGTCTAGAGGAGGTGGGGTATAAAAACACAATAGGAAGGGTATTGAGAAAGACAGCAAACAGACATGGTGGGAAAGTAGCAGAGCTGGAGGTGAGAATGGAGTGTGGCCCTATAGGAGAGAGCAAGAGGAAAGTTTGAGAGATAGAAGTTACTCTGGGAGGCCATAAGCAAAGATGGGGTTTGAGGGACTTCTTAAATGATTGAAGACTAGGGGAGAGTCTGACAGGGGTAGGCAGGCTGTTCCCAAGGAAAGGAGTCGCCCGTGAGAAGTTTTGTAGCTGTGAATTTGCAGTAAGGGTGCGAGCAACAGAAAGGAGAAGGTCACCAGTAGAGCAGAAGGACCGATACCTATGAATCAGTGAAGAAATTTAAGAGGGGCTAGAGTTGGTTGGAGCTTTATAGGTAGGGGTTAGTATTTTAAATTGACAGCTATAGGGGACAGGAAGCCAGTGCAAAAAATGAGACAGTTGTCTCAAAATGTTAATGTCCCTTTTGGAAGAAACAAACACAATGGAGAATACAGCTCCAGATCTACAAACGAAATAAGAAAATAAAAAGAACAAAATAGTGTAACTCTGTATGACTTAAATAATAGCGCATAAAGTGGCACTCACAAGATGAAAAGTGGTTATTCGCCTTAGGGTGGTCCCCGATAAAGTGGGGGGGCTAATCTAAAATGCCTTTCTCCTTTCTCGGTAGCGCTAGAAGCGTAATGAGCCGGACGCAGATATTCAAGATGCAAACAAACTGCTATTTATTATTAAAATTAGTGTATAAAAATACTTAAAATATAGTAAAATGTAAAAACACAAATAAGTTGCTAGAAGTAATCCTACACGTTTCGTCCCCAAAAGGGGCTTCCTGATGGAATAATTTAGATAATGATAACATTAAGAGAGACTAGTACTATGGTGTCTAGGTACAACAGAATCCATTTGGGGATTTTTGTCCCAACATAAACCCCAAAAAGCTTAATATTATCATACATAAGATATAAAGCATGGAAGCCGTCTACAATGGGATATAAACAAAGGAAATGTGTATAAAAATAAAGAAAAGTAATAATAAATAAGAAAAATTGAATAAAATGGATAAAATAATAAAGAAAAAAGGGAAAATAAAAATAAATTAAAAGAACTTAAAATAAAAAAAAAAACTTACATTGTAAGAATAACATAATCAATAAAAAAATTGAACATGCATTTATACCCAAATAATTAATATTGATCAGCACAAAATTAAGAGAGCGCTATTGAAATATTGGCCTGTTTTAAGAGAGGATAAGATCCTAGGTCCTTTTCTTCCTGACCATCGTCCTGTAATTTTCAAGAAAAACAAAAATCTAAAAGATTCCCGGGCCCCTAGTTACAGTATTAAACCCAATAATAAATAAATAAATAAAAAATTACATAACACAATTGTCTGGTTTTAGAGGCTGTTTAGACTGTAGAGCCTGTAAAAAAGCTGCTAACATAACAGGAATCCAAAGGGATTTCTTCAGCACGGTATCCGGAAAAAGATACAAGATTAAGGATACTGTAGATTGCCATATGGACTATGTAATATATTTGTTGCAGTGTCCATGTGGCAAGCAATATGTGGGAAAAACTAACAGAAAACTGAAAATCAGGAATCTCGAACATTATAACAATATTAGAAAAAGAATAACTAATCATACAGTTCCCACATATTGCAACAGTTGTCCTGTTTTCAACTGGAAACAATTTTGTTTTTATCGCCATAGAACATATTAAACCCCACTGGAGAGGAGGAAATCGAGATGATAAACTAGCTCAACGAGAGACTTTCTGGATGTAAGGACATGAAGGGGTGCTGCCCTGTGACAGCACCGTCCCTTTAAATGTGGGAACCAAGTTAGCAGAGAAATAATGTAAGGACACGATGAATGGAGCAATCAAGAAAATATGTATTAAAGAAAACCAAAGGATATCATATACAAAAACTAAATATGTACAATGCCACAAATATATATATATATTATTATTTTTTTACACACACACACACACACACACACAAGAAAGCAGGCAGAGTACACTTGATAGTCCTTAGGCAAAAGTAAAGGCCTTAGGCAGGATCGTGCAGCCACCACAGAATATAAGTGGGGCACGGATCCTAAGCCACCAAGCACTAAATAAAAAACACCAAGGAGCAAAGCCCAAAGCAGGTCACACGTAAGGTCAGAATCACTGGAAATGAAGTATAGGTAGGAACACTGCAAGTGAACACTGGAACGGGAGACGAGAACGCAGGACCATAAGGACATCAGAACAGGAACACAGGATCAGGATACACAAGATACAAGACACTGGAGCAAGGAGTCAGAATCACAGGAACCAGGAAACAGCAGGTACAGGATGAAGGATATTGATCTGACAGGGAGTGGGGGAGAAACAAGAATATATAGGTGCTAAATAAGGGCCAGGTGTAGTGCTTAACGAAAAGAAATGAGAAACAGTGCCAAACAGAAACATTGGTGAGTGTGAGGACTGCACGAGGGCATATTAACTAAGGAGTGTCGTAACACTGGATACACCAGTTAGGTTCTCTCGAGTCTGGAGGTCTTAATCAATATCATTTGTTTCTTATAATGTAAATGGAGACAGTCTACTATTTCTTATATTCACTTATATTTATTTATTTTCTGTTTCATTCATCTTTTATTTTATTTCATATTTATATTTACTTTTATATTTATTTTCTCTTTTCTTTATTATTTTTTCTTATAAAATTTTTACTTTTTCTTTTTAATTTATTTTTATACACATTTCATTGTAGACTGCTTCCATGCTTTATATATTATGTATGATAATATTAAGCTTTTTGGGGTTTATTTTTGGACAAAAATCCCCAAATGGATTCTATTACACCTAGACACCATCGTAATAGTCTCTCTTAATGTTATCATTAATATCTACATTATTCCATTAGAGCAAGTTTTCCATAGGGGGAAAATGTCCTTAATATTCACCCTAGGATGATTACAATAGTGCATTTATTTGCTGGTCATGATTATATATTTTTTCTTTGAGTGAAAAACGTATAAACAGTGAGAATCCACTCCATATTTTGTAGGTGGAACTCATAGATCATCAAATAACGCCAGGGAAGATAGAAGCACTGAAAGTGACGTCAGAAGATCCGGAATACGAATTTAAACCAGGAAAAGGAAGAAGTGGGGGAATTTATACTGCTTGTTTTTTTCAGTGATTTATATAATTTTGTTCCTTGTTATTGCAGTTATTTTATTTATTTGTTGCTACATTTGGGAGGTCCCTGAGGAAGTCCCATTTTGGGGGGGAGTGAATAACCACTCTTCATCTTGTGAGTGCCACTTTATTTTGCACTACTATTGAAGTCATACAGTGTTACACTATTTTGTTCTTTTGGTTTCCTTCTTTCGTTTGTACATCCGCAGCTGTATTCTCCATTGTGTTTGTTTCCTAAGGAATATAGCCTGGGATATTCCTGGAGAAGGCTGTCACCACTATTCATAGAGATAAGTGTATCATTCCATCACACTATTGATTTGTTTTAAGTGTAGATGAGATTTTGTTGTTTTAACATGTTAATATCCCTTTTGACAGGCAATGTAAATACACATCATGCTGCTAATGTTTCTCACAGATATTGCATTATAGGTAAGTTTATAGCTTTTTTTTTTTATAACATTGGCAGCAGTGATCTTAATTAAAAAAAGAACACTCTAGGAATTATACTAAAGAAGGAACACTAGCTAAAAGGAACATACGAGTATCACTTTAGCAGATAAAAGCAGTAAAAGTGGGAATAAAATACAGATCCCAATACTTTTGCTTCTGTATCTTTTAAAGGAAATTCTATAGTGCTAGGAATACAAAGGTGTATTCCTGACACTATAGCTCCCTCTGCCTGCCCCCCTCCCAAGCTGTGAATAAAGGGTTAAAAACTTATTTACTTACCTGATCCCAGCACCAATGTCCCACGGCACTGCTGCACCTCCCCCGATGAGCAGATGCTATTACGCATGCGAGCCAAGTGCCACATGTGCCTTATGCCTGGGAAAATAGCTGATGCTGGATGTCCTCATGCAGAGCGTGAGGACGTTAAGCGACAGATACCGGACCAAAAGTCTGTTAACATCCAGGAAGCGCCTCTAGGGCTATCTGATAGACAGCCATTGGAGGCAGAATCAGTGCTGTAATGTAAACATTTAACATGGATGTTAACAGACTTTCACTGGCTGTGAGCACTCTGCAGAGCTAACCCAAACCCCCTCAGGAGAAGAACAGGTGCAGCTTACCCAGCTTACTTGTCAAACCATTCTAAAACAGTTTGACTTCTTAGTGTGGGACGGAGTCAAGGCACTCCTGGGACCATAATCACTACAGCAGGCTGTAGTGGTTATGGTGCTTGATAAATATGGTGTTTGGAGCTTAGAAAATCTGATGTTTTTCACGAGGAATATCTTTTACAGCTAGCATTCCAAACAAACAGGAATAAATATATTTGCTGAGCTGCAAACCCCTAGCCTTATGTATCCAAGTAAGAGGATTGTAGGTGAATATATCCACACCCACAACAATGAGCCCAGCAGATAAAAATGATTGTTGGGCACATTTATTTCAAAGCAGATCAATGGGAATAGTTGATTAAATATGACAAAATATTAGTTCCATGAGTTATAGAGTAGAGTAAAAGTGTATCTGGATTCTATATTTTATGATTACAGCAATTTTTACATTTGTATATGTGTGATTGTTTTTTGTGTAATACATGCAGCAATAGGTTGTGTTGTATCACCTGTATAAATAATTATTGCTCGATTGTGCGATTTATATTAGTATTGGGTGCTTGGTTTTGTATAATACATGCACTATGCATTAGTAATAGATGTTGTATTAGTATGACTATGTCAAACAACACAGGATGCATAAAAATGAATAAAAAGCACGAATATATTATTTACATGGGCAGCCAGCTCCAGCTCCCAGAAAGTAGGTGGCAATATACTGGTTTAACCCCTTAAGGACACATGACATGTGTGACATGTCATGATTCCCTTTTATTCCAGAAGTTTGGTCCTTAAGGGGTTAAACACAACCTTTGCTATGATTACTGTATATTTGGGGAGACCAGAATGAAAGAGCTATAAGAACAGCCTGTAGTGGTTTAACCCGGTGCAACATATTGCTAAAGGGTAAAAGTACAATGGAAAACCCAGTAAGGTGGGCAGAAAACATATGAACAATCAGAAAGGAGCTGATAAAAAGCGGTGACAGCACAGCTAGAACAGGAGAGTTCATTCCTACCACTCAGCACACTGACTGTCCTCCACATGGCGCCTCCTCATTTCAAGGGCACTACTTCCGGGTGTAGCAGCAAAGCTGCAATCCTATTGGTCCGACACGAGTGGATAATGGTTGGCTACAAATGCTGTCACTCACGAGATGAACCCTACTTTACCTGTTACCATGGCAGCGTGAGCAATCCTGGGATTGTTAGTCTGCCAGTTATTCACTAAAAGGGTCATTATCAGAAATTAAATACAATTGCATTTCAAATGTAAGGCTACATTAGCCAAATTGTAAATATAGCTGGCTTGGAGAATATTTATTTTTCCAATTCGACTGTTTTTGCCTAAATTTTGAAATTCATATAGAATTCACATCAAATCACTTTTAATAACACTGAATATGTACATCAGAGAATGTATAGTAGAAATTGCAATCTCTCAAATGTCCCTCTTTGTGACATGAATCTCCTCATTTAATAACTAGGACTATAGATAATTTTGTCTCCCTAAAAATCACAGAGCTGCAAAATAATGAGTCCTTTTAAGGGGACACACATAAGTGTATAAATATTGTCACATTCGCTTTCATATTTGTTCCAACTTTGAGTGCATGCTTAATTTTCTTATATATAAAAGTGTAACTCCAAACTTTTATATTCTGGTACTTTTCTCACACTTTTTATTCCTCTTTTGAACTGTTTTCTTCTTTCTGTTCCTGATGTTACCATTGATTACAATAAATCATGAATCACTTTTCATACATTAAACAAAAAGGAAGATTGTGAACGCTATTCAACTGTCACCAAAAACCCGCCACTCTGACAGTGGCCGCACAATTATTTGGAAAGAAAAGACACCTCCTTTGTGAATTAAAAAAAGGACAACAATGGAGTAGGAAAAGTAAGGAATATTTAGCAGCAAATAGGAAATATTTTATAAAAAGTGAACATTAACACTTTCAATACCTAACTTGCATAGCTTGTGCTAATAAACAAAGTTTTAACTGGCATACCCAATTATATAAAATACTGTATATAACTTACTTTGCCACGTAAAAATAGCAAGTTTCCTGTCTATATATTTATACAACTATTATCTACCTTAGCCATTTGAAGTGTTGGAAGGTGTTGTGGAAATAAGGTCTGCACATATTTCCTAGTTAGTGAAAATGTCTATTTACTCATTCCACGATATACATTATAAAGCTATACACACATATTTTAACCAAGATGGCTGCTAGAAGCTTCTAACCCCTCCTCCCCTCCCCTCCCCTCCCCTCTAACACCGACTAACTACCTCGTGCAGCAAGATGGCGCCGGGAAACCGTGGGAGACCCTCATGGTCCCGGTGACATCACCCTCAGTAGGCAGGGCATTAGGAAGACCACTTAACACCTAACCAATTATTGATGTATTATTCCATGTTATCTCTGACAATGCTCATGATGTTGATACCGGAGAAACTGACGGAAGCAAAGCACAGAGGGATGGACACAGGTTTCTTCAGGAAGGAAGAGATTCTTTATTGGATCACCGATCGGGACTCAGAGGGACTAATGTCACCAAAAATACAGCAAGTTCTGAGCCCTGAACAATAGTGCAGGCTTCCTATATAGGCACATAACTCCTCCCACATTAAGCTCCACCCGCACATTCTCTTGACCAATCATTACAAATAAGAATTAACTTCCTGCTTGACCGCATGGCTTGTCCAGCACAATGGAGGAGGGGAATACTACATCCTGTATTCTTGCACATGCTCCGTACACTACTGATCATATCTTGCCTCGTGCAACGATCGAGCATATGCACGTACACATGCCACGTGGTAATCTCGGCCTACTAAATTTATTTTTACCGAGATTCCACCACATTCCCCCCTTTGATGCCTCTTGATATTTTACAATTACTTGAGGCATCACTTAACCTTGGTTTGCATACACCACAAGTTACCTTTGAACCAGACCAGACTTATCCTATGATGTGAATCTTCAACACTCATCTTCCTGCATTAGTTCTCCCTGATCTAGAGCCTTATATTTATAAATTGCCATTATCTGTGCAGCAGCCTTCCTCTCTGCTATATTTTCTATCAGGCTTTGCACAGACCTAACTACTAAGGGTATAAGACACGGCAGGAGTAGACACAACATTAAAATCAGTAGGACTCCACCTACCACTGCCTTAAGCCCTCCAAACCACTCATACCAGCTACCAAACCAACTACTTGGATTGTACCCTTTCCATACCTGAGTAGGCACATGCGCTAGTTTAACCATATGGCTAGTAAGCTCAGCTATTGCTTGCCCTTCGTCATCTATTTGAAGACAGCAATTGCTCAGGTTAAACTTCCCACATACACCTCCCTCTACTGCCAAAAGATAATCCAAGGCTAATCTATTTTGGTAAACTGCTGTCCTCATCCTGGTATTATGCTTCGCTAGAAGATTGAGCGCTTGTGATGTCTCGTTAGTAATGATCTCAACCACCGCCTGTAACCTTATAATGCGGTTGAGCATATAAATAGGGGTTCTATAACCAAAGGTACCATCCTCTGCCCACGTGGCTGGCCCATAATAATCTATAATACGCTGGGGAGGCCATTCATTATCTTCCCAGGCACCTATCTCTATGGGTCCCCTTTTCTTCCTATGATTCACATCATACACTTTAACACCTAAAGTCTCACCTGTTTCAATAGGCAACAAGAAGAAGGATGGTTTTAACATACCCAACACACATGCCCCTTCCCAGTCCTGTGGTAACTCCGAATAGGCCTTCTTACCACAGATCCAGTACAAATTCGCTGGGGCTCTCCAGTTAGATGTGATGGATAGATCAAACCATACGTCCTTTAAATTGGCATATCTTGCAAACGGGTTAGATGGTTCTGAGACATTTGAAGCCGACCACCAAGTTGTATTCTTTGTATCATCATCATAAGCTTTTTGCCCTAGACAAGTTAATTCTCCTACAGAAGTATTATACATCATTCCTTTCCTCGCTATGCAAACATAACCTATGATGGAGGTCTTCAATCTCCACTCAGATTTACCTCTAACACTCATATGATAGTCGGCTTGTGTAGATATTAATTGGTCAACTGCCTCAGAACCGGACATTACCTCCTTTGCTTCCCAAGGCCATTGGTCTCCCATGTTAGTACCTCCACACACATAGCAGTTGGTAACATTAAGACTACCGGCAATACTCTCGGCTAAATCAATGAACAAGTTTTTAGCATTATGGGGGATCTTATTATCTATGCTCATCTCTTCATAAAAGGAATGGTATACTTGATGAGTTTGGGAGGTTACCGTATCAGTCTCTATCCCTATAAACAATATTGTCCCAGGGTCTAAACCCGTCCCATATATTTGAAACCCAAATAAATTACCATATTTATCTAAGAACTTGTCAGGGTTATTTATAAGTATATGGATTGGATTGCATTCCATAGACTTACAATATGGATTAGTAGGCAACTTAGTCACAATCATGTCCTTGTCTGCTGTCTGTCCCCAAGTCGCCCACCCCACACAAGACCAATATGGGCAGAAGTTATAATCTCTATTTGGGCATCTTGGACTTACATATTTATTTTTACTACTGGGACAAATATATTTATCGTTAGACCCATACGTCCTCTCCCATCTAAGATCCCCACATACATTCCACGGCTTTCTACCACTTGATATTGCTTTACACGCATCAAATAGCAGAGCACCTGAAGAATATACGGATTCTAATACCGTCTTATTAATTAGGGTCCCCTGAGAATCTCCATTTCTGAGAGTCAACCAAATTGTACGGGGTTGATACTCAGGACTGAAGCACTTAGGTTCTCCTACTCCTAAATGACACACACTATATTCTATATTTAAGTATCTACATCTTGATACATCTCCTTTACACTCATATTGCGAATGCCAAATTAGGGTCTGGGATATATGGTTACCTGTTCTTGTAGTCTTAATGCATACCTCACAGCTAGGAGTGTTGGTACCTCTACCTTCCTGAATATAAAAATACACATAAATAAACATTATTAAAAATACATCTTTCGTCGTCATCCTCAGTCTTCGTCCGTGCGAAGGCACCTCAGCTTCCAGGATGTAAGGGCTGCAGGGAATGGAGTTCTGCTCGTCTTCACAGGGGTCCCCTCAAGACTTTCCCTGACTTATACACTCGTTGGTGAGTGGACAGGCTTTATTATGGCCTTCTCACTCACTTACCAAGTCTCTGAAACAATAAAATTTGTGATCCACAAGGTTCCTCGTCACTCCGACTGAGTCGTGCGTTTTAACCGGATTTTGCAGGGATTCTCTGGATTTGCTGTAACTTGCCAGGAATCGGCTGCTGCTGGTTTAACCCTGGAGTGATGTATCCACGGAGCCACTTCGGCTACTTTTATCGCTGTAGGGGTAGACAGAAGAACAACATAAGGACCTCTCCACTTGGGCCCTAACGGCACATTATTCCACTCTTTAATCCACACTTGGTCGCCTGGGTGGTAACTATGAATTGGGGGATAAATATTCACAGGTAATCTATCTTGTACCCATTTCTGTACCTCCTCCATAGTCTTACCCAACTCCACAACCTGCTGCCGGGTAATTCCTTCTCCCAACTGACTCAAATCCCCCCTTAAGTTACCAAGCACGGGAGGTGGTCGCCCGTACATGATTTCAAAAGGAGAGAGGCCCATCCTTCTGGTAGGTGTACTACGGATTCGCAATAGAGCTATGGGCAAGAGAACGTTCCACTTAAGTTGGGTTTCCTGACACATTTTAGCCAACTGATTCTTAATAGTTCTATTCATTCTCTCTACCTTACCAGAACTCTGGGGTCTATATGCCGTATGAAGCCTCCACTTTATACCAAGCATATGAGTCAATTGTTGTAGGCACTGATGAACAAAAGCTGGACCATTGTCCGATCCTATAGAGCAGGGTAGTCCATATCGGGGTATTATTTCTCGTAGCAGGAATCTCACGACTTCTCCTGCTTTCTCTGTACGAGTAGGACATGCTTCTACCCAGCCTGAATAGGTGCACACCACTACCAGCAGGTAGCGATGTCCACCCGATTTAGGCATCACTGTATAGTCAATTTGTAAATCGGACATGGGAAGTCCCCCCATAAACTGGACTCCTGGTGGCTTTACTGGTCCTTGTCTTGCATTATTTTTAGCACACGTTACACATCTACGTACAATGGCCTGAGTCAAGTTGGACAATCTTGGTATGTAGAAATGTTTTCTGAGAGATTCTTCTGTACTGTCTCTCCCAGAATGTGTCCCGTTATGATAGTTTTGGACAATTTCTACCGCTAGTGATGCTGGAATAACTATTCTTCCATCTTCTAACTGATACCATTTGTTCTCCAAATACTTTCCAGGTTCAGTCCTTAACCACTCCTCTTCTTGAGCTGTATAAATTGGAGTCCATTGAGACAGTGGAGTTGGTATAAGAGCAGCTATATGCCCCACATATTCCTGTCTTCCTGATTCAGCAGCACGCTTAGCTGCACTATCTGCCATCCGATTCCCTTTGGTTACATCACCATCTCCTCTCAGATGCGCCCGACAATGTATAATACCGACTTCTTTCGGCTCCCACACTGCTTCCAATAGTTGTAGGATCTCAGCTGCGTATTTGATTTCTTTGCCTTCTGAATTCAATAGTCCTCTTTCTTTATACAAAGCTCCGTGGGCATGAGTGGTTAAAAACGCATACTTGGAGTCCGTGTAGATGTTCACTCTTAAACCTTCAGCCAATTGTAACGCTCGTGTCAGTGCTATCAATTCTGCCTTTTGTGCTGATGTTCCTTTTGCCAGTGGCCGAGCTTCTATCACCTTGTCTATCGTTGTTACTGCATATCCTGCATAGCGGATCCCTTCTTTTACATAACTACTGCCGTCGGTGTAATATTGAACATCAGGGTTCTGGATGGGAAAATCACGAAGATCTGGTCTACTTGAAAATACTTCATCCATTACTTCCAAACAATCATGTTGACTTTCAGTAGGTTGTGGCAAAAGGGTAGCTGGATTTAAGGTATTTACAGTCTCTAAATGCACTCTTGGGTTTTCACACAACATTGCTTGATACTTGGTCATACGGCTGTTACTAAACCAATGATTTCCTTTGTAATCCAACAACGTCTGTACTGCATGTGGAACTCGTACATAAAGTTCTTGACCCAGAGTGAGTTTATCGGCTTCAGCTACTAGCAGGGCGGCTGCAGCTACAGCTCTTAGACAAGGTGGAAGTCCGCTGGCCACTGCATCCAGTTGCTTAGACATGTAGGCAACAGGTCTTTGCCATGATCCCAAGTACTGTGTCAATACTCCCACAGCCATTCTTCTTTGCTCATGTACATACAGGTAGAATGGCCGTGTGTGGTCAGGTAGACCTAATGCTGGGGCACTCATCAAAGCCCTCTTCACATCTTCGAATGCCGTTTGCTGTTCTTGAGTCCATAAGAAGGGGTCGTGCTCTGTACCTTTGATAGCTGCATACAGAGGTTTTGCCAGTATCGCGTAGCTGGGAATCCATATCCTACAGAAGCCTGCTGCCCCCAAGAATTCTCGCACTTGTCTTCTATTCCTGGGTATCGGTATTTGGCACACAGCTTCTTTTCTCTCTGGCCCCATAATTCTTTGACCTTCAGAGATATGGAATCCCAGATATTTGACAGTTGGCAAACACAACTGAGCCTTCCTTCTTGACACCTTGTATCCTGCCTTCCAGAGAATGTGTAGTAGATCGTGCGTTGCTTGCTGACATACTTCCTTTGTAACTGCTGCTATCAACAAGTCATCTACATATTGTAATAATACACACTCTCCTGGGATAGACTCGAAATCTAGTAGATCTTGACTTAGAGCTGAACCAAATAGGGTAGGTGAATTTTTAAACCCCTGGGGCAATCTTGTCCAAGTCATTTGGCGTTTCGAGCCCGTTACAGCATTTTCCCATTGGAAAGCAAAGATACATTGGCTTTCTGCGGCAATTCGGAGGCAAAAGAAGGCATCTTTGAGATCTAAGACTGTAAAGTAAGTAGCCCCGCCCGGAATTAAAGCAAGCAGGTTATATGGATTGGGCACGACTGGATGTATACTAACAACCGCATCATTGACTGCTCTCAAGTCCTGCACAGGTCGATACTCATCTGTACCGGGCTTTTGAACAGGCAGCAATGGGGTGTTCCAGGGGGAAGTACAGAATTTTAGGATACCATACCGTATGAACTTATCCAGATAAGATTGGATGTTCTTCTTAGCCTTCTGCGGAATATGATATTGTCTCAGGCTTACTGGATAAACCCCAAGTTTTAGTTCGATTTTAATAGGTGGAATATTGCGGGCCAGTCCTGGTGGGTTGTTCTCTGCCCAAACTCCTGGTATGTTAAATAAGGATTCATCACTCCTCGGGTTTTGGCTAGTCAACACTGTATAAAGTCGCCACTCTTCTTCCTTTGGTACGGACAATGTCATAATACCTGAGGGTCCATTAAACTTTAAGGATGTTGTTCCATTTGGTAGGAACGTAATCTGCGCTTGTAATTTGGATAGCATATCACGTCCCAGCAATTGGACTGGACACTCAGGCATATAAAGGAATTGATGTTTTACTACGTGGCCTCCCAATGTACAGAGTCGACTTTTAAGAACCGGTTTTTCAGCACTTCTTCCAGTTGCTCCTATTACAGTAATAGTTCTTCCAGATGGAGGAGCAACTAGATTAGTCACCACCGAATGTTCAGCACCAGTGTCGATCATGAACGCACTCCTTTTTCCCCCTATTGATACATCGACCATAGGCTCCGCTCGACCAAGGGGGATGGAGCCCGGTCGGTATCAATAGTCCTCCATGACCGTGTCAGCCAATCCCACAAAGTCCCTACCTTCTCTATCGCGGGACCTTTGCGCTGCTGGATAGTACCTATCTTCCCTTACACTTCCTCTGTTCCCATTACTCCCTCTATTACCATTACTCCCTCCGGGGCCTCCTCTACCTCTCGCTCTGCCTCTAAAGTTTCCGTAACCTGCCCTGGGTAAGTCTCTCTCATACTGCTCTCTTTGCGGACACTCATTCCTCCAATGCCCTTCTTCCTTACAGTACGCGCACTGATTCCTACTCAAAGGCTCCCTATTCCATCTACCATCGCCTCTATCTGGGCCCCGTCTATCTACGCCTGCGATCGCTACCGCTAGCATATCTGCCTTTCTACGCATCTTGCGCTCTTCCTCTTTCTTACTTTCTGTTTCCCTATTCATATATACTTTGTTCGCTACCTCCATTAGTTGGGTGATAGACATACCTGCAAACCCTTCTAATTTCTGTAGCTTGCGCTTAATATCTCCGTAAGCTTGGCTGACAAAGGCGGAGTTTACCATTCGGGAATTATCAGCGTCTTCCGGATTAAAGGGGGTATACAAGCGGTATGCCTCCAATAATCGGTCATAAAAGACACTGGGCGCTTCATCACTTTTCTGAATCACCTCAACTGTCTTCGACATGTTAATAGCTTTCTTCCCTCCGGCTTTCATGCCAGCAATTATAGCATCTCTATAGGCTTTAAGTTGAGCCATATCTGCACCATTTACATTCCAGTCAGGATCGGTGTTAGGGTAATGTGTTGCGGCCCATGCTGCCGGATTGGCTTGATTTAAAGCACGGGCTCTCTCCTCTAGCGCCTTAATGGCCGCTTGGTTAATCCTTGTCCTTTCCTCATTATTGAACAATGTCATTAATAACTGCTGGCAATCAGCCCATGTCGGGTTATGTGTCTGAACTATCGAGGTGAACAGATCGGTCATAGCTTGTGGTTTCTCAGTGTACGAGGAATTGTGGGTCTTCCAATTCAAGAGATCGGTAGTCGTGAACGGGACATATACGAAACTGGGTCAGCATGTGCCATTTGACCTGCGGCATCGATATAGGCTGACCCAGGATTCAGACGAAGAGGCATCTGATAATGTTTTAATTGTTGGGTACCAGTCAGTTGTCGGGTTAGTATGGGGCTACGTGGAGGGGCGTCAGTTAAAGGTTCCGGTCGAGAGGTAATAGGGCATGAGGATGTGGGAACTTGATTTTGGGAAAAGTTAGTGAATAGTATACTCCGAGCCGAGCTAGAAGAAGCTTGACCGGAAGTTTGAAGTGGCGCCAAATCAGGATATTCAGATCTAATGGGGGTTGGTCCTGGTTCAGGAAGGGGAGTTTTAATACGAGGGGGGGTGGATTCTGTACTGGAGGAGGAAGCGGAAGTGGAGGGGGGCAATAGGGGAAGGGGTGCAGAACTTCCTGCATTCGCATCACTTCCTCTTAAAGGGAAGTAAGGGGGCGGCAAAGGGATCTCGGACTCAGGGGGCGTGTCCAAAATGGGCCTAACACCGGTCCTAGTGGACAAATAAGTCCTGGCCACCATGAGGCGACATTGCTCCTCGTGGCATATCCGGATCCATTTTGGCGAGTCGTTTACGGCCTGCCTCCAACAATCAATGTATGGAAACTGTCCGTAAAGTTCAGGCCTACCTGACACAGCCACGTGTACACGCTGTACCAGGGTTGGATCCAAACTGCCACGCGGCGGCCATGCCGCAACCAAAGTAGGCCACTCCCTAGTGCACAAAGTGACCAAACGTACAGGAGACATTTTAACCCCAAAATCACATGTTTTGAATCCCTTTTTAAAATTCTTTACCATACAACCTAAGGGATCCGAAATCGTTGACTCTGACGCGCCCATACTTATCAATGGAACGTCGTTGACAACGAATACTATGCACGCGTTCTTATTCAACAGTCACACCCGTTTCCTCTGGCAACAGCACCACGTGGTACAGTTACCAAGTGAAACGTACACAATAACACAATAATCACTCAGGGAATTCCCGTACACACACAGCTGTTACACCAGTCACTAAATAATCAATATTATGCCCTTTGGCGAAACTATACAGTCACCCACGCTATAATTCTCTATATATGAATTACCCGTCTATAACACACCCCAGTAACATCGTCTTTTACTAGTATCGGTTACAGTACGGTTAGCATAGGTCAAAGCACAATTTAAGGTCACAATACAATTATTAGTGGTTACGGTGTTAAACATGCAATAGGCGACAATGATTAGTACTTATATACAGTGTCAGTAAATATACAGGGTTATGGTACCGTGCACTATGATACAGCAACACACTATTAACACTCTCGCTAGACGGCTGAGCTCGCGCTATCTAACAAGATATACACTTTACTAACAATCTTTAACACATTTACAATCCCAACTAAACTATTAGCCAGTACCTTGAATGGACTACCTAAAACTATATACACCCGTTTTGGTTAGCCACACTGCCCAAACACCACATATAGCGAACTAGAGGGCGAAATTTACAAAATTGCCCTTCTAGTCTATTTACTCTATCAGAAGTCTAG